GAAAAAAAAAAAAAAAAAAAAAAAATCCCGTAGCCAGGGACTGTACTCCGTACGGGGTAGACAATGAATTCACGCCGAGGCAGTCATATCTTTGACGTGACATGGGATCTCCATGTTCCTTATCCGCCACATGGCTGGCCGATTGGTCGAAAATCCGAGAACTACCTCATGGATATCGTAAGTCGTGTCTATCAATTCTACTGTTTCGCGTCAGGTCTAGTTTACTAGGTAATTAATTGTAACGGGAGTAAGCTGGAAAGGTGCGATCCGGGTCAATCCGAATCGTAGATTCAGATTTATGCGATCTTTTCCCCGAATTGGGAACGTGTTGGCCCAGACTCGGCAGACACTCTCTTACAGCAATACCAAATATAAATATCACCTAGTTGATAAAACACATTAGCAGCTAGCCATATTGAAGTACAGCGAACCGGCTCACTAGTTGATTAGATGTGGCGCATGGCGTATGAAATCCAAATGACAAGCTTCAAAGCCAGGAGTTAAAAAAAAAAAAAAAAAAAAAAAAAAAAAAAAAAAAAAAAAAAAAAAAAAAAAAAAAAAAAAAAAAAAAAAAAAGGAAAAAAGAAAGAAACTACACCAGAAGCTCAAGGCTGAGCTGAGCGGTAGAAATTCTAAAAGGAAAAAAAGATGGAGACGCGGGGAATCGAACCCCGGACCACTCCCATGCTAAGGGAGTATTATACCACTAAACCACATCCCCAATTGGATATTATGAGCATCAATATTTAATATTATATACAAAACATATATATAATCACAGCCTATCCATCATCCCGTAAAATACTCGAAACGGATCCATTTAAATCTATCGAACTAAATAGCAATTCCTGATTACTTGTAAACATAATTCGAAGCACATATAGTTGTCAGAATTACCTTCATCTCTTTTCCCCTATTCCTTCTCTTTCCACTATAGCAACATATAAGTTAACCGAGACACTCTTAGGGGGTCATGGTAGATACATCCTCTTCTTATATATATTGGACCGGACGACCAGACCTCCACGATATTCTCATAGCCAGTTTGATAATAACATCTCCGTCATATATACGGTGTGTTGGATATTTCCTGTAATCAAGACTGGAAGCCTGTTTAGCATTGCCTGTATTTGTTTTATAAACTCCTTTCCTTTGTATAGACTACACCGGGTGCGATTATTAGCTGGGACCTCTGCGCTTGCCGACCCAAGTGCCAGGTTACGCTGGGCCTCAATGTTAATCACACGGCCAATTTGGATAAACACGGTTTGTATAAGGGTTGAAATGGCCGGGACTACCAGATTCTGGGTACGGTCAATCGTTTGAGTTGTAGACCTGTTAGGCTTCTCCATACCTAGCTCATCCGTTGCTTTTCTTCCCTTCCCTGCTCCCCCGCTTCCTCCACTCAGACATGTCTCTCATTTCCTCAGGCGCCCTCCATGATTGCTGGGTTTCCTTATTCTGGGATAATGCACTCGTTTCAGTCCGACAATATGTATCGGTGGGGATTGTAGGGACCATGACTAAGTGGGTCTATGTTGTGGGAACAATAGTGGAGAAAGTAATCTGAATCTAAAATACAGGCATTGGCACGGTATGATCGATATGGGTCGAGGAGATTACCGGAATCGATATATTAGAGGTGGAGCACGCGCGACTGGTTGATGCTAACGGGTTACGGAAAGGACGACGAAGAGCTAATGAACCAAGACCCTTCATTATATCATATCTCTTTATACCTCTTCTTCCCTTGTCAATTTAAGATTTAAGGTAGGTCTACTTTCTCTCAATGAGTACAATGAAAGTAAATCCGGACGAAAGGGGTACCCCGTCGAAGGGACTACTCTGAGCATCACACCCCGTCATCACTCTACTTATTAATCCAAGCCTTCCGTGTGGCAGATGTCTTATTAAGTCGAGCCTGGAAAGGCATAGGACCGAAATGAATCAGAGTCTGGTTCTGATAGACAGCAGATCGAGTCATTCCATAATCCCACCCGAGGGGGGCGACGGGAACCCACGCCAATGGAAGAAACAGCGCGAATACTAGCAGAGGGGCTATATGATATCAGAGGAACCCTGAGATTATATAGGATACCGCTCAGTATATTGTGGATAGGTTGGAACACTTCGTGCACCGGGCCGGGGTGCTTAGTTGAGGAGGGAGGCTCAACTCTCCCTGAATCCCAAGGAACGGTTATACAATCTCAACCGGAGGCTATTGGACTAGGACCAGAATGGAGCACTTGAATCTCGAACCACCCGGGCCCTGTCAAGGCCTCGATCTATGAAGGTCACGTTGCTTTTCGATAACCCATTTGAATTAATCAGATATGAAAGTTCGACCTCAGGGCTAACTCATCCACTCAGACCCTATCGGGGGCTGACGGCTATTGCGGCGGAGCGGGAGAATGGGTATGGGATTGGAGGCGAGATGAGTATAACACAGAAAGAAGCAAAAGTAAACTCGAAGTGGAGGGATAAGTAGATGGTTGTGTATTCTGGGGTAATATTTAGAATAACTAACAAAAACTTCGAATTAATAAACGGATTGATTGAGGTCATCAACTACCCAAAGTCTCCGTCACCAACTCACCACGGGCTATGGAATCTTCCTTCCCATCCCATCTCACGCAATATTTTAAGTCGCGGAAGCAGAGGGTACCCATATTTGGTCTGCCATAGGAGCTCTAGAGAATTCTGTCCAAATACTTTTCCTCTCCAAAGAGGAACCACACCGTTATATTACATAATTTGAGCTCGTCTTGGCTTTGCCATATGGCTAATAGACTCCAGCACCACGTTGAGGTGCGAGCTCCTTGCCGGAGACCCTGTCCAGAGACACAGGCACCTTTTGTCGCTAGGAATTTGGCAAGGGACGTGTTACCGTGAAAGGTCGCTGTTCGAACTGTCCGAAGCAAATCCTTAGCATCCGAGGGCTCATCCTCCATGGGAGGGGATAGAGGCGGTTCATTGACTCGCCGGGGCAGGACCTGGGGTCCCTCATGCCCCTGATGGTGAGTATGCGGGTGCGGCTCTTGGATCATTGGGACGGGAAATCCCGCTTCCTGGGCCGGTTCCTGCGAGGTGAGAACTGGACGCTGTTCAACCTCCCGCTGCTGTTGGTGCTGCGGGTACGGCTGCTGGGCCATTCAGAAGGAAAGATCTACTTCCTGACCGCGCTCCTGCAAGGTGAGAGCTGGAAGGTGCTCAATCTCCCGCTGTTGCTGCTGCTCGGCAGCCCGTCGACGCTTACGCTCGCCAGGAGGCGGGCGTTGGCCCCGTTTGTTTTCCCGTCGTTGTCTTCCTCCCTGGGCTGCCGGAGCAACCTGGCTGTTGGACGCAGACGAAACGGTGCGTTTAGCCTGCAGGCGTTCCTTGCGCGCACCGGTCTTCCAACATGTTAGCTGGCTCACATGAACTTTCTGCGATGTGTCAAATGTGTTACCCACCAAAGCATTGATAGCGTTCATCATCGCCCATTCAAAATGCTCGGCCGTTTCATGGTCAGTCTCACCGCAGGTACGACAATTTTTTTTTCTGCCCCTTTCTCTTGCCGGCACGTTCCTGCGGCCTCTGTCCCCACGCTTACCGAGGGGCCTACTACCACCACCGGCAACCTGATGGGCAGGAGGGGACACAGGGTTGTCCGCCATGACGGACGCAAACATAAAAGAGCAGGGAAGAAAGGGAGTCAGGGTATCTAAAATAAGCACAAGAGAAACGGTAACCGCTTGTAAACAAGTAGTAAGCTCGTGTGGCCGTCGATAAAAGATCGATTTGACGGATGAGGCGGGAAAGAGAAGAAAACAAGAGAAAGAAGATACACGGAGAGAAAGGGTGTGTCTGCCTAGCAACACAACACCACGCAACGCCACGCCACGCGTCATCCGCACTGGTTCTTTCTGCTTTTTGTACAGATTTATAACCTTCGCAAAGTCTGTTGCAGCGTTCCTATTCTGTTGTAGGATACACTGAACCACATCACCTGTAGCCAAAGGCCAACCCGACATCATCTTGAGTGCTGGTAAATTGATGACTTGTTGCGGGGCCCCCAGACGCCCTGTATTGAAATCGCTGTGATAGGAATCACCCTTAATATCATCACCGGTCTTGCTTCCGATGGCTGTCCGCCGCATTTCATCCTTCTCCTTTTTCCTCTGGGCCCACTGAGAAAGCTTTTGCAGCTCTGCTGCTGGCAGGTTAAGATATCTCACCACAAATTGCAGTTCCCAGTCGCGCCTCAATATTGCATTGACACAACAGGATGACATCCACTACTATTGCACTCCGTGTGGCATTTCACCCACCTGCGGCTTCATCCTTCCTAGCCTCGCCGATACAATGGAGTTGGTATAACCCCTTTGCTTCTGCTCACACTACTTTGACTCACATACTTGCCCTACTTCCTCTGTGATACCAGGGGTGTAGTAACATAGCCATTAATTGGTCATCCACCAAGTGGTCAGCAGGAATGAAATGATGATCCATTATTGAATCATGCATGTAGATTGTTTACAATAATTCTTGATTTTATGTCATCCCTGGTGGCAGGAATCGCCAGAGGAAGAAAGCACTCCCGGAGAAAAACCGATGTCGGGTGCTTTGTGCTGTGGCGCTGATAGTCTTGGACAATGCGCAGTGGTAGTCGTCGGCTCTCTTTATAAACCACGTGTAGTCGTCCATGTACCGTACCAGTCTCCCTTATCCAGTTTCGCCAGGAGCGTATTTCGTGCTAGATGCTAGCAATGGCTTACCCATTTTACCAAAGAAACTCCAGGCCTGCTTCTGTTTGGGCCTGATTACCCACACCGTTTGGATATCGCCCAGGATGCGGATGTCATGACTCGGGCTATGTACCACGACGATATCTGGAACTGTCTTTGACAGAATTAGGCTCCTTTTTTTTTTTTTTTTTTTTTTTATAATTATAGAAGGTAAAGTTAACCGACATTAAATACTGAGAGGGCATAAAATAATTGCTAATGCAATGGCAACATTTGTGCCATGACAGGGTTGGCCTATTTCACTGTAATACTTTCAACATTGCGAAGATATATAATGCCACCTTTATACTAGTCATATCGCAACCGCCTATAATATTATAAACTTCAACATACGGCAGGCTCAATGAAATATCCAACTTTTCAGAGCATATTATTCACTAAGGCTATTGTTGTATAATGTTGAAGAATGATGGGCTGAAAGATCAAAAGGGTGAAAGGTTTATGTACATACACCTCTGCTAAACATGAAAATGTATATAATTCGCTGCAAGTGGTCAAAGGGTACATACGACCACAGGGTGTGGAGAACAGGGCTTCCCGTCCGCTCAGCCGTACTTAAGCAACACGCCGGGAGGTTAGTAGTTGGGTGGGTGACCACCAGCGAATCCCTCCTGTTGTATGTTTTTTTGCTTTGAGTTAAACAACTAATTAATATAGTCATATAGCTAATTCAATTTGAGAATGGGTGATTCTTTTCTATAGCCCTAGAGAATCATCGACATATTTTAGCCAACAAACTTAGTTGAATGATATACGTACTCGTGAATGTATTTTAGGTATTGAATTTGTATTCGGTCCTCGCCTGTACATCTCGATATGGACTAGTGTTCTCATTGAGACCTATAAAGCCTTCCAAGCAACGTGACTCGCTAATTCCCTTCCTGTTCTTCTCCAGCATTGCGTTTTGGCAGGTTACTGGGTATGTACCTCCATAGGTCTATGTCTAACTTGCGATACAACAACCTGACCGGTGGCTTCTGTTGCCACCGAGCTTATTCGAAGCCAAGATGAGTTCACTAAGGGCTATATCAGGTAGTTACCTAGTGACTGTAATAGTTATGGGCTTTTCACATGGCGATCTCAAGATATAGCGACTAAGATGATATAAAAGATACGTAGAGACTGGATTTCAGTTAGCTTGATCGAGCAGCTTCTTTGTGAGGTCTGGCTAGTGTGGTAGAAGCTAAGAAAACGGTACCTTCCAGGCACAGAAAATGATAAATTGTCTGAGAAGCTGAAACTAATACTATTATGTTTATGGTCTCCATATTTGCCCTCGTATCATAAAAACTACTATACACGCTCATCGATATGTCGAGTACCTTGCTTAGGAACGCCGTTTTCGGTTACAGCGAGGACATTGGTGACTTCCTGGTTGAGATGACCTCTTTAAGCACCACCTATGCAGTTATGAGTGCGATGAGCTTAATTAGATCGCTAGTATCAGGGCACTCACTGGCAGGTGTTATCATATAGGAATGGCTATGGGTGACGTCTGGCTTGGCCGGTCCTTTCCATTTACTGCAGGACTTTACGGACATGCTCTCACTGTGGTATCTGCAGTCTGGGTGCCTTATAGGACTACTTGATAAGAATGGATAATACTGGATAATTTGGCTGGTCAGAACCTTGGGTGAGCGATTTTCTCTGGATCAAAATTCAACCTACTTAGCAATCACACCTTCTACATCGACATCACGAACAAAAGCCTCTTTGCGGGGTTAGTGTCCAACCAGAAAGCTTGATTTAGAAAGAATATTCTAAGGGGCAAATATAGCTTCAGCAACATGTGTTAATTGGCGAGACCAGAGGACTCACACTCTACCATACCTAGTGTGTAAGAGCCTGTCGACCGATCATTGAGACCACATGTCCAAGCCACAGGCTTCTCAGCGAACACATAGGGTCATGGGGTATTAGAATGGCATTAGATTGGCCATGTCGGAGAGGAATTGGCGCAAGATCGGCGCTTATTATACCGCTCAAAGTCAATCGAAGAGGCAGTGGCAAACCACCCGTGAGATTCGCCACAAGTCTATGACCCGAACATGATGCTATCGTGAAGCTTCCTCAACATATGGAAGCATCAAGAAGCCCATAGTTGTAGTCCTAAATTTTTCATATATAGCCTTACTGCCCCGGCTGATATGAAATGGTTTTTATTCGGTTGACAATCAAGTGTTTCGTTGTATCATTCTGCATTCTTTATTCTTTTGTCCATCCGTGTCAAGTTCTTATCGATTTCTTCTTTCTAGTATCTACAATGTCTTGCCACCAGACTCCTTCGTATACATGCATGCATCTGCTTTTACGATAGCCGGCGTTTCTTTCTTTCTTTGTCCTTTCAATACGTTCATGTACATGTCCTGTTCACACAAAACCACCTGGAGCATGTCGGAGCTATAGCCGACTGGCGATGACCGGATCCTCGTGTGGTCCTGCGTCTCGCAAATCAGCTGCCGGCAGCTGCGGCATTGGCAACTTCAACTCGGTCGCGATGGTCCTGGCAGCCCAAAGACCAGTGACGAATGCCAGCGCGAGACCACCAGCGTACCCCAGATTGCTAAATCCTCCGCCATCGACACCGGCGATCAATAAACCCGGGATAGGTGTCTTGTCGGGAGTGAGGGCACGGCCCTTGGTGTCGATGAGAACGCCGCCGTAGGTGAACGTAATTCTATGAGAGTCAATACTTTAGCCAGGCGTGATTCAATTGTTGGGGGCACCGTACGATGGTTGGACTTCCATGACGAAGAATGGCCCTTCACCGTCCACCAAAGGAACAGGAGGCTTTCCAGCTTTTCCGACCAGCGCGTCGAGCGTAGATGTCGTATCGCCTAGCCGTATCATGCGATCGTATTGTTCGATTGTTCGGAGGGCTTGCGGGCCATCTACCCCCCACTGATTGAGAATCTCTGCTAACCCGTCTAGGGAGGGAGCACTAGCGACGTTGCATCCGTGTTCGCGGGCTTTCGCAAGCCGATCGATTTCTCCCGCGTTGGGAAACGGAGCCGAAATGCAGTGCTGTCTTCTTGTCCGGTCGCTGAGGGTATATAAGGTCAGTTCTTGGGCTGTAGTGCCGCTGACAGCAGGGAAGATGGTATACTTGAACATAAGGAATCCACGACGCTTCTCCTGTTTCGCGAGGTATTGGTTCACAATTTCATCACCGGTTGTCTCGTCGGCAAACCTCCGTCCGCTCTCGTTAACCAGCAGGCAATATTTGCTTTCTACGAGTACGTGTCAATGAACAGACAAATGAACGACGACTGGGTTCGTACGCACGATATTGTGCCAGCGACAAAAAATCCTTGGGATTGACCTCTTCTGACCGCAGAGGAGCCGCCAACAAATGGCCATAATATGTATTCATCCCCCGACTCGTCCCTGATCCTACCGCAGTGGCCAGCGTAAATCCATCTCCGACCGATCCTCTATTCGAGCGTACAAAGATATTGTCTCCTCCCTGGCCGAGGTGCATAGACGTCAGTTCTGCATTCCCTTGGAAACCACCGGTGGCAAGGACTACGTGCTGAGCCTTGACTTCGTAATAGACCGCGCCCGCGCCATCTACTGGCCCACGGCGAATGATCGCCCCGACGATCCGAGAGCCGGGCACTCCAGGCTGCTCTTGAAGGAGCTTGACAACAGCGGTATTGGTGAAGATCTGGGATGCTGTGTCGGTATTTTGTATGCGGTGTCGGTGGTGTTGGTGGAGATCAGGGATCTTGATGGGAAAGCCAATGCCTGTTTCGTCAGCTTGCTGTAATTATTCTCCTATGTATAGTGATCTGTATATAATCAATACCAATTGTCATGATTCCATCGAACCGCTGAGCTGTGGGTATACCATTCTCTCGCATCCATTGTACTGCGGGCAAGTAGTCCTTCATCCATGCTACTTGAAGCTGCGGGTCACCATCTGGTACCCACGATCGCAAACTCTGGTAATTCTTGGGTGCCCAACTAGACATCATCAGTAGGATATCTTACAACTGAAAGAAGCTTCAGAAACGTACAACATCCCCGCAGAGTAATTTGACGAACCACCGACCACTGCTTGCTTCTCAACCACCAGGACTTTCGCCCCGGACTCGGCGGCGAAGGCAGCGCAGGCCATGCCGGACATGCCACCTCCACACACTAAGACATCCACTGAGATGCTCTGCATATCGGTTAGATGTATCTAGTTTTGTCACCTAATAACAAAAGAGAATATATTAAAGATTGCTGGGTGCACGTTAACACGACCGTACTGAGCTTGAGATCGTATAAAAGCATCCCTCCGGCATCTAAATAAATCGACCGGAGGACCCACAACCGGTGAATTTTTATCGCACTGCAACCAATGGACGGCCCATCACTTTCTGAAGTGCATACGAGAATATCACCGGCCAAGCAATTACCCTAACAGTAGGATATCTGACATTGCCATGGGGAGAGAGACGTGATCGGGTCATTTGGACAGTCCATGCCAAGAGGCCAAGTGGATCTGACGGAAACTGAACATTAAACATTTATCACTGGGAATTAAATCCATTCAGTTTTCACACAATCCCCGCATCCAGTCATCTCCACAGCGAGGAAGACCGCCGGCTTAGCATCCAAGGTCGCCACTATCCCAAGAGCCCACGAAGACCGCTCGCCTTGAACTGAGACTATGGAAATTGGCTGATGCCATTTAGTATCGCCTTATCATTACTGGCCTATAACTGATCTGGCGGGACCATGGCTAGTCGACCGCTGACGAGACAGCAGGCTCGCCGGCCACCCTCCACAGTGGCCTGCGAGGCATGTCGCAAACTAAAGATGAGATGTGTTCGTACAGGTCAATCGGAAAGCTCTATCCAGCCATGCGATCGGTGCAGACGGAATGGTCGCCCATGTAGTATTCCTCCTTCCCGGCCCTTGGGACGCCGACCAGGAGCGGCTGGTCGCTATCATGGACTCGAGAAGGCTTGTCAGCAGATAAAAGCACATCTAAAGATGAAAGGTACCTCGAGAAATGGTGTACAGGAGGCTGGTGATATACAGAACGCAGAGAAGGAAGTGTTCGATCTCCTACTCTCGAAAATGCAAAGCCACGAGGAGCAGTCCCGCCGACCCATCGATGGGAAAGCCACCATGATCCAGGCTGCGTCCAGCAATCCCGTCGTGACAGAGTCGACTGGTATTAAACAACTTGGGATGACCTCGCATGTCAGTCATGATCCTGTTAGCAATCCTCTGGCACTGCTTGTAGCTGCCTCCGGGGCCATCCAGTCCGAATCGATATCGGACACTCCATTATCCAACGTTGAACCGACAGATGCAGGACCATCACCGTCTTTGACGAGTATCGGTGACAAGTTTCTTGATCGGCCAGGATACGTGTCACTAGGCATACAACTGAGCAGAGAATCGCTACAAAGTGGACTAGACGCCCTTTTTGCGGCCCCAACAAGTAATCACAGATACACTGATTATTTTTGCCCTCCTGATGATGGTCCGCCACGAGATGTTGGGCCGGACCTGGACCCTGTTGAGTTAGGGCTAGTTTCAATGGAGGAGGCTCACCACCTATTTCCCATGTATGGACGTCATATAGCGTTAGAAATATCGACCCTCCGTTGCTAATCTTTAATAGTTACTTCATGCGTTTACATCCAGTCAATGGTATCCTCGACCCCAAATTACACACCCCGGAGTATGTGCGTTCTCAGTCAGCACTGCTGTTTACCTGGATTCTCGCTCTCACAGCACAGTTCGACCATGGGTCGGCGGCCATTGCCAAGCGGCTACGTCTACATGGTGAGAAATTGTCCCGACATGTTCATACGTCCGGGTTCCAGTCCGTGGAAATTGTTCAGGGGTACTACATTTCACTCTTGTCAGCCACGCCAGCGAGAACGTTGTCGGAAGAACGATCGTGGTTGTATACCATGCATGCATTTGGCGTAGCGGCGGAACTGGGGCTCGATCAACCGTCCTATACACACACTATTGATGACAACTATACCCTCACGTGCACACCACGTGCACCCACTGACCATGACATCGAAGCCCAGACACACCTCGAGCGCCTAGTTCGCAATCGGGAGAGAACGTGGCTGCGTATCCTGCTCTGGGAGCGAGCAAACAGCGGCGCTTCTGGCCGAATGAATGTCATCCCCGAAACCGATCTCACCCGCAACATCGAGCGTTGGTGGATGCATCCGCTCGCCGACTCGACGGACAAACACACCGTTGCCTTCATTCTCCTCCGTGGCCACCTGGCATTTTTACACGCGGAGCTACAGCGACAGAAAACAATACTACAGGCCGATCCACATTGGGTGCGCGATCTCATCGATGCCACTTTAGAACCGTGGCGGAAAACCTGGATATATACCATCGCCCCATCTTCAGAGCCACTCCCAGATGTGCACCTCCATCATGTATATCTCCATAATAGATTATGGACATTATCATTCGCCCTACAGGCCGCTATCGGTAACAACCATGATCTCAACGCTATCCGCGAGGACTGTTTTCAGGCCGCGGTGCATTGCTGCGAAGTCGCGGTGCGCGACCTTGAACGGGTCGGGGAACCGCTATACTGTATGCTTGCTCCTACCTGGGCGATGATCTCTTACGCAGCTATTCTCGCTCTTAAGCTCTTCCCTTGTCTACATGATCCACGGCCGGGGTGCGAGATAGAGCTTCTTGCACTACTGGCACAGGTTGCACTCCAGCTCAAACACGCCGGGACGACACCATCACACCGATTCGGAATTGCCGCGATATTCGGACAGCAGTTGTTGATAATCTTGCGAACGCGTGCAGCCGGACTAGCCTCCACAACTCCTGTGGCAGATACCTACCACGATGTTAACGATAGCGGCGTACGAAGTGGCTCATATCCCCTCCCAGGAGAACGATCGTTAAAGGCCAATGGAACAACGGGTGTGTCGCCGGATACGCATATCCAGGATCCGTTAGTATCTCCATATGACCCCTACCTAACGACTCCTACGATGGGAATGGATAGTGACCTCATAAGCGGTGGGTTTGCGGATTTATTTCGCGAGATATTCGGCCCCAGCTTTGGTGAGGTTTTTTAGCCATAAATGCAAGTTCGTCAAAGTCCTACACGGAACTAATTGCATCACAATCAACCGACATTTGGATGAAACACTGTATGTACTCTTCCCGGCAATCCATTTGATCCCTGTGGGACAAGTGGATACTTTGGAATATCGCCAGGTGTAAGGGTGGATGTTGTTTCCAGATGACCTACATCAAGCAACAGAAAGTACACCCAGAGAGAGGTGAGCACCTGCATCGTGACGGCTCGGGGCCGCTGTTTATCGATGAATCGTCCTGTATTGTTTCGATACCAATGAACAGCCCAGTTTTCGCTGTTGCCGATCTTTTCTAGATGAGCGCAAAGAAATGTAGGTCAAGAGAAAACAAGTGTATAAGTGAACTGTTTTGCTGCAAATTGGACTCTGGTACCCGATTTGGACTGCCGCTTTTGTAAGGGCAGTATAGAAGGGCTGCTCGTTGAGCCGGTGGGGACGCGCCATACGCGACCCCGGAACTAGTAGTGTAGGTGTCGGTTATATCAAACACTCCCCTGGTCAACAAATGAGGATCGGCCAACAATCGGTAAACCGCAGGTAAAACTGACAGTGCGAAAGAATTTACAGTCCAGGGGCCGTGGGAATGGACTTATCCTTTCCGCGCAACAAACCTATACCCACTCGCCAATCGCCCCCTTTACCAGCTGTCTTCCAATTGCCGTTACTATTTATTTGGCGTTACTACGGTTCCATTGACCCTTTTCGAAAAGGAAACTCTAGGTTGCCCTTTCTTGTAAAGCATCTGCAAGGGTTCAAGCAAGGGTAGATTTCCCTGTCTCTGCTATGCCCTTCACCCAGAAAATATACTTTCCTTGCAACATTAATCTCTCATGAGAGGACTAATTTCTGCAAATGATCCCAGACAGCGCTCCATTACACAAGTAATCTCTCTGTAGATGAACCGAAAATTTCTTTAATAGGGTTTCGAGATTGGCTTTAGGCAGGTATGTTACAGTATGTGCAGACCAACGATCAGGTTAATCCTTTTCCGCGTCGAGTATAAAATTGTGAAATCATGAAATCATGCAAAGGATACTTTAGTAGATATTCAAGTTGCATCTTTACACACAGGATCCCGCATTCTGGTACGAATCAGAAAGCCCTTGCGGGGTATGAGACTGCATAAAACTTTGGAAGGTGGCAGGCTTCACTTGGGGGTACTTGACATTGTCCAACTCCTTCTTCAAATATGTTTGTCCATTGGTGCAGTAGTATTGGTAGAACCTGTAATCAGTTAGCATGGTATGTGTAACCCAGTATGGGGTTTACAGGGCAACACTAACGAGGCTAGATATGCGAAGATATTGGAAGGGTCCTCTTTGAATTTGGCTTGCATATGGGTGTAAAGGTCCTGCAAAGAGCCCAATCGCTCCAACTGTGGCTTCTTTCCATAAACTTCGGCGAGCTCGTCCGCGATTTGACGGATGCTCTTTCGGTCCCCCAGAACTGTGATCAAATCTGTTAGATAGCGACTCGGAAATTCACGGAGGAAATGAATACTCACAATGCTGTAGGCCCACTGCACTCGCGTCCAATGCCACAGCGGCCACATACTCTGCTGCTGTTCCATATGTTGTTGATTCCCAGACTTCATCCCCATTCCCGTAGTAGAAGAGCTTGAACTCATCTGCATCCCATACTCCAAAGTATCTACTCCAGAAGGTTTCCATAAATACCCCAATCAGAACATGTACACCTTTGATGTTGTTCTTTGTTTCGACATATGCCTTGATATGCTTCATTGGATCCTTAGCCGGGTGTTGGCCGAATTCAAGCTTGGTAAAGTCGAGACAGTAGTCGCTGGCAATGTAGCGTGGGACATTTTCATGCTCGCACGCATCCACGAGAAGCCTCTGTCCCTCAACCATGAAGTGGTTGTCACCAAGATAACAGCAAATGACGACATCGCAGCCGTGTGCGAACGAGCGCAGGGCGTCCAAGTCGTAGGAATCGCCCTGCTGAATGGTTACTCGGGCGCTCGACCGAACGACTTCAGGGAGCTTTGCAGGGTTGCGGCAGAACCCTCGGATGGTAGCCTCAGGAGAAGCGAGGAGGCTTTTCACCACTAGGCGGGCGAATTTCCCAGTAATTCCAGCGACACCCACAGTAATGGCCATTTCATAGACGTTCGGGTTATCCGCTTGAATCCTCGTTTTTGTTTCCAACAGAAGGTGTGGATAGGAAAGCCTTGAGGTTTCCATACGTATGCCGCTTGGAGTGATGACGATAGGAAGATCCTATAGCGTCATGGATTGGTAAAATCGGCAAATCAAAAACACGGTTGACCGTTCCACTTTTAAGCCTAAATTGACATATCGCGCCCCTGATTTCGGACCACTTCAGATAGTCTAGCTGTCTTTGATAATCTCCAACTAAATGCTTTTTAAATTTTATAATAACATGCCCAACATTTGATGTCGTATGCCGTTGGACAATGTTATAGAGTAGTCAGGTATCATATAGCTTTATTAAACATATTCCAATTTTATCACGCGTTCCTACCAATTTCGGTTATGTCAGTAGTATAGCAACCCTTAATTCCTTATCACGTTTCCCGGTTGGAGCATCGCCACAGAATGGTAACTGAACTTGACGAGTTTGTGTGATCTCCAGGCGAGGCGAACGAATAAGATCTGCATCGTACATCGTGTAGGTATCTCAGTAATGCCCGACTGATGAGACACTATTGTAGGGACCGGATACCGATGTCGATGCTAAAAATGGCACCCGGGATTATCGGCCACTAACAAGCTCTCCAATGCTAAAAGATTCAAAATTTTCAGGAGAGTCAGTCCTTGGACATGGTGAATTCCTATCAACCTGTCAAAATCACCGTTTCCTTGGTCATTGTCCGTGCAGCGCCTTGTAGCTGATATTAAAATAGCTAAGAACTCTACATCTGGGTCTCAAGATCTAGATAGTTGGATTGGATAGGATCGTATAGTACAAGGGTAAGAACAGGAATACCGACTGATCATTGCTTTTTTTTTTTCTTTTTTTTTTAAAGACTATGGACGTCTTTTGTGTTTCTCTTTGCTTATACTTGTTGCATGGATTCCTAAAACATGGTTCAATGTCCCATCTGTAGGATTCTCTTTCTCTACTTCGAGCTGTCCACAGAAATCACCAATAAGCACGAGCTGTGCTGATCGCAAAGATATATTGAAGAGGAAACCGACACATCAAGGAGAAATATGTTGGTTTCGATGGAAATTGATACTATGGAATGAGCTTTATTAATGAAAACCTACCGCTTTCTAGCAGGCTCCGGCAGCACTTTTTCACCACCCAACACGACTCTAACTGCAGGACGAGCCTCCATCAAGGTCAACCAGGTATTCAGGTAAGGATATTCCCGCTCCAAATCTATTTTGTTATCCGTAATCCAAGGCACAAATTGAAACCAAATCACAAAGGAGATATCTGCATAGCTGCACTTTTCTCCAACAAGATATGCCTGCTTCTCCAGCACACTGTCCATAACACCCGCGACTCTGCGAATCTCGTTGACATAACGGTCATAGCAGCTCTGAATGAACTCCGGGTGGTGGACTTTGAACCACACCGCTTGACCAAAATAAGGGCCTTGTCCGGACATCTGAAAATGCAGCCACTGCTTTGCTTGATAGTATTCTGGTGAAAAGGGGGTGAAGCTGATTTTTCGATCCTTATCGTATGTGTCAACTAGATATTCGATAATTGCGCCAGACTCCCATATGGTGGTGTTCGTGTTAGGGTCAACGATGGCGGGGACTCGGCCGTTCGGGTTGATAGAGAGAAAGGGGGGGTTCTTCATTTCCGAGAATTCAAGAACCTTGGCTGCATACTGGATGGAGAGCTCTTCCAGGATCATGCGGACCTTCTTTGGGTTTGGACCAGCGTGATGGGAGTAGAGGATGATAGGCTGCATAACTGGTGATATGTGGTTGGTGAGAGCGATGTATGTAGTGTCTATACTAAATGCAGAGAAGATTCTTTTTTTGGCTGAGGCACTCGTCGGTCTCCTTTTCCCCTTCACCTTCCCGTCAGCCGGTTTTAGACCATAATTTACATTACTAAATCCTGGACCCAGACTAATTACAAAGCCAGGTATGTAGGCCTGGCCTGGTCGGACCGAAAAAGTGGATAGTTCGGGTGAATCTACTCCGGCAGCCTCCTCCGGTGGCATCTTGCTCCGGTGGACCTTGAGATATTATAGTTGGGTCTTAGGACGACGCCAAAGACCCCTTCATATGAAAAAGGGAGTCAATGCCCAATGACCATCCTGGTCGATTGTACTCCGGAAAACTTAATCACGACGGATATTCTTGGCAAGTACACCTTGGCGGTTTGCTTGCAGGATATCTCCCCGTGGCAAGCCGATTTATACCACAAGAAATATCTAAAAGGGTTGATTGTTTGAATAAACGTAGTATACATGGCACAATAAAATCTCAACCAGAGCAACCAGAGAATAAATACTAGAGCGAATTTCAACGGTTCTCACACAAACCGAAGTCAAAATCATCGTGGACAATAGTTGTTCCTCCTAGGCTTCCCATTAATCGTACCCAGCAGCTTGATACAACCATTCTCGAAGATTACAGGGCCTTTAGCAAAAATCTCTCCCTGATCCGTCTTCTCGTAGAGATTATCAACAAGTCGTCTGGCATGAACATCCAGATTCGGTAGATCCTGCCACTCCCATTTAAGAATCCCACCGTACTTGACAGGTAGATTGGCCGGGTCGATATATTGCCGCAGTACTGCGTTAGCTTCCGATGAAGACAGCAGAAAAATCTTCGACCGGGTGACAGGATCAAACCATTGACTGATTACGTCCCAGATGGATTTGAAGAATGCCGGTGCACCAATGACCTATACGCAATTTCCCCCAGTCAGTATTAAGCTTAATAGCTTTGTGGGCTAATGATCAAAGAAGGGTCAACATACAAATACCTTGGCCAGAGTCTCTGGGTAATGAATCGTGGCAGTGGCACTAGCTTGTTGGAGATACTTGCGAATACTCCAAAACTGGCGAATGCTCACCCCACTAACATCGACAATATGGGTAGACGCGCTGATAGGTGTGGACATATCCGGCCTCGGTAGGTCTGACACAAGTGGGAATACAAACTGCAGCAGATTTTCGTAGAGAGCGTGGAAGTGAAGGTCTTCCGGTAAAAGATTCGACGGCCGGTGCGCTTTCGATGATGGGCAGGAAGAAATTTTCTTGAGATATGCGCCCAACATCTTTTTTGTTAAGTGCCGCACAGGGAAAATGTAAATGGCATGTCCATCATTGTCTCTTCGACCGATCCATTGGGGATACTAACGTTCCATAACTGTGTTAGATGTTGGTCCAAGTACGGAGTTCAAGTATATTGTCGCATGATACCATTTTTCTGGTCTCTTCGTAATAATCAATATCCATGTCCTGATAAAAGGATGGAATATTATTTTCCTGGCGCCATTTTTGGGCAGAGTGAAATTGTTGCAGGGCTTGTTCTGGATTGAACCTTTGTGCCCTCAAAAACCGGCTACATGGATATAACAAGTCAACCGAAAGAACATTGCAGGGAGTTGGGAGTTGAAGTGTAGTTTGGCGCCATACAGGAGGGTGGTGTCATCTGTGCATGCTGCTGGATTGGATACTTCGTAACCTTGTTGTTTAAGCAGACTCTTCAGTAGGTCCAAAGCTGGAGATATTACCCCGGAGGCTAGAGGAGAGGGTACTTGTCGGGTGGAGTCATCAAGGTTGACTTCGCCTGGGGCAGATGCTGCGCTAGGATTCGGGTCGATAGGCACATGACCTGGTGCTGAAACGGTACCACTGCCCATATTGGAATACGTAGACGGTAGGATATAGATTTGCTAAGTGTTCTAAACGAAGATTGCAACATGAAATTAATTGGCGTTCCCTACAACCAGTGCATGTGTCAAACTGTAGACTTTTATACTATAGCGTGGCAACGTAGAACGAGATGCCACTCCATAGTCGCCTCGTGGAAACGTTTAATGGAAATTACTCAGCATCAAATTTGCTATTTTCCGTGGCTGAGGCATGTCTGGGCGGCTCAAGACATCTTCTAGAGGGTTCTGGGTTTCGTCGTCGGATTCATCGCCGGTGGTACGAGCCCTCACAGCGCTTTCGCAAAGCTATCACGGTTAATGGTCACGAAATATTGGTCAGCAGGAAAAATGTACCTGTATCAATATTGAATCAACGGGAGCTAAGCCGTCGATAGAAACAGCATGTACAGGGAAGTGGCGATCCTGCTGCCTCTTGTTGATGCCATCAACTCATAAGTCATAACTGTCGATCCGTAATTTACCCTGAGAAAAGGATGATGGTACCAATCGGATTGCCGGTCCACACTACTCCGGCACCGGTCCCCCGCTGATTAATCGCCCGATGTGGCAATAATGGAATCGAAATCCGACCCGATACAGACATAGGGCTTCTCCCACGTGGACGTACAACGATCCGTAGAGGGAATATAAATATTAGTATGGCTCGGTCATTTTCTTCACCACGCACGCTATTGTATCATCATCCAACATGTCGCCATTATTCACTCCCCTGAAGGTCGGGCGCATGACGCTCCAGCAGCGCATCGCAATGGCTCCAATGACTCGCCTGCGTGCTGATGCCAAACACATCCCTCTAGCCTCTGTCAAAGAATACTACCAGCAGCGAGCTGCCGTCCCCGGTACTCTTTTAATCACCGAAGCCACTGTCATCAGCCCTCGGCACGGTGGCTATCCTAATGTTCCTGGGATCTACACAGACGAACATATCACTGCATGGAAAGAAGTCACAAAGGCGGTGCACCAAAAAGGTTCATATATCTATCTTCAACTGTGGGCTCTCGGTCGTGCGGCGAATCCAGGCTTCCTCGAGCAGCAAGGCCTCAGCCTCATCTCTAGTAGTGAAGTGCCCATGAAGAGCACCTTCAGCGATGAAATGCACCACCCAATGCCACTCACTGAGGAGGGAATCCAGGGTGCTATTGCCGACTTTGCCGCCGCGGCTCAGAATGCAATCAAGGCTGGGTTTGACGGCGTGGAGATCCATGGCGCAAACGGATATCTCATTGACCAATTTCTTCAGGATGTCTCGAATAAGCGCAATGATGCCTGGGGCGGAGATATTGAGAGGCGTTCCAAGTTTGCACTTGAAGTGACCAAAGCAGTGGTGGAAGCTGTCGGACAAGACCGGACAGCAATTCGACTGAGCCCGTGGAGCCGCTATCAAGATATGCGCATGGAGGATCCTGTCCCGCAGTTCACGGACGTTGTTAAGAAATTGGCGCAGTTAAAGCTGGCTTACTTGCATCTTTGCGAGTCTGATGCTAAGGCTGACGGCCATTTGGGTTGGCTCCTTGATGCCTACCAGAATGCGGGTCCAGTCATCGTTGCTGGAAATTACAATGGTGAGACTGCTGCTAAGGCGCTGGAGGAGCAATATAAGGGTCACGATGTTGCCGTTGCCTTTGGACGGCCATTCATTGGGAACCCTGACCTTGCTTTCCGTGTCAAAGACGGGATTCCTTTTGCGCCCTTTGATCCCAAGACCATGTATGCGCAGACTGCGGAGGGGTACACGGATTACAAGTACAGCAAAGAGTTTGAGGCTGTGACTGCGTCGGCGTAGATCAGAATATGGATCTATAACATAATAGATGATATGTATATATGTGACAGTTTGTATCTCTCGCTCTAAGGGTCCTTATTATTATGATCGAAATTTAGTTAAGATACGGGACTCCCAGGAATTTTCATTCAACCGGTGTATCACCCGGCTTCTGCATAATCATAGTGGCCCTACAATCCAAACGGCATTTCTAGTCCGGTGCCGCTGTTGAAAGCTGAATTGTCAAGATTAACATGGAACCCCGGATCCATAGGGAATGAGTTCCAGTCAGAGACAGACAACGGGAAAGAAGCAAGACCTGGTTGCACCTGCGCGGAAAGGAAATCTTCCCATTCACCATCTGAATCCCCTTGACTGCGAATAAATGACTCAACGATTGACAACAGTTTGCGTAGCAACTTCCTGCACCGGATAACAATCCAGGTACCACACCCTAAGGTCTCGAGCGTCTCATAAGCTGTTTTCAGACTGTTTAGGATTTCGCTGTTGGTACACGTAGGGTGCACTGAGAATTTGCGCATTGGTAACAGGAAAATAGCGAATAGAACAAGGGCGGAGTTTAGCACTGTTAACGGTCATCAGCTTATTGTAGTTTTTCCTGAAGCGCATGTCATTGGGTTAAGTCAATGATTTCCTACCGTAGTAGACAGAATACCACCAGATGGGGAGCAGAATGTGATGGTCTGCAATGCTGGCAATCACGAAGATCGTATCTCGTGCGGATTGGCTACACGTGTTAATACTACCCTTTACGACAGTTTGAAGGAATTCTGTCACGTCGGACCCTGACAACATCGAGCCAGGATACTCTAAGAGCCATTCGAGTACTTTTCGATGGAGCAAAGTGTTCAAGCTGTGATATCGAAGACTCACTACCGCTCGAAATCGCAATAACTCGGAGCTTGAATCCAGAGCAAGCTTGATGATGTTGAATCTATTTAGGATTTCCAGACCAGTAGGGAGGCCAGATTTCCATTTAGCTAAATGCTGGTCAATGTCAATGACATCATGAAGTTTCTTGGAGAGAGAATCAGGGGATCTTCGCTCCAGGTTGCTTCCGTATAAGTTTTCTATGACTTGACCTAGAATTATATTAAGTTTCCTGAATGCAAGTACGCATGAATCAGTACATGGTCAACGTGAAGCGAAGAAAGCATGGGGCAGAGGTATCCTCACGATGTTTCTCGATATAGCCTTGCTCCGGACACTGTGGAGGCCACACCCCTCGCACTTTTCCGCTCGAGGTCAATGGCGAGCGACTCCAGCGGCACATCCAGAGGCAGTTCACAATCCATATAGCTACAGGGAATAAGTGGTGGCCGGCCAAAGGTCATACTGCACATTCTTGCTGAGGAGTTAGGAGGATCGTCAAAGATGATCATGATTCTGGAATAGGCCTGACTTGTCTATCATATAGCACATCCACCAGGTGCGCTTGCGCACTTCTGCTTCCAATTGGCCCATCTCGAGGCCATCAACAGTGGGCTGTCTCCAGAGCCCAATTTGAAAGGCACCCTGTATGGCGGAGCTGGCAAGACTCCATGTCTGAGCCGAGCGCTGCGTCCCTTGCACGTACTGGGCCACTAATAACGTGGCCTGCACTGGACACATATTAGACACTGCACTATGATCATAAGCCCAGTTGCCCAGCTTCCAAAATGCATACCTGATTCCAGTGTCGCATCCATAGACCGCATTGTACCTAACATATAGAGAGCTCTAGCGAAAAACACATTCCCTTGAGAGAGTTTGTCCACGATGCTGGAAGAGGTGGAGGGAGAATGAATGAAGGCGAAAGCCATAATCATATTCAATACACACAGGTGCGCCCGGTTGACCCGGCTTGGGTCTACAGGCCTTGAAATGGTGTTGAAGCCAACAATAGTTGCTGTATGTATGTATGGAAACAATCTACCCGTATTGGCGAAAAATATTTCCACTAACCTCATTACCTCCTGACCGGGAGGAAGGTAGAAGGGATTCGCCAGGCCGTTGGCTGTGGACTCTTCAGTTTGACCCTCTGGGGTGCTTTCAGCTGGAGGAGACGGTGGCCTGGAAATTCCTGGCGCGGGCCTGGCAGTGGGTTCCGCTCCCGAATGGATTTCTCTCGTCGCATTAATAATTTTACTGAAAAAGGCCGAGCTGGACGTGGGCCCTGTAGCAGGTCCAAAGGATCAGATTACCACTTTACACTGAGCAGGATTAAGTTCATACCAAAGTACCCAGGAACATATTCACCAGCAAACGTAATGGCACACATTCCATCGACACTGTCGGTGTTGTACCGACGCTTTTCCATCCTCGGTGCCTCTGGCATCTGTGTCTCAGCGATACCAGCGGATGCTGTCCATGGAGTATCAGGCAACTGCCCTTGGTTTGATTTAGACAGAAGCTGTTGGATAAGGTCTTCCATGGCGTCAAGTCGCGCTTCCAAAGGCGAGGAGGCCTGAGTATTCGCCGCACCACCTCGGCGCTTTGCGGGGTCTTGATAGTGGCATTCAAATCCCATACCCAGGCAAACGTCGCACATAGGCCGCGCCCCGTTGCAGCGAGACTTGCGTTGCCTACATGAGTCGCAGGCGTGAGTGGTTCTTTTTCTCTTGGGCGGCGGTGTGTTTCTTTCGAAGCTCATTGGTTATTTTTCGGTGCAATTGTTAGTAAAAGGGCTTCTGTGTGAAGACCGTGCGTGTTAAATCTCTCAAAAAACAAGATGCCCAAACGAAAAAACAAAACAAGCGAATAGCGGTTTGTAGGGGAACAAGGAAACTAATCTGTAAGCGATGAAGGGAAGGCCACTATCTACCCCTAGTGGGGCATCTTAGGTCTCCGGCTGCCACGAAAGATGACGTCTACATAGCCCTCCCCATGGATGTCGACGGGTAGGCTACTCCGTTTCTTCCGCCACTTCCCCGGCCAGTCATCTGAGTTTCCCCCGCATTACGGATTGACTGTGGGGGTAGATTATGGGCGTATTCTGCTGGCGGTAGCGGAGGAAAAGGGAAAGGAAGAGCGCCTAGTTTGGTCCAACAACTACATAAACTGACCCGAAGACCAAGAGTCGAGGTGCTTCACGACACGTGTACCATCGGCAGACTCTTTACGACGCACCCTTGGGGCCTGCTTTTGTCTAGTATCCGACACTCCGGAGGTATCTCGATCGCCACGTACCTTGAGTAATACATTATGTTTTTCAATGATACTCTCAAGAAACCCCAAAAGGTCTTGGGGAAGACCCAAGACACTCTTTGGCCTTCTCATACACCGCATCATATCAAAGTTTGGACAGATGAGTTCTTCCAGCTCCTTGACGGTTACAGCCCAGAAGCAGCCCAGCAATGGGCAGAACTATATACGTCAAACGGAGTGTTCGAGGCCTTTGGACAGACCTTCAAGGGGTTAGAGGGTAAATCCTCCCCCCTTCCTACCTCCTTCATGATATGCTCGCTAAGGTGTCTTGTCATTGTCAATAATACAGCTATCAAAGCGCACATTCATCGGTTCTGGGCTTTGTTTCCTGGCCTTGTGCACACCCCAAAGTCCGTTTACATCAGTCGCGGCACCCATGCTGGGTCTGAGATGGACATCGTTGCAATCACGAATTATGCTATCTCTTTCCCCAACGGCCAGTTTGTCACTGGGGAATCGGTCGCCCTGCTGAACATCGTGCAGGAGGGTAATCGGCTTGCCATTCGGTCGAATAGGTTATACTTGGTGAGAGGGGACATATAGGTAGTAGCTCCTTACTTTGCATGTTGACCAGTTATTTAGGATCCGAACACCCTGATGCAGGCATTAGAGGCACAGTCTTTGAAAGGAGGCCAGAAGGAGGTCAACAGCACCCATCATGAGAATGTGGCAGAGGAGACTTCTTTACACGTTGAGAAAGCCAGCTAAATGCCATTACTTTTTGTTTAGGTTCTTCTGAGCATCTTGCCTCATGAATTTCGATTGGCGTCCTTATGTTTGGATACACTCATATAGTTTAGTGACAAATGAATGTATTCCTATAATTCAAGGGTAAGAGCTCGTAAACTCCAAATTTACCTGCTCTAGCTGTCAAGGCCGGGGGAAAAAACCCGACCTCGTGTGCTACTAACGCTGGATTTGAACTACAAACTGCATTCTTTGATACATGTAATCCACAATGCGTCCAGGCTATTCAGTATGGAGGGTATGCTAGCAACCCTGTCATAAAATAGAGTATTGTTTATTTGAAAGCCGGTAGTTCGGGTAGAATATTTCAAACGTCATTCCTTAGATACATATTATTGAATCTGCTAGGATATCAAGGCTTGTTCCTTGGAGCTAAAGTATGTGCATGTGTATCGTGATGCAATCCCTCAGCATTCTTCACAATTTGGAGATAGAACCACTTTATTCGACAACTGGAACAACCAAGTAAGACTCGTACACTGATCCGGAATAGATGGTGTGTCTCCCCTTGTTAACGCTGTCCTCGTGGAACTGGACAACATCGGGGGTACTATGCCGGAAGGAATCGTTGCCTTGGACTTTGACTCTCAGACTCTCACCAGGATGGAAGAGGGTTGAGGTTGGCAGAATTTCAATATCAATAGGCACAATCTCATTGGTACGGAGAAGAAGGCGGCGATCATGCTTGTGGTAAGGCCGGTCGACAGTGGACTTGGCCAGGTCAAGGCCACGATGGCTAACGCGCAGCCATCCGAGTCCTAATGGACCGTCATCAATCATGGAGAAGGCAACGTAAGGAGCAACCTTCTTTTGGCTGTCGATCTTGTCCAGCTGGACAAAAATATCCATGTCCTCACCTAGATCGGTGGAAACCCACAGGCGCAGGCGCATACTGCCAGTGAGTTCGGTCTTGCGGTTAAAGTCGAGAAAGAAGTGCGCATGACTGTCCTGCACCTCTGAGTCGTAGGTGGTAGTGGTGATGGCCTGTGGGGACACATCAAGGAGCTTACCCGCACAGTCGATGTATTTCTTGGTAAACTTGGTGCGGCTGAGAGGCCATTCGATTTCATCGCGGAAATCTCCAACCCACGCACGATCGCGGACCTCAATGCGGACCTTGGGGTAAGTGTCAATTTCGCTGGCCTCACCCTTCAAGAACTTCCGGAAGAAAGCTTCCTGGCGCCTAACACTCTCGGGCTCGAAGAAGTACCGCCACTTCTTACGGCCGTGGACTTCCAGCCACTTGTCCTTGGAGCTAATACCAATGTATCCGTTTAGGGTACCGCGAGTGTGCATGCCGTGGTCACCCCAGTCCGCGACAACATAGGCGGGTGTTGTGATCTTGCTGAGATCTTGAACGCACTTCGAGCGGTGATAGTCATCAAGCAGTGGGTGTGCCTTGTTATTGGCGATCAGATCCTCAACCATGTTGACACCTGCACGGCAGGACCACTGAGTGAAATGCAAGAACTTGGTCTCCGGAATACCACCATGGTGCGTGTAGTCACGATAGAAGTCGGTAAAACCTTCCCACGGAACGAATGCAGCCAGATGGGGAGGGTTCTCAGCAGCAATACCCCACTGCACGATGGAAAGGTACGAGACACCAATCATTCCAACCTTGCCGTTTGACCAAGGAAGGGTGCCAGCCCATTCAATACAATCGTGACCATCGCGGCTCTCCTGCTGACTGAAAATTTCCAAGTCGCCCTCGGATCCCCAGGACCCTCGGCTATCGCCGTTGATGACCGCATAACCCTTCTTAGTCCACGGGACAGGATCAACACTCTCCCAGACGGTATACTTGGAAATCCATCCCTTAGGGACATCCGCACCAGGGAAAATGTCGAAGGTCTTGGGACCGTGCTTGCCGTATGGGCTGAAAGTGAAGATGATAGGAAGCTTTCCGGTTGCGCCTTCGGGACGGAAGACATCGACGTAAACTTTAACTCCATCACGCATGGTGACAGGAACATCCCAGGTGATATCCATGCCATCCGCGGTCTCCGTCCTGTTAGGAATAAGTGAAGGACGCTTTCCTTCCTTAGGATCAATGCCCCTCTTCCAGTAGAAGGGCTTGACGCCGCAAGGGTTCTTCCCGGCGATTTCCTGGGTTGTACCTTCCATGGTTTGGGGTTTGGTTACGTGGCGGATAAAAAGTTGGAAGAAATAGAAAACAGAAGACCGTCGATATTCGAGACTGGAAAAGGTTAAGATGGGCAATGTAAATCAAGTCCAAGCCCAAGGTGTGGTGTTCTTTTTTATATACACGCGTTCACACGCGGCTCTCTCTCGGCATAGTTCAGGATAAAGATTCGGCCTTCGCGGATCGTCGGATAGTCCCCACGGAGTTTATTCCCAGATGCTTTAACATGATACCGGAACGAACTTGCTATCTCCGACTTCGTTAGTGGGCTATATTCCGCCTGTTCCGGACTGAGCCCTGTGGTCCGGGGATATTTCGGATAGGAAATCGGAATAGTGACAGGTAGACCAGGCTCAGTAATGGGTGGCTTCCCCGGAATGCATGTCTGCGGGGCGGCTCACTGTGTCCTTTACGTAACTTAAAAAGGCCTTATTTATTGCACTTTACTTTTATATTCCTCGTCTCTGTTTCAATACTTGTGGATATACGTCCCTTTGGAAGTATCCCTAGAAATTAGCAGACAGTCATTGTATCTATAAACCTCTTGTCCTACTAAAACACAAAGAAGAACACGACGATGGCCTCTCCTTCAGTGGTATCAATTTCACCAGAAGACACTGGTGTCTTTTCTGTCTCGCAGATTCCGGCCTCGTCTCGCACAACGCTCAACCAGCTTCTTCAAGAAAATCATGACAGATACCACCCCTTCTTTAACGACAAAGGATATCACAATCATATCACGCATTATATGCTTGCTTCATACGCACTTGGGGCTGAGGCAGACCAGCTTTCAAGGGCTTGGGTTCAAGAAAAAGCATTTCAGCGCCCTCAACAGCCGCTCAACGAACACAATGTGGCGCAACTAAAAGATGGTCGATTCCTCCTTAAGTGTCTGGGTAACGAAGAATACTACCGAGATTTTCTTATCTTTTTTCAACAAGAGATAGCTGAGAAAGGAACTGGGGCTGTAGTCAACCAATATGTTTTTGATCGAACGGAGGTTTCTGAAGCTCTCTTCACCCGCCTTTTTGCAAGTCTGTTCCCAGTCCCTAATATGGTCAAGGAAATGAACCCAGGCAACTGATGATCTATCATAGGCTTTCTTCATCCACTTATTCATCTTGGTTACGGACTGGAGTTTAATCAGCCAGCCATTGTTGCAGAAGCTCTTGCCCAGACCGCCGTTCACAAGAACGAGGTCGCTGTAATCATGAAAGGCTGCGAAGACGCAGCCAACAGCCGGTCAGACCTCACAAGTCGGACAATGAACGAACTACTGGGCAAGGTTCGGGATAACAATGCCATTCGCCATGCATCCTGCTGGGGGGATGGTAGCTGGATTGAAGATAACCCACTGACCTCTGCTCCTAAGGAACTTATGGAAACAGCTGCTCGCTGGCGAGTCAAGCCAGAGGAACTGTTTGAAAAGACTGCGGAAATGATCAACGTCAATGCATTTTTCTGTGGTGCGGCACAAAATCCTCCTAAAGAGTACAAGATTGACTTCTTCTTTATCCACAATCTTAATTGCTCTATCTTCTTCCCCGCCTTCCTGAGCCAGAAATGGTTGAGTCCGGAAAATAAGGTCCGTCTGTTGGAGTGGAAAGGAAGATTTGATGTTGTTGCCTATGCTGCGCGTGGATCACCTCACTTGGATATTAATGAGATTGTCGACTACCAGCCCAAGAGACCAGGGACAGGTTGGGTTGATCTCTTCCAACGTGTCCATATTTTTGACGATGATTCGCATGTCACCAAGTTCCTACGTGCACTAGCTCATGGTCACCGGTTCTGCCAGGGCTATGATATCAAAAACAGTGATCGGTTCCCAATAAAAGGTAACCTGTGGCTGCAGGTTGCGCACATGGCTATGGATACTACGGAAAAAGAACCTATGGCGAAGAATAGGTGGGTTAGGGGTGCAGGATTTCCTTCGCAGTGGGACCACTTTCACTCCCGTCATTAGGCTACTAATACTAAACTCGCCCACTCACCTGTATTGGAATTCAACCACTATTCCAAGTTATTAACCTATGAGGGCCAGGTAGGCCGATACCAGCTCAAGCACGTGACACCTACTCGAGAACCTACCCCAGCGGGAGTATATCGGGAGTATACGGTACTACGCACTGCAATTGGATATACCTCAGTACGTACTCCTAAAGGAGTCACGACGGGGGTAGATAGTTAGGGATATATATGGACACTTATTCATGTACTTAGTTTAGTTCCTTGTGATCAATAACACAAGTTACTTGATAGTTACATTCAATATAGTGACCCGCTCAACACGTTGCTAATATCTAGCAATTGAGTATACGTACTCAATTGGCCTGGCCTTTAGATCTTGGACTATTCGTTGTATCGCACTCGCACTCGTTATTCTTTTGTCGGACCCTCTCAGTTAAAACCATCGTCGCCGATTACTAGTGGATTCTAGTCATCGAGATAAGTCGTAGCTAACCAAGATAGCTAACCGATTGCAGAGTCCTTGGACGAATAGCGGGGTGTAACATTTTGATATATCTTTGCCTAAATTGAGATATCTCTATATCTATTATATATTATACCTTCTGTAGATATAGTGGAGTAATAGAAAGTGTTTAGTATTAGTAATACAGGGTTGTTATGTATTGTTATTATTCTTACCATAATGTTTATTTATTTTTTTGGTTGGGGAGTCGGGACCAAGGGATAGATACATAACCTGAGGTATCGAGATATTTGGAGGGGCTAATGAATCCAATAAACAGCTGGTAAACAATAAAAATACTTAATACAGTAGAAGTAGTGGGTTATTATTATACTTCCAAGTCAACTATCCTGATTAGAATTATTACAATATAATCTATTACTGTATTACAGTTCCGGTACTGACCCTTAATTTATAATCTATATATTATTTTCCTTTCAGTGGCTATTTCTAACAATAAGACAACTATTATTTAAATAGTTAATTATACAGCAGTTTTTTGTCGGTCCTTAGAAATTGATACTAGTGTCTTTTCACCATTTCCTCTTTCTACCAGCTCTACCTGCTTTTGGTCAAGATTCAAGAATATACCACTTTCTCTTGTATTTTTTTTATTGTACTTTGTTACTTATATTTATCTATACAAGTTCGACCGAAAACTGTACTGTTATAATACCGTACGTATATTTAGAATAGAGAAGGGCGCAGTAATATTTTAATTGTATATAGTCACTACCGCCGATAAATACAGCTTTCTTTCTGCCCTATTAAATATAGAAATCAGATAGTGTATCTTCACTACAAGCAAATCAATGACCAAGTATATTTCAATCGGTTACTTGAGAGGCAATAAACTGCTCAAGCGCCACTAACTCACCTCCTGGGGACTATTGAGTGTAGAGGTGTTTGGCCATCCCAATGAGCAATAAGACCGATGCAACATGATGATTACAAGGGAGAAGAGTTTCTGCATCTATACTACGATGCCAACGAGGACAATCCAACAGACAAGCTAGTAGTCTTAATCTACTTGCGAGAGTGCTTCCAGGGGTAACAAACTAGCTTTTATACGCGTTCCGGGATTAGTGCCGTGCTGAATGGAATAGCCCTTAACCCTTTTACCCTGGGAGCTCGAGCTATTCTACTTGAAAAGGCCAACATTATTGGAAATAAAATGGCAAGCTTCTAATCATTTTGTGCTATGGTCCGTCAGACGTCCTGGGAATCCCTATCGCCACGAGGGAGCCAATCCACTCGATGGAACACACCAAGTCTTCTCAAGAACCAGGGGGATTCAATGGTAGGTGAGCTAAAAACTCAACTGCTGTTCCTCAAATGGTGGAGGGATTATTATATCTTTACCACGTCTGGTTGTTGAGAGATCCAAGTAGCAAAAAGGGCTGATTTGTATGGAATACAGAGCTGTGCAGGTTGCGTACCGATTATGTTAACTACATACACATCGAATTACATAACCAGAGGTTTTTCCGGAGCTAACCAATATCTTCGTAGCGGATCTTGACATATTCTAAATTAAAAAAGCAATCAAGCCTTGAAGTGTAAGACTGATTTCGCACTCTACTGTAGAAGGTCTGGTGAAACGAGTGGATGTATCACTCTCGGGGAAACACACTCGGTAGCTGTATGACCGATTATTATGGAAAGAAGCGAGCACGTTGGCTCAGCTACAGACTGTCATAGCAAGACCAAATGGATATTTCTTTCAAATGAGTGTAGCGTAGACGGATCAATGTATATGTGGACAAGCAAGAGAAACCGTGGAGCATTTCCTCTTCCGATGTTAGAAGTGGATCACACAACGGATAGCACTGCTACAATATACCCGTACTCACCGGGGCAACCCTCCCTCTTCCTGGGCGGGAAATCGCCTTCCGATAATTAGCAATGGTTCGCCGTATTTGGAGGCAGTACGAGCCTTATTACGATTCGCAATCGCCACAGGCCGACTCGACGCTGCCCAACCACGTCAACCAACACAATGACACCCATCCCCTCACTAACCTACACCAACCACCTTGTGCCAAAGATGGTAGACGCGCTTCAGCTGCCGAGGACAGGATGTTGAACACTTGAAGAAGCGCCTTCAAACCAGTCGATTTACAGAATTACTAATCCACAAGGACTCCTACGGTATTGACACTGGGAGGACATATACTGAAAGGGTCTATGTATGGGCTCTAGAGTTGATCGGGTTCCCCGCCCTGAACCAGGCAAGCCTGTACAGGTTTTATTTAGTGTTGTATAAATTATAATTTAAAAAATCTAAATTTTCTCGATTTTTTCTAGATTTCTATATTAATCTAGATTATATATATATAAATAGATATAGATATAGGTTGATAAAGATATAGAACTATAAAAATTTCTATACTAGATTTAAATAGATAAAGTATCTAATAAATAAGTAGTACCTTATTTATTTGTAGCAGACTTTTAGGTTTTTTTAGGTCAGGTTTATCTAAATTGGTGGCGGGTTAGGGGCAGGTCCTCGATTTTGGACCCGAACCCGACCCGATATCAACTCTACCAAAGACCGGTCCTTGGTCTTTGCGGTTATTTCCGAGGCCTACCTCGGTTAACAACTATGTCATATATCGAACAACTTCGTCCATTTTATAGCGAGAGCAAATGTCCCTTGTGCCTTCCGTGCCTTGTCCTGGATGTAGTTGCTGGATACTAGTAGTTCCCTCTTGATCTTTCGGTTAAAAGCAAAAGCGAAGGCAACGAGCTCGCGTGGAGTGACGCAATGAGTATGAAAATGCATGGGTGTGAATCCGTAGCTTCAGGGCCCACTCAGGCGGTCTGACGCGTATCGTTACATCTCCCCGTTGCTTGTCTCGCGGCTATATAAAGTGCCTTGAAGTCTGACTAGCACCGTGGCCTTTGGTTTTTTTTTTTTTTTTTTTTTTTTTTTTTTTTTTTTTCTTTTTTTTTTTTTTTTTTTTTTTTTTTTCTGTGCTCTTGCCTCTTTCAAACAACACAGCTTGAATCTTAAACAGGGCCACTAGTTTTGTGTTAAAGCTCGGTAACCGCAATATGTACCAAAAGTTCGTGAAAGCTTTCATATACGCTTCGGTGTTCCTCTTCGCTGCCCTAGAACTGGAGCAGTACACGTCCCTCTATGATGGATACCCGATGGCGTGTAACCTTTTCAATGCGCTGATATGTGTTGTTCTCTACATTCAATACGGTATTGATATGTGAACTGCAGCAGTCGAATACACCATGATAGATGCATACTATAGTGGATTCGCATACCTCCACCACAATTCAATTCACCAAGTTTAGGTGTGACAGTCTCAGGGAAAGACTTGTGGTGTGAAGCATGCCATCAGTGTGAGTATCGTTATACTCAAACAGATCCGTTCAGTCTTTGGGCCCCAGATAACATCCAATCAGTTTCCTAGAATAACGAGGTTTTCTCATTTGACTATATCGAGAGTTACGACCGGAGGCGAGTTTCATGTCTGGCGTTGTTGGCACTCTTCGCTCTCGCTTGCTTCGTTTATGCTACATATTCTTGTCGCCACCGAAAGTTTGACCGTGGGTGTGTCGAGGCTGAGCACTAACACTAAGTTGAATGAATGACGGAAACTGCTTAGCGAATCTAGGATAGTGGTGGTATGTTCGGCGGTTCACTACTGACTGAGGTTGAGAGCAGACAATGAATTAATGGAATGAGGAATAGTCTCTCAAAAATAGGCAGCCCTGACTAAACCTTGTGTCTCCAATATCCCTTGTCAAAATAGATGCGGTGTAACTCCAATACTAGCTACAGTCGTGAATATGAAAAAGACCTAGGGTTATCCAAATCATACACGGTAACCTCGTATCCAACATTGGTTGAACCTCGCGATCGAGAGGTCAGCTGCAGAGCTTTGGTGAGGAACAATAGAACTGCCCCGTAGTTATTATCTACATCAAGCGACACACCTATAAAATGTCCAAGTATCTGGTGTCGTGATTCACGTAACTACCTCTCAGTGTCCAAGAGGATAGACCATTCTGCAACCGTGAAAATCTATAGAAACCTAGCTATGTGACTGGCGGTACAGCGGCTGAGGTTGTGAATTTGGAGTCATGAGGATCATAGGTACATCCGGGCACTGTACACGCTGACCACAAAACTATATATTGTTGTAGCTCGTTTCCTTTTCAGTCATGATTCGGTTTGATGTTTACATCAAAGGGCCTGATACTGCCTGAGACACCTCGGAAAAATGGTCACTGTGAGTAATCAAGTGAAGAGTTAGAGAACTCAACCCGCATGGCTTTCTCTTGTCCCTATTCCCGACGAAAGGGGTTAGGGTAGCTGCTGTGATTAAAGATCGAACACTGTCACGAAAGGACTCGAGTAGGATGTTTATGACTTCGTGGACCAAGGTCAAGTTGCCTCGCTAGGCTTGATAATGACGAAAGCACTGTAGAAATCAACAGTGCTGGAAAGTATATAAAAGACATTTTGAAGCAGGGTTATATATTTGAAGGTGCCACCGTATTTAACGTTAGGTTACCCATGGTCTCTGGCCAATCGAGTATGACAAGCTCCGGGGAGGTAATCAATTCCAACCTTTTTTACCTTTAAAACCAAAACTCAATCATTAAAAGCATATTGAGGGAATAAAACTATCAGTTCGCTGGCGCACGTCCTTCTGGGCCCTTCAAGAAACGGTATTTCCACCGGAATTAAGCGAGACATGAGTGATTTTCAACGACCGAAAGACGCACCTTCACCGGGTTCCACACATCATGCAGGCAGCTAGCTAAATAATATGAAACTCGCACACTGTGGGAGAAAGTGCGATAGATGAACAAAAAAGGAAGCAAAAAAAAAAAAAAAAAATTGTGGGGATGAGAGTCAAACCACAACAGTTGCCGAAGTTCTGGCGGCGCACGGCCCGCATCTTCGAAACATCCCCAGGTCCACAGAAGGCATAAGACGAAGGCCTGCAAGAGTTGAGAGCCGACTTGCGGTAGTTGAAGTCTGGCTTCAGAGAAGCTGGTGTCCACAATGTCCTCCAACGCATCATGGTCCGTCATATCATCCTTACTGGAGCGAATCGGCCCACAGGGGAGCATTAGACTGAGGATATGATAGTTGCGGTCTAGATTGGTCTGTTTGTTAGCCGATTTATGGTAGATAGCAAACTGACATTTGGAGCTACAATGTATTGCCTTTGGTGAAATTTGGTGGTGAATAATGGTTTGGCATCGGGCCATGTCAAGCATTTCATCACGAGAGTAGCAAACGGGAGGATCATTTCCGTTATTGACCACCACCAGATCTTTGTCACGGTTAAATTCTGCTAGTATTTAGCTGTTCAAAAACTCTCAAAGCAGGGTATATCAAAATAGCCACTCTACGTTCCCACTAATGCCGCATTTCTTCAAAGTCAGACATTTAGCTACCCTTAGGAAGTCGGCCGGACGGCCGTTCGGGTGATTTCCGCCAGTGACAAGGCTTGGTGTGTCTTACTTGGTTTAGAGTCCCAGTGGTGCGACAGTAGCCTGAAAGATGTAAATTAAACGGAGTCTGTAAATAGTTTCACCGAGTTAGTTTCCGGCCAATCCTTAAGGATTGTGGAGTATGTGGTCCGGGCCCACTGGTTTGACTACAAGACTTGGCGCGCGAGTCTAAAGGAGTGGTGGATCCACTGCTGGGCTGTATTCGGTGTACACCTGCCTTAGCAGTCAGTTCATAATAGTGGTAGGTGGCCTCGTAGGGAGACTAGATTGATGGAGATCATAATCATACTATTAATGATCAGGCCTGGTGGGGTATACCAAACATAAAGAAGAGGTGAGAGGAGGAAATAAAAAGTTTTGAAGGAAAAAAGAATTCAGTAGCTTATTCCTATCCTCAAACGCTCTCCTTGACGCTAACATCGGTAGTGACCTGAATACCTGCATGAATGATACGTTCCTGTGACCCATTGTGGCTGGTTTCCACATCAGCCGTGCTGTGTCCTATCACCGGTTTCAGCTTAATACTATTACGCCCCCCAGTCGACAGCCCATTGTATGTCCGGCGGGTCGAACTGCCGTACATCTTCGACGGACCAATGGTGTCATCCTTGCTGGCGAGACCGAGAAGGCGCTGTAACTTCGGGAAGCGGTAGCCGATAAAGGTTTTGAAGGACGGTATGCACGCAATAAAAATGGCGACCGCGACTTCCACGCAAGACCAGTTCATTGCGTCGACCAACACCCCTATGGTTAGAGACATCAGTAAGGAGCTAAATAAGGATGAGGGGATAAGAATTGGTGATAACGCACATGTGTGGTCCTCAGAGAAGGGGTTGAAATAGGTGACTCGGATGATACTAGTCACGCACACACTAGTATCCATATCAGTTATCTCTTCTGCTCCATGTTGCATCGAGGAGGTTAACATACAGGAGACCCAGACTGAACATGACCACCAAGCCGACTCGTTTGCCCATCGCCATCTTCAGCCGCATTAGCTTGGGGATAGGCATTGCAAAGAGGGCCACGTCCGTGGCTAATTTAATGCCAAAATTGGCGTAGTAAAAGAGCGTCATGTCCACACAGTCGCCTTCCACGAGGCCGGTGGCATCCCACGCCTTGTGAACGGGCCTACATTGGAAGATCACAACAAGGACTTCTTCAATTGTTTCGGCGACTAGAATGGCTAACAACAACCAGCATGCCATACGAAATTTCTTCCCCGGGAATATGTGTAGGTAGAGCAGGCAAAAGGAGATCTTGATTGTGCCGAGGGCGAGGACGTAGGCGAGCATGGTGACAAAGTCGAGCTGCAAAACATCGGTCACAATCAGTGGATGGCCGCACAGTTGTGTAATTTAGGATAGTGCCCGTACCTTAAGGAACATGGCCCTGTCGCTGAAACTTTGTACTGTGCCAATGTGCTTGCCGAACCCATATTTCGTCACTGAATACGCGAACTGTTAGAACACCGTATATCGTGATCAGTCTGTCGCAAAGCCACTTACTCAACATACAAGCAAGGCAGAGAACGAACGTAAAAACCTAGATTAGGCAGCTGTGCATTAGCAAACGAAGAAGACAGTCGGCGTGCCAGTCGGGGGAGAAGTAGGCCTACCCAACTAGTCACACATAGTAAATCGTCGAAATTGATCCCCGTGAGATATCGGATACGGACGAAAAGACGCACTAGGAGCCCCGCGGTCGCGATAACGAGGAGCGCTGTATTGCAGAAGATGATCTCCGGAATCCGGGATTGTGCCAGATAGGCTATTCGCTCCGGCGAGAGTGATCTTTCCCAGACCTCTGCCATGGGAAAGACCGGCTAGCCCTCTGCAAAAAACGAGGCTGAAAAGATTTTCCAACAAAGACAGAGACAGTCACATTTGTAGGAGTTTAATTGTGTACAGGAGAGAGCGACGGAGATTCTGCACATATCCCCCTATGGTATGCAAAGCCTGGGCTTGTTTCATCGACCAACAAGGGGGTGGGGATGGTGAGCAATCGATTCGTCAACACGTGGAATCCCCTACCTATCGGTAGGTAGTGTCGCAGACTTGCAGGCCCGTATCGAAATTACGGGGTAAATTAGTAGGCTAATGCAGATCCAGACCGCGCGATTCAGGAACGATTTATACGCCCCACTCGCTAATCCACGGGTTAATATCGCGCAGACACCAGGTGGAGAGCGCCCAAGATAAAGCCTGTGGCAGCATGCCACTGTCTCTCCTGACATAAAGACGTTTTGTCTCCAAGATGCGAATTGTACATTGTTTTGACTTCATTGGTATGTGTTGTGTCTCTTGTTCATTCCTTGCTATAAGATTATCGTTGCAGTCCCCTCAAATATTATATATAGATTAACTGTACTAAAGTTTATATTAATTAGATCCGCCCCCCTGATTGCCCTCCATACCCGTCGCCAGCTAAGGTATATTCATCATCAGACTTAGCATGGGTGCATATACTCGGAAAGGTTAGACATATGGCACACAGATGATGCACAGACCTACCTCACACCCTGAGCCTCCAAGCCCCTATTGTTGTCTCCCAATTCGAGAACGATAAATTGGGGCATCCAGCCCAATCACATGTATTTTTGGAGTCTACCGTTAGTTCTCGCTCGAAGGGCCAGTGGAAAATGGAAGCTGGAAACCAGAACTTACCTTGTGAATCTCGGTTCCCCATCACTGCAGAGGATCTACAGCCCCAGTATAGTACACCGCGAAGAAGATGATCCTTCCTGCAAATGCGACAGGAGTCCAAAGCGCTACTAAGAACAAAATTATAGCTGCGTCACCATGTGTTGTACTGTCCTCGAATCAAATGTATGTTTCAGATCAGATAATCAGATAAGATTATGCGTTGACTTTATATCCTGGCGATGCAAACCCTAATCTTGGTCAGAAAACACCAAGTCCGCCACTGCTGGTCCAGCTACCCCAGGAGTGAAATAATTGGGCAAGATTAACTAGCTTCGCTGAGGTGAACGCACACAACTAATGGCTTGCACACGACTCCAGGTGTGGATTTCTGGACATGACGCGAAAGATTATAATCAGATCACGCTAACCGGTTTCTATATCGGGGATTGGAAGGCGGGGATATCGGCGCGGAGTTTTGGCAAATATTGGAGATGCCTGAAAAGTCCGATTATCTAAGAGTTCTCAGATTCTGGCATTATATATATGACAAGACTATCTGAATGATAATGGGAGAGGTAGCCTTAATATTGAAATCCGATTTCCATGTTAAACGCTACCTAAGCTCCGACACAGCACACAAGGCGATCGAAGGGAAGCAAGAGTGTCCATGTTGTCAGCGGTAAGTCCTACGCCCCGTAGTTTGTATATAAAAGGGGTATGTTCTATGATACCGCGTTTTCAAAGGTCTGGTGTAAGAAGTTCTCCAATGATCGATAGGTCGATAGATCGAGCAATAGATAGGCCGTTGGGTGCTTTAAGTATAAACAGCCGAGCCGATCGTGGAAGAACAGTCCAAATATACAACCATCCATAGGGCTTATTGGAGATATCATTATCCACTGGATTAATAACACAACTCGCACACCAAAAGAATAAATACAATTGTGCAGAATATGCAATTCTTAACCTTTATTTCTCGTTCTCGGGCCAAATTTGACATCGGATCGGATCATCGGAGATATTGGGCTTCCTCGTCCATATGTTGCAGGGGTTAAATCAGCACGTGTACACTGGGCCCAGATTATCGACGGCTAGGAAATGTTCAGGCTCTTCAAATAGACTTTAAGGGCAGGAGCAAAAAGAAAGTCATCAAAAAGAGCCAAAAACATATAACAGCATCAGTACGGTGGCGGTGGATTTGGCCTCTTTGGTCCGCCTTGAGGAGAAGAACCCTACCAATTCATTGGTTTCAATGAACTGAGGTACTTTCAGTTAGACTGCATATATGGCTCCAGAACGTGGAAGTGATATGTTGGATCCCATTCAGCCAACCGCGCCAGGCTTGAGTAAGTCCACAATTCCTTGGACTCTGGCCTTTTTGACCCACAACAAAGCCGTAAAGCCGCCCTCATACCGCTGATTCATGTTGATCCTTCCTGAATTAACGAGAGCTTCACCGCGCTGTGACCATTGTCCTCCACCACAGTCTCCATCACATACAGCATTGGTGATGCGCCATCCTTGTCCAGTATGTTCGTCCCTACAGCCTCCATCTGAAGCAGTATCTTCACTTTGGAGTATCCTCCCCCCGCCGCCGCAACCGCAACCACTGTGGAGCCCTTTTCGCAGCCTCTATGGGCAGCCATGCCTTCTGTATGGGCAAGCGATTTGAAAATTTGTCACTCGACCTATCGGCTGCGAAGATCAAGAGCCTTTCGTCACCGCCGGAGCTGTTGACGTCGACTTTGTCAGAACATAAAGCTGCGTTTGCAATCGTGCGGCCAAGCCGACGATCCTCCACGTCTTAAACTCCTCATGTTGAAGAATCCTCTTGAGAACCGAGGTTATGCCAAAGTTGGCGGCCATCCACAATGTATTGCACTCGTCACGTTTATGGGCGGGCGGCTTCTCAACTAAGGTAATTTCGGACCAAGAGGCATAGACATCGGATTTCGGATCACATATTCTGGCAAGGTATGGTTCCAGTCTTTCGTCATCATTCAGTCTTGCGGCCTTGACATGATAATGCCAGTTATTGGCAGAATACTTTGAGAAGGCTCTATTGACATTGATTGAAGTTGAATCTCCTGAGTGGGTCTGATCGACCCGTGGCATGAATTTATTCATATATGTGACGCAGCTGACTGCAAGGGCACGCTGTGCTTCCTTCATATCGATTGAGCCAAGTTCGCTGTTGAGACCAAAGCCACTGTCCTGCATCAGGAACTCTCGTGCTGTTTGATGCAGAAAAAACACCTTTTCGTCGTTTACTGACAGAAGTATACCGCACCAGTTTCGCAATGAGATCTGAAAGTTTTCGTCTGATTCAAGCTCCAATTCATCTCGTTCGAGGTCGAGATGCAGAGCAACGTTCATCTCTGTCAGGGTCAAAGGGCGCCTTGCTGCCAGCACAACGCCAAAGGCCTTTCGTGCCATGTCTATATCCTCTGATTTATTGAGAATCTTCGCATATGCATCGTTGACGCTTTTGGGGAGTTGATCCGATAATATGAAGACGTCATCAATGCCATTTTTGACTTTTCTGAAGCTATGCCTTTCGAGATAGTCGAAAACAAGGTGGATCCAGAGGTATGTACGGTGGTTCATTTGCAGTAGTTGGTCTTCCAAGTGGCTTTGGACGGTTGTATTGAGACCCTTGTTTTGAGCCAGTAGCCCAAGACGATGTTTAATGACGATGTCCACTTCTTGACCAATCTTTTCGGATTCATTCTCTCCCGCTATGTGAATATGAGGAGATTGATCAATAAGCTCATGGAATTCCGACATGATCTTATCGTACGGTCGGCTGGTGAGGAGAAATCTCGCACTGGTTTCAGCATTATCTTGAATGGATTTTATCTTTTGTGTCAGGCCGGTTAATTCAGATTCCTTGCATTCGTCTAGAGCGTCTAAAACGAAGACAGTCCGTCCGATATGAGGGTCCTCTAATACCCGAGCAAAGATATCCCAGAGCGCAGGTAACACGTTGACCAGGTTATCTCCATTATCACTGAATGACTTCATTGCAAGTTTGATCAACGCAGGGTTGCTCGTAAAAAGCTGGTGTAGCAATGCGCAAAGGGCTTGTTTCTGCGTGTTCTGAACTTGATCCTTGAAGAAAAAGTAGCATACCGTGGCCGATGAATTGGATTGGGGCAACACATTGTCGATGAGATGCTTTGCCAGAACGGACTTGCCACATCCAGAATCTGCTGAAACAATCAGCAGGCCTTTATCATCCTGTAACCACTGGTGAAGATGAGGCTGTTCCAAAAGCCATTCGCCGGTGCCCTCGAGTCGATCCGGGACTCCGCTCTTATACGATTCATAGGAGGTATCCATGTCGTTGCTAGCCAGACAGAAGAGCTGCCTACATTGGCGTTCATCATCTGACAATACTTTCTCATACCGCTGACGCTGGATATTAGGGCCCTGAATATCAACTTCCAGATATCGCTGAGCCAGTGGAAGAAGCTTTTGCAGCGACTCAAAATTGTGACGAGTGTTTTCTTCAACCTGGTTTAGATGCTGTCGGGATACCTCGTTGCTGATCACTGCGGCATATTGCTGAACAATCCTTTCGAGACGTTTGATCGATGATACCATTCCGCTCCAATTTTCTGCCTCGAGGATATCACCAACAAAATTTTGCTTCCAGCTGCCATGGAAACGCAAAACACTTGTCACCTGAAACTGCAAGATGTGGTGATACAATTTGACCAGGTTGGCATTGAATTGTTCGTTCAGCGCAGGATGATCGGCGTTTTGGCTAGAAGCTGACCACAATATCCGCTCGAGTTCGACATAATAGGGAATGCGACCAGTCACATAAGTGAAGCCACTCTTGTTAGCCTCCGTGACACTATGGGGATTCGTCAGCAATGGCAGGAGAATGCAGACACCAGCCCATGCCAGGGGCGCTTCTGGCGACGCCTTGACAGCTTCACGAACAAAGACTTTCACGGACAGAATCCAGTCTGCAGCCTCGGAAAAGCTTTCCTGAATACCAGTCCTTTGGTCTTGTGTGTGTTCCAGGCCGTTTTTGATGATAATATCCAAGTCTTCGTGGCGGTTTGTCTCACGCTTCTCATTGATCTCATTCTGGCTATGGTCATCTTTTTTCTGTTAGTATCTGAACGCCGCATCTAAATATTACAAAGATCCGGAAAGGTAAAGACCGGAAACAACTCACTGATCTCCTCTCTTTGCTTTGCCAATAATTCCTCAAATTTATTCACTAGGCCTCGATCGAGTTGCTTATATGCTCGGTTCCAGAGTGATTCATCGCGCGTCAATATTTCTTTGCCCGGTGAATCATCCACCACCTTGAGAATCTCTTCTGTAATAGGTTTCTCTTCTTGAGCTGGCGGAGTAGCAGGTGCCCAACTGCGAACGACCGTGTCTGCTGGGTAATAATTGTTTTGGAGTGGTGGCTTCTTTCTAACCAATTTTCTCAGTCCAAAACAGCCCATTTTGCCAGTGCAAGACTGATTTTCAGGGGGGAGAGGGGGATTGAACCCCGTCTTTGTTCAATTAATAAAAGTCAGAATTCCACATCAGCGGCTGAATGGGAGCTGAGAAAATACGCCATGAGAACCCAATAGTAAAGGGGATGGCTGGCTGGTGCATCGACGACAGCGCTAGAGAATCGCCAATCGCCACCGGCAATCAATGGCAGCTGAACAGACGATCGGTATCTCTCTTAAGTTAACCGAGCCCCTCCACTTTTTCTTCCGGGCGTAGTCTGGTTGGCGCAGCTGAACAATTTCCCCTACAGATGCGGATCATCTCAAGACCCATACTAACGTAATCTGACGCCGAACTGGTGCCCCGACCGCCGTTCGATATCTTGGGATTAGCTCCCTCTAAGGCCCATGGCTGGAGACTTGAACAGGCCTCTGACTTACTATTAACGTTTATTAAGAGCCGTTATTAGTAATAATCCTCTTTGGTAGATATCTAGGTTCCCGACGCTTAGGGGTAGGTAACAAACATAGGGTGTCTAAAGATAGAATAAGTTCCTTGAACTTTAAGACGCGGCAAACTTTTTCAGGATCGGACTAGTCAATAATCTCAATACCTAAATAGGCTAGTATTATTAGCAGATGATATAGTGGAACCTAACAAATAAATCTAATTGGGTAATATATAGTGCCTTGGTGTTAGTGAACTTGATAATATGTTAGATTCTCGACTCAGTCCACAAGTCTGGATACGTCCGAAATAGTGTTGTCAACCAAGACCCGCAAGTGGACCGAAGACTTTTACAGGAGATCATTAGTGAGCCGTAACTGCATAGATATAGACCAGTTATACCCCAATAATAATGCACAGTGAGCAGGGTGTCTATTCGAGCTCACATGTGTGGGCAGCAGCCCATGACACTTAGGACGATTGATCTAATCGCTAAACAGGCTTGTGACACGGACACTTGACCAGGTTTGAGCAATTTTTACGGGCTATCTGACTGGTATCTGGCTTCCCACAAGCCTTTCTTCTCCATTATTTTAACTTGCAAACCCTTGACCAGATTGTAGATAATACGGAGCGTCGGCATAGATACGCCCAACGATGCTCCCTCCCGCAGCGGCTCTCCGACTAAGTTCTCAACCTCCATCAGATTCCCTTTCTCGTAATCCTGGAGCATACTGGGCTTGAAGTACGACTCAGCCCCATCCTGAGTCATGACCGCGTTGATCAGGTCCTCTTGTAAAGTGATACCTTTAGCTGCAGCCGCAGCGCGGATCTCAAGTATGATTGGTATTACCAACTCTTCCACAAGATGTTGACACATCCGTATGCGCGAAGTGTCCATTTGCAGTGCCGTGGCCACAGCGTTAAATGATGAATTGTACGCAAGCTTCCTCCACCGCATGCCAGGCACATCCGCGTTGAACGTGATGTCAAGGTGGCCGTTAGGATTGTAGAGTGAAACATAGCGTCTGGCGGCATCCTCTGCCACTTTAGCCGGTACTAACGGACTGGAAAAGGGCCCAATCCTCTGCATATCGGTATCGCTATGCAAGATCGTCCCACTAGGCAATATGGATGCACCTGTGAAAACAACGCTACTGATAAGAGGATTGGTGGGAAACCGGGCAGCGAGGGGCTTTTCAATGTTCACGCCGTTCTGAGCAAGGACAATAGCCGTCTTGCCTGGCGTTATTGCGGGAGCAATGATCTCGGCCACTGTTGGGGGCACATCTGCAATATTCTTGGTCGTCACCACGATAAACTCGAAGGGCTCGGTACCCTTATCTGAAACATCAGGAACGCTTCTCATAACTGCGATGATGGTTAGGATGGCTCTTCGCAACTAGGTACGGGATTGAGTAACATACTTGCTGTTGGCCTCCAGGATTTGATGTTATCACCAAAATCAACCGAGTCGATATCTATACCTTGCTTTACAGCACGATCATACGTCGATCGCATTACTGCTGTTACTTCAACTGACCCTCCGTATTCCAAGGCGTAAGCACAAACAGTGCCAATGCCGCCAGTGCCGACCACAAGTACCCTGCTCTTGGCCGTGTTGAAGGTTCTTAATTGGAAAGTCGTGGTGGTTTTTCAGATTTCTTGGTCGTGGTGCGGAGAATCTGTGTGGTAGGCTTCATAGACGCTCAAATTACTAGGTGATCAAGGCAGCAAAATCGCTCACCAACCCATGGCCAGGTGTGTAAGAAATTCTTTCACATTCCGTACCACCTCTACGCCTGATCGTCTAGTGAATTTGACAGGACTAAGCATGGCTCCATCTTCCAGCCTACGACCCCGCAGATCATCGAGAATGTACCTCATTTTTTAGATTAAGGTAGACAACGTCAAGAGGTTGACATCGGGATTGTTGCCCCTCGGACAGCCTTGGGGCGTGAAGTCCTTAGCAGCTCCACCTTGACATCAGTGTCTTCTAGCTTGGGAACACAACAAACGTGTTGTTGATGCCGGAGGCGAAGCAAGGGCCCGCTCAAACGGAATATGAAACCGATACCATCGGAAAAAAGGTCCGAGTTACGGGGCCCATTCCAAAGCGGAAGTTGATAGCGATTGGACGGGAGTACTCGATGTAGGGTTTGATCAGAGTGGAGCGATCAGCTTCTCAGGAAATTAGAGCTTTATCTTCCTATATTTGTAATTTTGAGAGCTTGTTAAGACTAAATCTATCTTTATATTAATCTAAAATTTATACTATTTTACTTTACTATTTCCTATCCTAAAGCCTTCTGGATCGGCATATGAGTCGGTTCTGTTGCATGCATCATTCATAGCAATTCATTCAAAGCCACACAATTTTGGGATATAGGGAGTGAGAAGGAACACCTCCTCTCTTCACTAAAAAAGACTTGAAAGACGTAGTAAATGGAGCTACGTGACTTTCAACTCAACATCAAACGGACCCCTGTTTTTTCAAGCACTTGACGCCAATGACATTTCTGTTGCTGTTGGTGGGAGGGGCCAGTCTTCCAAAGATCTTCCAGAACATGAAGTCCCGTCCTAAAGCCTTCAATCCGGTAGACTTTTACATGAGAGTACCAGCTGCGAAATCGGTCCTGCATTGCCACGTCAAAAGTAGCGCTGGCAGCAATGAAGACAGGCCAGAAGAGTGGTGCCGCTAACGCTTCTTGTGTTCCAACTTTCAGACTCTCAACCGTCTCCATACTGTTTAATACCTGGTTGACATAGGGCAGGAGGAAGTGATGGCCAACCTGTCGGATGTTCTGCGCGAAATAGATGATGAGAGCGTTGTGGAATGCCAAGGTGTGCTGATGTACAATTTTGGCGCTGACCGATGTATTTATTTTGGTGCATCCTTCGAGGCCCACTACTGCAGGCCAGTCTATTATGGCTTTTCCCAGTTGATCGCATTCTTCCATCAAAGAGTCCGAAACCTGAGTGACCGAATCCGCATCACGTACCTCGTCCAACTTGTCGGTTAATTCGATGACTTCGATCAAAAGGATGAGCAAACCATGAGGAATTCCATAGATCCTCTCGCAGCTGGACATTCGCGTTTCAAGATCCATATCTATGCCTGCTGGGAAGCCAGACATCTGAGCGCCAAGAAGATCGCGGCAAAATATATCAGGCGACCCGTCTCCGGGCGTATCCGCTGCGAATGGAAGATCTTGAGTGCGCCGACTAGACCGAGGGGCCGTGCTTTCATAAATTGTGCGCAAGTAGAAATATATTCGATGAAGTGTCTGAGCCTTGGTCGAGTACTTACGTTTCCATTTCTGCGCCTGGGTGATTAGGCGAAAACACCCATTTAGATGAATACCACAAGTATCAGTATCACCAGATATGACCTAGGATAAGCTTAGTTGCTTCAAATGACAGTTATAGGGCTTTGACTTACGTCCATGGTGATCATAGATAGTGTAGTCGCTAAGAACTCCTTGTATCTTGGGGGAGACTTGGCGTAGAAATAGCATTCGACAGCATTCCTGAGCAGGTTGATTGCTTTGCAGCGGTATTTGCTTGCAGCTGCTCGCCAACTTAGAGCATCATCTGTCCGCACATGCGACTGGCCATCATTGGACAGAAGAAATGAGCTAATGGCCAGTAACGTACACAGGAGAGCTTCACGAATCATGGAAGTTGAACCTTGCATACTTAATTCGCCCATGGCCTGAAGAGCTATCGGTAGGTGAACGATCTTCCATGGGCTTTTCTCGTGGTCGATGACACAAAAGAGGTACAGAACCCGGTGGGAATAGTGATACATGAGGAAATTTTCATCAGAAGAGAGGTGCGACGAAGTGGGTCGTACGAGGAACGGGGTTGGAGGCAAGCCCTGGGAGGGCGCAAGGAGAGTCTGTGACTCATAGCTATCGTGCAAAGCTCCAACGTCGAGGAGAAAAGCATCATCATATGTCCCACGAGGGGTGGGCATATCCCCAGAGATCTCCGCCGATACCGATTCCAGACGACGATCCTGCTGCCCCCCTAGAACGGCAGCCAGACCGAGAGGGCTCCATGAGGGTAGCTCACAAGTACCTTCTAGAGACACCACCGGGGAACTCTGAGAAGATTGTTGACCTGTCTCAGTAAGAGCTGGCGATCTCACCGACTCCAATTGAACCGGGTGCGAAACAGCCGTCGTCTGGGATGAAATGGATGTACTATTCCTGTGGCGCCCAGCTGTTCCAAGGACGCCAAAACAATCAATAAAATGGGAGACTTCCTCACGAGGGTTAGCTGTACCGTCGTAAGCCAGCAGGTCCAAAGTATGGAGAATCTCGTCGATGTGACTGGACGGGAAAACAACTCTCCTAGAGTCTATACTATTGATCAGGATGAGATCACGCAAGCAAGTACCAGGCAAGTATTCCCATAATTTCCCGCCATACCTGGGACAATATTACTGCGTGCTGCAGAAGGGTAGGGTCCGTCCTGTTCGTCGGCATCGTTACGAACCCATTGGAGCCTTACCCCATAGCCTTCGCACTTGCAGCCTTTGTGGAAACACTGAAGACATTGGGGCTTGGTCTCGTCACATCTGATTCTCCGAGCACGGCATGTCCAACAGCCTGTGAATGTCTTGGTGTGCTTTCTGACCTTCGTATCGCCGAGGCGGCCCGTGGACATTATGGGCCCTCCGGCTCGTTCAAGATCGCCGCGAAGAACGAGCAATTGGAGAGGCAACACTAAGCGTGGAAGGGAGATCAGTTGAGGCGATACACGAGGAGGTTCACCAGTATGTGCAGAGCGATTGACACAAGGAAGGAGAGAGCGACGGGTCAACTATTAAGGCTTGCAAGAGCCGTAGGGCGGGGTAACGGCAATGGCAAATATGGGTTCCATTTCCCAATTCGTTAATGGTAACCGACAGCGTGGCCCGCTGATAACCCTACCAACACCGACATGCATGTCAATAAAGCAGGATAACACAGGATACAACAGGTTGAAACTCATCGTACTATAAGCTCAAACGTTTACCATTACCTACCAGCACAGCATTCAGAATGTCGACTACTACCACTCTTGAGACAGTCAGCACAATGGATCCCCAACCGGTAAAACAGGGGAAAGATCAGTGTTTCTCCACTGGCGGATACTCTTTCCCAGGCATTCCTCACTTTGACAACCCCTACAAGAGCCGCCACTGGCAACTGGAGCACATGGCTGCCGCATTCAGAGTCTTTGCGAGAAAAGGCTACACAGAAGGTACTGCGGGACATATCAGTCTTCGTGACCCTGTGCAACCCAACACTTTCTGGATCAACCCGTGAGTTCCGCATCAACCCGCGCAAATTGCCAAAAGTGCTTACGATATAAGCTTTGGAGTTCACTTCGGCCTGCTGAAAGCAAGTGACATGGTCCAGATTGATGAAGAGGGTCAGGCCATAGGAGGAAATAAGGTCGCTGTCAACGCGGCAGGGTTCAAAATCCACAGTGCCATCCACAAGGCCCGTCCTGATATTAATGCTGCTTGTCACACGCATTCGGTGGCGGGCAAAGCTTGGTCAACCTTTGGACGACCTTTAGATATCATCAGTCAGGATGCTTGTACCTTTTTAGGGATTCAGACCGTCTATAAAGAATTTGGAGGAATTGTACTTGAGGATACAGAGAGTGAGAGGATCGCTGAAGCGCTAGGCGAGAAGAACCGTGTCATGATACTACAAAACCACGGCATTCTCACTACTGGGGCAACTGTTGACGAGGCAGCTTATCTTTTCACACTCATGGAACGAAGCTGTGAAATTCAGCTTATGGTCGACAGCACAAATCTCCCCAAGAGGTTCGTTGGCCCAAAGGAGGCAGAGTACACTGCAAAGGTGAATCAAGATCCCGTAAGTTATTATATGCCATCATACCTCCTGTTGCGGAGTAAGTGCCAGTGCTGATCAGTTATCTATTAACAGGAAACACTCTATATTGAATTCCAGCCAGATTTCAACTATGAGGTTTGGAAGTCAAATGGAGAGATAGCCTGTGGGTTGTAGCGATGGCAGCGAAGTGAAATGAGAGGTACAAAATGATGACCATATTGTTTAGAGTGATTGGTCAAGGATGCTTAATATTAGGCCATGGTAACAGCACACAACTGTGCATAGACTATTCCGCTGCAAGCTTCCTTGTACGGGCGTTCTCCTTCAAGCTGGAAAGCACAAGGGGCATACGTTTCTGTCCGATTAATAAGATAAAATGAATAAAAGGAACAATAAAGTCCAAAATTAGATTATTTCTAAGGAGCATCAAGGATTCACTCTAACTTGTTACTGGCACGAACGATGCGACTGTCGTGATTGACATGACAATACATAGTAAAAAGCGGCTACCACCCCTCGAGCAGGATGGGAATGGGCTGATGTTGTAACTTTGGGTTAAATTCGTTCCATCGTGGTCGACTAGGTATCCAGGACCCGGCCTTGAGATACCCCCAACCATGACTACCACGTTTTACTCGAATCCATCTCTATCAATTAAGCCAACAGGTTGGCATGTGATGCCATGACGACACTTCATGACAGCCAGGCGGCTGAGTGGTTAACAAGTGCAACGTCCATCAGTTAGTTGAGTGAGTCTGCTTGCAACAACCTTGAGCCGGAATTTTATCTGAATTGAGAATTCTACTTTTTAGACACTTCTAAAATGGTGTGAGCGTAAGTACCATCACTTCCCCCTCATGTAATGGTGCAAAAGAACAGAAATCTCTGCCGTTGCCATCATGTGGCCTAATCGCAGGATAGTCCTAATGACAGCTCTGAGGTCATGAAAGTTTACAATGTACCACACAATATATATCTCCCAGAGTAGTATTGCAACCGGATGAATTGTATTAACACGGTTATTAAACCTCAATAAGCTGTTCCAGTGTATGGTCAATAAAGTCCCGCTGTTCCTCCAGCCACCGCCTCATCTCTGGAAGCTCAAACGCCCGCCGCCCCTTGATGCGATCACGTTCCTCCTTGATCTTCATACGGAACCGCTCTTCGACGATTTCCATACGATAGTTGGTGTACTGAGTGTACAGCTCACTCGTGTTGCTGATGGCACGGACGCCGTTGAGAGTTGTCTCGTCAGGAACAACAGGATTCTTCGGCCGGAAGGAAGTGACCATTGCAATGCGTTCACGGCCACCAAACGCTTTTAAAGCTTGGTGTTGAAGATAACGTCCTTGCATAATCACGGCGGTGCCCTTTAAAGCTGTTAGCAGCTGCGATTTCAGAAGTATCACGATTTCACGCTTACCATACTAGGACCGCGAACCTTCCTCACCCCACCGTCAGGAAGTTTGATTGCAGTCTCTCCACCGATCATCCCCGTGCAGTCAGAAGCCATTGTCACGCAAACAAAAGGGACACTATCGTAGTGCCAGGCAACAGCAGCTGTCTGATCTCCTGAGCCAACCGTTGCCACATTCTGGTCATTTACTGAGATATTCACGTTAGCAACTTCGTAATCATAACATGGAACGAGTTCGATGCCCGCAACATCTGAAACGATCTTTAGGACTTCTGGTGACCACCACAGGGAGAAGCAGAACGGGGCGTTGCTGTCAAGCCATCAGTATTCATCGAAATTGTGACAAAGGGGATGCCAGTACACGTACTCAGGTGTCAGGCCACGGATCAACTGAGGAGTCAAGTCCGATCCAAATCGGCAGTTCTCGAGTGACCATTCGCTAAAAAGCTCAGCTCTCATCTGCATCATAGCTTCCTTTGTGAAGAGGGGGAAAGGGTCCGACACAGCATTAGGAGAGATCCCATGGCCCTCAAGACCGATGTCTTTCATCATAGTGATGTGCTGTGGTGGTTCAAAAGCAAGATGCTCCGTTGGGTTAAAAGGAACTCGTTTTGTTTGACGCGCTTCATCGATCAGGTTGAGTGGAAGCTCCTGAGAAGGGCGTGTAGGCTTCTTTAGTCTGGGGCCCTCCACGATAGGGGCCCTTGGACGACTCGGGCTGGGAGGGCTGAGTGGTGTTTCCGTGGTAGTAACAGCAGGCATCGTCAACACTGTGGTAGTGGTGTGGCTCAAAGCAATTAAGTATAGCTTGAGTAATGACTTTTGCTCTCAACTTTTTCAGATTGAACTTAACTCGCAAACGGTTGGCCTTGTGGAAGGGCAGATGGTATATTTATGCTACGGTGGTCCAGCTATCTATGTGCTTTCCCCGAACCGGCCGTACGACATGCCCTGAGAAGACCCATCTGTTGAAAGAAATGCCTTGAGCCCGGGATACCCTCAAACCTGTAGTCAGAAGACCCCAGTCCGTCCTGTCACATACTGTCGCCACACACAATCTACCTCCGAGCCTGGGTATCGTTTCCGAAAATGGTTGTGTCCGTAAAACACGCGAATGCCATCATACAGCCAAGCTTGCGAGATGCATTTTAGCTGCCTTAGATGGGGAAATTCTGTCCGAGAGCTTATGGGTGGTGGTCATGGCACATTTGCAGGAGACTGGCCTCCGCGGGAAAAGCCGCGTGGGTCCACTCCTTCGCTACGGGATGTGGAAGAGGCATGCATCGCCGTGACATACTCAAGCTTGGGGATGTCGTGGCTCATGTCGCATGTTTTGTCCGTTTTCGTCAAATCTACCAAATACATGAACACCTTGGCCCACCGCTCTCACATATTCAATAGAACCATATACAGTTGAGTACTTTATGGTACGAAACTCAAATACTGGGATATCGCTTCGTCTCTATACCTGTCGTTGGCTCAGGCTACAACGCATCCTATCTCAGATTTCTCATAAATAATCCTTCGCCGTCGATCAAACTTTCAAAATCTTCTATTGTTATTTGTTATAGGCCGTTGCACATAATGTTTGATGTCGCTATTGTTGGTGCGGGGATGAGCGGGCTGCAGGCTGCCGTCTCTGCGAAGCAGGCTGGGCTCTCATTCTGTGTCATTGAGGCTAGGGATCGTGTCGGAGGCAAGGTCTGGAGCATCCCGCTCGCCTCTGGCCGAGGCACTGCCGACCTTGGTGCGGCCTGGATCAACGATGAGCTACAGCCCCGTGTCACGGCCTACGTCCGGCAATTCGGAATGAAGACTGTCTGTCAGCCCATTGACAAAACGGCTATAGTTCGGATCTCTGGAGATGAGCGTCTTGAGTTCCCCTTTGGTGTGATTCCCGATGTAGGTATCCCCGTTTGCCCGTGTGGTGTGGCCCAGCTTCAATCCGACTCACAAAATGTCTAGTTTCCACCGGAAGAGAAGACCAACCTAGAAATGATTCGCGATCACATCGAGGCAGAATCTCAGAAGAAAGAGGCTCCAAAGTTGGAGGATGACCAGGTTTCTCTCGACACGTATGTGCGCAAGCTGGGTGCTACGGAAAAGACTTGCAAGATGGTGAACCTCTGGGTACGAGCCATGCACGGTCTTGAGTCAACTGAGGAGTCGGCAGCGCATTTCATCGACTACTGCCGCAGGAACCACGGTCTTCTCGCAGCCCGAGCTGATGACCACACGGGTGGCAACTACTTGCGCTTGCAGGGCGGTAGGTCTTAAACAAAGCAAGGGCTCCGAACTGATACTGACGTCTTAGACAGGGACTCAGGACATTGCACGTGGTATTGCCCGCCTGATCGGGGATCAACACATCTATACTTGCCATCCGGTGCAGTCCATCCATGACGAGCAAGAAAAGGTCACAATTTACACCAGTAACGGCAAAAGCTTCGTCGCCAAAAAAGTCATAGTATATGTCCCAAGTGCTTTATTTAGGGATATAAAATTCACGCCTCCCCTTCCAGCCGCTCTTCAGGAGCGCTCCAGCAATACAAAGCTCGGGCACTATAGCAAGGCCATTGTTTGCTATGATAAGCCCTGGTGGAGAGACCTAGGCTACAATGGGTTTCTTTTCAGTTATGTCGGTCCTGTTAGCATTGTCCGAGACTCCAGTGTTCCAGAGAAGAATTATTACAGCTTGACATGCTTTGTCAACGGCAGGGTGGGAGCAGAATGGGCTAAACTGAACCCCCATGCGCGACGTCGAGCCGTTTTGGAGCAGCTTGCAAAGGGTTACAACGTTGGTCGATCGTCAGAGCTCTGGCGTCCCATCGAATTCTTCGACCAAATCTGGAAACACGAGCCCTACAGCCAGGGTGCTCTCTCTCCGATTCCTGCTCTCGGCCACTACGTCAAATATCAATCTGTGCATGGCAAGCCCGTGGGAAACATTCACTTTGTTGGAACTGAGTACTCCGACCATTGGAAGGGCTATATGGAAGGTGCATTAAATTCCGGCGCGCAGGGAGCTGCAGAGGTGGCGAGGGCGCTAAAGATTCCAGGATCACGTTTATGATTGTATTTTTCCAGCGCAGGCGTCAATAACCTTCATGTTGTAGTATCTGGGTATACTAGCTATATTTATGGTTTACTTCAAAACATCCGGTTTTGTCGCCATTGATGACCGGTTTGAAGCACCGCTGTGACGAAATAGCTTCCTGCATCTCACTGGAGGATTGCCTATACGCCTTGGTGATATAAACAGCACTCTAACTAGCGAGAGAAAAAAACTAAAAAAAAAGAGAAATACAATAAACAAAAAACCTTTCTATAACCTGAGGAAAGTTGTACCCAGAATGACCTCATCCGAGATAAGGTATGAGTGGCAGACTCCAACTCGCTTGCTTTTGCTCTTTTATTTGTGCTTGGGGGTTACCGCTGGGTTTCTAATGGCCCGACCCTCATCTCGGAAGCTGGACCCGAGTTCATTCGCTCACAATTTCCCTGCGTAGGAGGATCGTAGGCAACCAAGACCTTATCTTCGGAGAACCATGAAACAAGGACGATCTAGATTTATTCTCCTCTCATCTTCTGCATTTCAGTTCATAGCTTATTCCCACTTCTTAACGCCCTGGTTTCCTTTTGGATCAGCTCGGGATAGAAAGCGTTTGCGTCGAATTCTATTTAGCAAAGTTCATGGTACCCAGAGCCCAATTTACTTTTCTCTGTATGACGCACAACGAAGGATTCAATCCGAATCCATTACGAAGACGCCACGAACTGCTGCAATGACATTTGAATATCCCAGCAGAGCCCACCCGGCGACCTGGCGTTTTGACGGGCCGACCCTCCCTAACCCGGACTAGGTTCCGTCCCGTACCCTGACCCGGGAGTTTATCCGGTGCCTCGTATGACAGTCACACCTAGATATAGATCTAGATAAAAAACATAGTAAGCCCTAGGGGCCCTTTTGATATAGGCAACAATACTCCAGATTGTCGGAATAGAGTTTCCAGAGTTCGATAAAAGTGCCTGAACTAGTACTATTAGTACCAATCCGTCACCTGGTTGTAGATATATATTTTGGGCGTGTATACCCGCAGGTGACGCTCCCTGGGCTAAAGCTCATTCAATTCACTCCACTTAAAGACGAAATATAGAAATAAGTGAAACAAAATAATCAGAAGTCATGTCTACTCGACTACAACAATCATAAAGTGTCAATCCATGCTTTACACACCTCATTCCCAACGCCATAAAGTACACAGTTAATAGGAGAGAAGTAAGGCGAGGTACCACGATCGCTACGCAAAGCATGTTATCAGATCAGGACTGGCCATAAAGGGGCTGTATCGTCAATTCGAGAATTTTATTTGAAGGCCAAACCATGCTCAATTGTTTCGTTTGATTTCTCGATACACAAAAGATCTGTTCTAGAGGAGGTTGATCATCGCCCGAAATAGGTAAGATTGCGGGGGCTAGAGCCTAGAGGATACATCTCTAGACTGGTCAAAATACGATACCTCGGCGCAACAGGATTGGTCTGGAGAATGAGCCTCACGAGGCTGACAGCTCAGCTGGACTCTTTTCCAGGACACTTTCGCCTCACTCCGTCATCTCAGTTTCGCATCTCACTCATAACAAATTATTGATCTCGGTAGACCGCCCTCAGTTGAGTGTTCATGGTGAATATGTTCAAGAGTCTACGGGAGAAGCTCTGCTGTGGAAAGGCAGATACGGCTGACGGCCATGAATCACCTTCGCACCCCGTAGAGATTCCCCACAAGACAAGCAACGAGCTGGAGGTCACACCGACGCCGTCAAATGTCAAGCCAAACGTAGCCATCGTTGAGAAACCAGCCAAACGAGATCTCTGGAAAGAAGCATTCGACAGCTTGCCCGACGACCGCAAACAGTATCTGGCGGTGAATGAGGGATGTTCTACGGTAGATGCGATCGACAAGGTTATCAACACCACAGAGCAGAAATATAAAGAGTGGAAGAACGGGGGTCTCAAAATTCGCAGGCGCGATGGGAACGATTTCAATGTCCGCGATTCAGCGGAGAACATATTCAATTGTGCGATGAAAGTGAAGATTCTGGTCTCAACGGCGGTTTCCTTTGACCGGACTGGATATGGTGAGATTGTTATCCTATGACGGGGAAATACAACCCTTGCTCACGCAGGATTTAGCATCTGCTGCATGGTCGGTTGTTTCATTGGGATTGACCGTAAGGACACCTATAGAGGTATTGTGGTTAGATTTGGTCGAGAGGCTAAACGAGAAAGATGATCCAAAATGATATTCAACGTCGAGACGCCGTTTTCGCAGCATCCGAGTACCTTGCTGACACTCTCGCCTACTTTACCTTGATTGATACGCATCACCGGGACCAGCACGTTGATAGCGACCAGAATCTCGATAATGCTCTTCTGGGGGTTTATACGGCGCTCCTCGAATATTCTGCGGAAGTGAATAAGGTGCAGAAGCAAAACGCTGCTGGTAAGCCCAACGCCCACCAACGGGGATCAAGGCCGACCGCAGATCCAGACTAATGACTGCAAAAGTTCGCGTAGCCATGAGCATCAATGCAATTGCCGATCAGCCACTCGAGCAACTGAAAGCAAACGTCAAGGAGAAGGGCCAGGGTGCGGACAAGTGGGCTCACTTGAGCGATAGTCTACGTGAGATTGTTCGTCATTCTGCTTGCATACTTGGCTAATAGATGTTAGGCAACCGAGAAATTGCTCGGAATACTCTCGCTAAGATCGATGAGTCCATTGTTATCAACAAGAATATCGAGTCCAAAGTATTGAGTATGATTTCAAGTATATCATATGCATAATTTATACTGACCAATACAGCTGCGGAAGAGGAAAGAATTCTGAACTGGGTCTCCACAGCAGACTATTCCAGTATTCAAAAAGAAACACGGGATTTCCGAAGCCCTAATACCAATAACTGGTTTCTTACTTCAAACCAATATCAGGATTGGAAGGACTCACCCGGATACATCCTATGGCTTTCTGGAATAGTGGGCTGTGGAAAGTCCGTTCTTTGGTAGGCGAACATTTGTCTAGAGAAAGATGTATACTAACCACAACCATCCAGTTCGACCATTATACAAGATATTGAACGTCTCTGCGAGGAACATTCATCCAGGTGGTTTGCATACTGGTTTTTTCAGTTCAGCAATGATACGACACGGACCGTAGAAAACTTGCTCAGGTCCTTGATCCGACAGTTTAGCCGGAAACCACTGGCACAGTCTATAACCAGGATGTGGGAAAAGCATAACAACCGGGGCAGTCAGCCCAATCGAGAGGAACTATTGGATACCCTTAATGAGGTGATCTCAAGCACTCCTGGCGAAGTGTTTCTGGTGCTGGATGCATTGGATGAGTGTCCCGAGCGGTCGGGACGCAATGAGAGAAAGACACTACTATCTCTCCTGATAGATCTCAACGAGCGTCATACGAATAAGCTTCATATTATTGCAACGAGTAGGCCTGAGCCAGATATTCGTGCTACCCTGGAGAGATTTCCCACGGTTGATTTGGAAGCTCGGCTAGCAGAGGATGTTGAAACCTTTGTCCACGCTGAAGTTAGCACGGGTCGTCTACAAGATCTTCAGGAGGACAAAAAAGCTCGAACCCTTGAACAGTTACTGCATACCCGAGACCGGTATAGGCATCCATTCTGCTCCTTGAAGGACTGAGATAATTGAGCTAACCTATAACACTGGGTAGGCGTTTCCGCTGGGCTGATCTACAAGTAAAACGACTTGCGGATTGCCACACCGACCAACAGATAGACTATGCGCTACGGACGATTCCTGAAACACTTGAGGACACTTACCGGGAAGTACTTGACAGGATCGAGGAAAAGGATATAAACATAGCACGCGAAATCCTTCTTTTCCTGTGCCTTGCTGCTAAGCCGCTAGACGATCGGACCGTCGCAGCAGCGGTATCGTTGCGATCTCCTGATTTCATTGTTAAGATCTGCACAACCTCTCTTGTCATTGTGAGCACGGACGGTGCGATTAGACTTGCGCATTTCTCTGTCAAAGAATACCTGGTGGTCTCAGACAATGTTAAAAAAGACCACCGGTGCCAGTTCTCAGAAATTGAAGGCCACCATGAGCTGGCCGTAAAGACCATAGACCTTCTCCTTTCGCAGAACGAGACGTTGACAGAGAAGATCGCTATGTCGCAGTCCTTCTTGGTCTATGCGGCAAGGCACTGGGGCACTCATGTTGCTGCCGCAGGGGACGTGCTAGACATACAAGGGAAGATCGATCGCCTGTTCACTGAGCCTAATATCTACTTCAATTGGCTGCGGATAGCGGACTATTCGTCCCGTAACTTTGAAAATCCTTGGCACAAGTTGCCTAACAAGTGCGAGCCACCAATTTATCGCGCCTCCAGCATGGGCTTGGTACACACCGTGGAAACATTGTTTGCCAAGGGTGCGGATCCCTTGGAATTCTTTGGTGGAGGTAGACAAAACAATGCATTGACCGTCGCTGCCAGATGTGGCCACCTTGGTATTGTGGAATTGCTGCTGGGCAAAGGCCTTCCGATCGACAAGAGATTAGTTAAGCGCCTAATGAACCAGATTGATTATCCAACTGATGGAAAAGCGGATTTGGAAGCAATCTTGAACTTAGTCTGGGACTTGGATTTGTTGTTTGATAAATCCAAGATGCCCGAAAAGATTCTTGAGGAGGATATAATCTTATCGACAATAGCGAATAAACGTTGTGGACTTAAGTTGATGAGACTTCTTCTTGAGCGGCGACACGAGGCCTGTATTCCTATTACTGATAAGGTGCTGCACAATGCGATACGCTACTCCGCTTTTCCGGAAGAAATGCTTGGATTGCTTTTCGAGAGATGCAATGAGGATATTCACATCGGCCCCTCCTTCTTTGCGGACTTGGCTGAAAACATCTTCTCTCGTTACCTTAATAACTGTGGCGGAATCGATGTTGTTCTAATGAAAAGGGCGACCGAGCTCGCTGTGGACGACTATAGCGTTTCATACTGGGCATGTAATGCGAGCTCGAAAGCTATGGGTTTCATGTTACAGGCCCGTGCAGATATCCGGATCACTGAGCGGACGCTAAGGGCAGCAGCCTCTAATCGGTTGGGGACCGACATGATTCGATTGCTTTTCGATCGGCGAGAGCCAGGCACAGAGATAAGTGAGGCGATACTTCTCGTCGCAGCAGAGAACCAAAAAGGCCAAGAGATCCTGAAGTTCCTGCTTGGTAAACTTGATCCAGCTGCTCCAATCACCGAAGAGATGATTCTTAATGTGGTCGAAAGTCTTCAAGTGGGCAGGAGGAATCATCGCCATAAAGTCTTGAAAATCCTGATTGAGGGAATCAGCCCAAGTACTCCGTTGACCGAGAAGGTAAATGAATTCCTCGTCGGGCAAGGATTGGCTATGGTGAGGCTGGTCATGGACAGACAGCAAGCGGGCTTCGTCGCATCAGAGAGGATGATGGAGATAGCTGCTTCAGACTGGGCCGATGCGGTAGAATTACTGCAATTGCTGATGACCAACGGCGGCGCCGAGGTTCCAATAACCGAGGCTATTGTATGCGCAGCAGCCGAGAATTATGGTGGTTCGTCTGTCATAGAGTATTTGTTTCAGGTCCAGGGAGATGGCCTTCCTATTACAGAGAAAGTCCTCGTCGCAGCAGCCAGAATTCCAATGACACTTGAAATAATTTTGAATAAACGTCCGGGGGCAACGATAACCGACACAGTGTTTGAAGCGGCATGCGAAAACAAGGACGCATTGGTGATGCTTCTCTCGCGACCCCACAAAGATCTGCCAATCAAAAGGATGATGACCAGGATTGTAACATATGGATATGCACCAGAGGTATTGGAGTTACTTGTTGATCGACATTTGGTGGATATCGATGCATGGGCGGTAGAAACAGTTGCCTGCAAGCATAGGCTTCTGGAGGTTTTGCTTAACAGAAAGCCGGATGTCCCCATCACGCATCAAGCTCTCATACGGACAATAGAAGACCGTCATTCAGTGCGCCTACTACTAAATTCAGAAAAGAATCACAACCTTGTCACGGAGGAGGTCATGATGGCTGCGGCAAGGTCATCTGGCAAAGTGGACAGCATGAAGTCCATCTTGTGTCGTGTGGAATCTGCACCAATAACGCGAAATGTGCTCAAAGAGGCGATGTGTTATAGGAAACTAGATGTGGTAGAATTTATCCTCTCCAAGCGGCCTGATCTGGACCTGAAAGCAGTTTGGGAGGAGATTTGGCAGGATGTTGATCTGGATAAACCGGGCGCGATAAAAGGAAGAGCGACCGTAATTGTTGCACGACATACAGACTTCGAATTGACGGAGTCTATGCTGCAAGACTATCCATACGACCAGGCGCTGAAAAATGACTATGGTTTTAATGATATGATCCACAAGCTCTGCATCCGTAGAGTACCGATATGCGCGACCGAAGGAGTGGGAGTGATTGTCCTGGAGAGATGCTCCAATAAAGTTGCTAAGGAGTTCCTGGAGTACTACCCGAATGTCCCGATCACGGACAAGTTATTTCAAGCGGTGGAGAGGAATCCACGGGCGGATAAAGAGGGCTTGTTATCACTACTCGCTCGTAGGAGAGACTCAGCATGATAAATATATAGAAATAACCATAAATACATGGATGCTATGCCACAAGTCAAGTTCTGGGTTTGGAATCTGGAACAGCTCAAATACCTGGAGCATGCAAGTGCAACACTGGAATTAACTTGATGGACTGCGCTTCGTTTGCACTGAAGCTATCATTACCCGTAAATCTTGATCGTATTGATGAGTAGACCCTCGTCCCATACTATCATATACCACAACAACAGCTATGTACAATGCATGAATCTAACCTGCCGTCACTACTGCGGAGCTTCAACAGTTCTTGATATTTCACGTCAGCGCCTACACTTAGGCAAAATTTGCTGACCAAACCTATATCTAGTCTCCGGCCCACTCCAACCGGCAAGTGTAATGAAATGGCCTCCAGCAGCGGAAATATCATCCGTGAGAGTCCTCTGCATTTGAAAAGCACTCTTGAAGGGTATCACATACAGGGTCCGTCGCGAAATTCGTGTGGCAGCGCTACATACAAAAGAGCATATAGAGCAAACAAACGTCCGGGCAGAGAGGAGCAAGACATGCCTGGAGCCTTGAAATGCATACCCTAAGGCTGTCAGCCAGCCAGCTCAAGCTTTCCACGATAAAGGAGAGCATTTATGGAGCTTTCCTGCTAAGGCTCTCGGTAAGTCTGGCGTTTTGCCAATCGGAAGGACTGCCCGTGGTGTTGACTTTGGAAGGATACAGAATACCATGCGTATCCCCGGTCAAGCCCCGCCTACATGTCTGAGCTTTCGGACAAATGCAGCACAATCTGCATAAGTGTTAGAGATATTGCACATATTTTGGCAAGGGCTCTCAGGGTTGCAGATACCTACCCCTTTCCTCGTAGAACTCCAGCTCCAGATACTTACTCCGTGGGCTCGGCCCTAATGATGTCAAAGTGGATTGACGTGACTCCTGTGAAAAGGCACTAGCAGCACTGTCCACGGAGCTGCGACGCGAAGCAGCCTGGAACGGAAGTTTGATCTGTTTTGATTTCGGATGGGGTATGCCCAAGTCATTTACTTGTAAGTGGTAAGCGTGTATCTTCAGATGATATTCGGACTAGAGAAGATGCGGATGACACTCACCTGGCATATCGACAAACCTTGCTCGGCGAGACGTTCCGGGGAAGGAAGCAAAGAATAGCAACGAAAAGGCTTTCGTAATTGGGTCTTCGAGAACACGGATTGTCTCTGATGAATTGGTGTAATAATCCGATCCAACGGATATTTTCCTCACATCAAAGCAGGCTACGACCTTTCTTCGAAGCAGAACCCTTTGAAAATTCTCGAAGTCTACAGATACATATCCTGTCAGCTCGTGCCAATCCGGGTACGCCATTTGGCACGTCTTACCAGTGCGGTCGCGGCATTTATAAATCGGGGAGATACTGTATCTCAGGACAGACTGTTGATCTTCAATCTTCGCTTTATGTGAACCCTGGAACCAGAGAGTGCAGGCATCTGAAAAAGATGCAGGGACTCGGCTGCTCGGTACATAAGGCAGCATAGAGCTCTTAACGGTAGTAGACCCGCGAATGATGGTTTGGGTGACTTTGACTCCTCCGTTGATATCGACTGCTTCAATCGCCTCTGGTTCATGTGTTTGGGTATTAAAGCAAGCTACAGCTGTACAGATTAATGTGCGAAAAAGTGCGCGGTTGGGAATATTCGGGTCGGGAAACTCCCTGATAAATATCAGAATTATCAGTAACGTTGAGTAACACGGTAAAATTGAGAACGATAAACGCACACTTGAACTGGGTGGGTTGTAAGAGGAATCTTCCTATCGGGTATCGGTATCGAGATGGTTGACTGTGGAGACCCAATGGAAAGGTCGGACTCTACGGAGCGTGTACGGGTGATGGGAATCGGTGGCGAGAGGCATTCGGATGACGGCGAGAGGTCAAGAAGCAATGGTTGGGAGGGATGGGATGGTTTCATATCAATAGAGTTTGTATTGAAGGCGTGTACAAGCTGAAAGTCGAGCCAATGCCGGAACTGCTCCCATTCCTCCGCGGTATCATTGATCGACTGAACAGGTTTAGCCAGGGCCTGATGTCTCTGAGAAGGGCCATAATTGGGGACGAGCTCATGCCCATAGCCGACGGTCTCCAGGGCATCGCGCACATCATCGCTGACCTGATGCAGGAAGCGAACCATGGCAGCAACGGTCGGTGTTTCAGCATTGGGCCCGTCAGAGTCCAACGTATACTTGCGGCTGCTAGGTTGAGGCGGGTCCACAGCTAGACCATGGCCGCCGTGTGTATCAAGCCGTCGAGTAAGGTTTCCCAGTCTCTCGGAGATCTCTCGAATGCGATCCAGAACCTTTTGGTACCTTTGACTGTCAACTGAAGGCATCTCGTCATCCTCCGGGATTCCACTAAGTATGTGTTCTGGCCGAAGGCCGGCTGGCCTCAATCGGTGCCCACGCTGGGCTGAGTGGTGCGTATCATAGTCTTCGGTGTCTATCGGGCCGTCAATTATGCATCGCCGGAGGAGTAAGGAGATCTGTGCTGTCATTGTCCTAAAAGACATTAGCCTTGAGCCGATAGTATCCTGTCACAAAGGGTGGCCCTCACTTGATAGATCTTAACATCTCTAGATTCTCTAACTGGTTATTCTCCGCTGTCCGCATAAACCCCAATGTTGCATCGCGTGTTTCTTCAGTAGACTTTAGTGTTGCCACTTTCAGACAGCGCTCAAGTTTGTGCCGAAGACGTTCGGCTTCACTTCGCTCTAAGGGCCATGTAACCTTCTCAAACCAGATGGAGACTTTTTTGCCTAGACTACCACGACGGCTGTTACCTGTTGATGGTTTATCCTGTGTGAGCACCTTGTGCTTATTGACGAACTGGGCGCATTCCTGAATTGTTTCGTTGTAAAACACCCCCAAGTCACGGACGTCTGTTGATGTAGAATTCTCTACCCGCTGTATCCTTTCCAGTAGTAGTTTGATAGTGCCAAACTCCTGACGAAAGGAGTTGAAGTCACCTGCCGCACCTGTAGGGCCATCTCGGACGCTTTCATAAATCGTCCAGACAAATTTGACTCCAGTAATGATATCTCCAATGCCTACCTGGGTCATGGTGAGACGTGCTACGGGGTAGATTCGCCCAATCACCTCCAGTGCCTGCTTGTTGGTACCCTCTGCAAAACGTCGACTGGTATTGCAGATCTCGGTGTGGAATCGAACAGCGGGTAGAAACAAAAGCAAGGTGGAAGCGGCTACCGGGGATCTCGTATTCTTGAGGTACGCTAAATGATCACGAGAGCTTCCAACTAATAGGTAATGAGGCTGAGGGAGGACAGCAAGCCACGGGGTATCGCAATAATTACTAGGCAATAAACCCCCCGTTAGCTAATCGAGTCATGCCATCACTTTCACAGGAATGATATGGGCTCCCAGACTGTTTTAGACTGAAGCGTTTCCGACCCATGCGCATATACGAGGCCATTAACCTTCTGGAAGACCGGAGATTTGAATGTACGATATGCATGACCCGAGATTATTATGAGTCTATCGGAAGTAACGGGCAACCACTCGTGGCGGCGGTGCACGGAGACTAAACTTTTAGCACCCATTTAGTGTCGTCCCACAGACCAATAGTGGAGACCTTGTCAGGAACGTGCTGAGATGAGATGCTTGTATTGAATGTATCTCGCAGCCACAGGGCGCATGCGGATTGCCTTCCGAGCCTTGTATACGATGTCTGACATCAATTTAGCCGACCTCCCCCAGTGATGCATGGCTCAGTCACTCCCAGGGTAGGGCACCTCTTCAACTTTGGTGAAGAATGATATGCACACAGTATAAACTCAACTTCGAAGAAAAGGGAAATACCGCCTCATTGTCAGCCTCAGCCGCTTGTGATCATGGAGCTGATATATTGTGGGATGTCCCCCGTATCCTCTCTGTGCACGAAGAAAAGGCGCACAATTCAACGTTTGTGGTAGGACATTATTTCTGCGCCTCTCGGATTCCTTTCCGATCTTTCGTATCTTGCATTAAAACAATACTTGTCAGGTCCCACTCGTCCTTGACGGTTAGGCTGCTATCGCAAGTGGCATGGGTCTCTTACCTCGGGTGAAGCTATATCTGAACCCATGGGGGAACTATGAGGACTTCCATCATCATGCGGTACGTAGCATATAGAAATACGAGCAGCTCTACTCCATTCTTCTCGCTAACTCGCAGTCTTTAGCCAGCGCAAAGGCGAAATTTTATCATCAGCCGGTTAGAGAGTGCCAGAAAGAGAGAATGGCTCTGGGTGGTAGTGGTCGCCGGGGTTGGCTTTTTTGCTGATGCGTACTGTGTAAGTTAAGTGCCAGGTTGAACCACTTCCAGCGACTGACTTTGCAGATCTTCTCCGTCAACATGGTCGTCCCCATGATCAGCGAAGTCTATTGGGGTAGTTTGGATGCCAAACCCGACCGTGTCCACAACTACGAGGTCGGTCTTAGTATCATCACCTTAGCAGGCGCACTCGTAGGCCAGATTCTTTTTGGTATCGCCGCGGATATCTGGGGTCGCCGAAAGATGTATGGATTGGAGTTGATTGTTTTGATTTTCAGCACTCTTGGGATGTCCATGGCCTCCTCGGGTAAATTTGACTCTATGTCAATCATCGGTGTTCTTCTGTTCTGGCGCTTCTGTATGGGCTTAGGAGTGGGAGCTGACTACCCCTTGTCTGCTGTTATCTGTTCCGAGTTTGTGAGCCCTCTACTTTCACCATGGCACAGCTAACGTCTGCGCTAGGCTTGCGCCCACCCGCATAAGGGGTCGCATGTTGGCGGCCGTCTTCCTCTGCCAATCACTCGGATCGGCTGCGGCGGCTGTCGTCGCTCTCATCGCTGTGGCAGGCTTTCGACATAGTCTACCTAATGATCCAGAAATTCGAGAGTGCACAGGATCTTGTATTCGGAACTTGGATATCATATGGAGGTTAATAGTAGGTCTGGGAGCGGTACCTGCGTTTATTGCTATCTGGTTTCGATTAACGATCATTGAATCTCCCCGTTATACCGCCGATGTCATGCAGAATAGTCTCCAAGCTGCTGCAGATGTCTCTCAGTTTTATCGGTCCGCAGAGATTTCCTCGGCTTCGAGTCTAGGCCATGAGTCGCTTCATCCAGTCGGAGAGACAATATCATTGTCTCCCACCCAAACTCGCGAAAATGGGTTTATCCCATCCATTATCTCTCTGCAGTCAAGCTCTGTGGAACTGGAGAATACCCCAAGCCCTCCAATCTACTTCTGGAGAGACTTCAAGATTTTCCTGAAACAGAAGCGCAACCTCCAGACGCTCGTGGCAACATCCTTATGCTGGTTCTGTCTCGACCTGCCGTTTTATGGATTGGGACTGATGAATCTGGACATTATAAATACCATTTGGTATGGAAGCCATATTCCGTCTGCAGGAGTGTACGGATCTCTCCTTCGGGTGTCATACCAGAGTATCGTGGTCGTATCATCGGGGGCTATTGTCGGTAGCTGTATAGCAGTGCTGACAATCGACCGAATCGGGCGGCGGAATCTGCAGCTGCTAGGCTTCTGTTGGCTTTTCATTCTCAATGTGATCATTGGTGCTTCATTCCGGTACTTGAGCACACACGGTGACTCATCAGCTTTGGTCGTACTTTACGTTCTAACTCAGATATTCTTCAACTTTGGTAAGTGACCGACCATTCCATACCCCAGTGGAGGATACGGCTAAGATTTGTGTATTTGCCCGGGATAGGACCGAACACCACAACATACATTGTACGTCGGATCGGAACAGACTTTCCTGACTCTCCCAATCCTTTATGGTCTCTCTAACGTGTCTAGGCCCCTGCTGAGCTCTTCCCAACCCGGTTTCGCGCCACTTGCCATGGCATCGCAGCCGCCTCGGGAAAATTCGGGTCCATTCTTGCACAATGCTTCCTAGGGTATGTGGACTTTGGTAATGGTGCAACTTGGCGGAATGTGCCGGATTGGCTAGGATATGCACTTCTATGGTAGGTTCATCACAGTCGTGGCGGTCGATTTTGAATGGCACTGGCGGTCTCTAACACCGACACTAGTCTATCATTCTTCATGTTGATGGGCCTTATTGCTACCTTGTGGATCCCTGAGACTAGGGACAAGGAGGGAAACAATAAGTCACTCGAGCGTATCACTGATGATATGCAGGCAAAAGATGCGCCTCCCGTGGAGGAAGAAAACGGCAGCATCCACGCGCAGACTACGACGGCGATGCCTAACTCGGGTTGGAGGTCGGATTGATTTCCCAATCTGAAGATCGTCTCGTCCAAACTGTTTCCATTATTTTTGATTGCTTCGATGTATTACATAGAATGCCTCATTATACCCTTGTCGACCTAATATATGCTCATTATATACCAGAATTAGACAAAGATATGTCCCGTTGACGAGGATAGTATCCAATCGAGGAAACCCCAGTCACCGGACCAATGTATGCCAGTTTCCTCCCTGACTTCACACCAACAAGATTACCCTTGATCTTTTGATCTAGGATACATTTATTGCGAAATGTGGATCAGTTCAAATAATTTCTATCGTTCTAACCACGGATAATCGATTTCCCTTTTCGGAAAATATGCCCTAATTCGACGGCTCATGACGTCATCTCTCATTCATCTTAAGCCCCAAAACATCATAATCTACGATTCTGATCTGTTAATTAAAACCCTAATTTGATCTTAATCCAATGTTGGGGATTGTTCTGTTCCAAAGGAACATCAAATAAACAGTACAAATTCACCCGGATCCATGGTGGGATACAGTAACCCCGATCACCTATAATTGACATCATTAGTCTATGACATAGTGAACCAAAATATAGACTCAGATAAGATATATAGTTTGGGTACTACCACCTTCCTGGACAAAAATCATTTGAACACTACAATCATTTATACCACCTCTAACGACACAGACACCACACTCAGACTTATCTCACCTTATCAAGAAAATGGACAAACTCGTCTCCAAGCTTAGCGGTGGTAGCCACTCCAAGGACAAGGAAGGTGGCAGCTCCAACGACAAAGACTATGTCGATAAGGGTATGTGCCCAGTCTCCATATACCCTCGTCCTAATGTTCATCGGGGATCTCTTCGAGTGTGAGCTGATGTTCATGAATTGATTAGGTCTCGACTCAATCGAGAAGAAGTTCGGCGGTGGCCGCATCAACCCCGACGATCCGAAGGTGCGAGAGACGAATGAGAAATTTACTGATGGCGCGAGGAGCAAGTTTGAGAGTATGACTGGGTAAGTTATCCAAATTATAGATCGATACTAGAAAGTATAGTATAGCTAATTGTTCATGCTTGAATGTAGGAAAAACGTCCCGTCGAAATTGTCCAACTAGGCGAATTATTTATGCTACTCTAATGATGATACTATTGAACACGCAAACACCTGTTATATAAAACTATAGCTAGCTATCAATCGCTAATGAAACAATCCAACAAAAACAGTGGTTCTGGAAATGTGCATCCCCATGGAAGACAGCCTAAAGAACTCCGTAAAGCACAGTGTAAACTCCCGAGGAAGAGGTGATGTCGAGTGCGAGAAGTGGAATCATTGCAGAGCGAAATATCCCTACATTCCAGGTAAATTATTACCCACTTTCTGGCCTCTACGTGTATTCTTGACAAGTCCATGATACAACGTAGAAATAGACAGTCCCGAGTTTCTCACAGGTGTCAAAATTGATGGTGTTCATGCAAAGATGCGGCAGGACACCTAGTAATCCCTTATAACATCCACAACTGTGCCACTGAAATTTCAGGCTTCATGTTGCTAAACCTCATGAGCGGTTCGTCCCGCCCCGGTGAGCATATCTCACTCGCGATAAATTGGTTTAGTGGGCACTATGTAGTTAAAAAAAATATAAGATTAAGATTAAAATTAACCGAGGAAGAAAAGAAAAGTAAAATAAATATACAAGTAAATAAATGGAAAAAATAAAGAGATGAGAAGAGAAGAGAAGAGGAAAAGAAGCGCGTGCTCGGCTGCTGGAGGATGCGAGCTGAGGGAAAGACGAGAGTTCGTTAGCGTCAGGCTTTCCCCACCATCACGACGCTGCTGGATACTTTCGCCGAGTGCAGCAATCAGTATCTTCAGTGTTCAAGGCGATAGTTCAAAATCAGCATTCCTTGTGGCTAGGTGACTGGCGGAGACAGGATCCACCACGCTACCCTAGCAACCAATTGCTGAAGAATCTTCTAACCCAGTCGCTACCATACGGAAGGTGATCTTGTGTGGACGAACCTCACTAATGGCGTGGACGAGCTTGATTGGTCGTTTCTCGGCCACGCTGGCCCATCCCTTGCTGATTGTTGCGACCAGTGCTCTGGATCGTGGGTGATCATCAATAGCTTCTCCACTGGACCCTCAGCTGTGCTTTTTTCAGCTCTTGGACCTCAGCCTCACCAAGTCGGTAACATGTTATATTAGTACTCAAGGCGCCATTTCAACGATCAAGAAACACGCCAGATAATTCATGATTTCTAAAATTATAGCGTTCACTGTTCTTCAAAAAAAATGACCCCCGCTGTTGCTGACTTCGTACAAGAGTACAAAACTAAAAGATGGATCTACGATCGTAATACAGCAGCGACCGTTAAAATATGCAACGAGATGCTTCAAGCCGAGCTTCTCCCGGGGGTTATCACCCACCGGATAAAGGAGCCTTCTAGCTTGGAGCGCAAACTTCTTCAACGGGAGAGTTATTATGGCCGACGGTATCCGTCGAAAGAAGCCATCCAAGAAGAGATTGCAGACCTAGCGGGAGTTCGCATCGCCGTGTGCTTTCCTCAGGATATTGAACGCGTCCACGACGCGCTATGCGAACGATTCGACATGGAGTTAAAGAAAAGCTATGGAGTAGGAGACTCCAGCAAGATTCTCCAGCGTCCAGGGTATTGCGCCACCCATTGTTGGGTATATTTGAAAGAGGACGAGCCACAGGCACGGGACGGACCATACAGGAGGAGAGTCGAAATCCAAATCATTTCTATGTTGCGACATGCCTGGTCTCAATTTGAACATAACGCGGTTTATAAGGCACAATCCAAAATGGATACCGAGGATCGCCAGATACTGCATTCATTGAGCGGTGCCATTCACCGCGGAGAACGGCTCCTGAACTGTATGTCCGAGAACGAAGGCGTCCGACATCTATCGGCTGATCTGCTATTTGAATTGGTGTATGAGGTAGGATGCTTGGTTGTGGATGCGGCCAAACAGGAAACTCGAGCGCGGGGAAGTGCAAAACCCTTAGAGGAGTTCTTGCGAAATTTGAAGATGGCGAGACCTCAGCCCTCGTCCCGTTCCATGGTAAAGGCATCCTTATAGGATAATACCAAGACACTGCGTGTAAAACGCGTCCAACACCGCAAGGCTTGGAAGAGGTTCAAGGGCAACATGAAGTCATCACTCGGGGAAGGGAAACCTACAGAGGCGGTGCCCCCAAACAGGAGTAGGTCACTGTCAATTCTACGTTAAATGGTGCATAGAGTGCTATTCAACACAATCCTGGACATTGCTGCGGACACTGGTCGGACCGGACTGTCTTGAATGAAAGGATAGAGGTGTATCACATCCAATGAGGCCCATGGTTACCACATCCCAAAAGAGTCATATCTAGCGAAGGAAATTCAGCAAAAACAGGTCAGACGACAGAAACGCAGATACAAGCCTGCATGCATCGGAACTGACGGAGTTTCTCTTCCTCTGGGGTGTCGTTTCACGGTCACAAAGTCTACATTTTCTTGTCTCAAGCACGATCATCAGATTAAAGCCATGAACAGAACACAGGCCACTAAACCTTCACCAATTCGGAACTTTCCGGCATAGGGGCGTCTACAATACCCTTCCTAATATGCCTCATAAAGGATGGTTTCATGTATAGCATGGACAGCAGTAGCAGCAGCGCTACTTGAACATGGTATTTGTTACTGCATATGTGGACACCCAAGGAGTATGAATAATTTACACATGACTATATGTCTTTACTATCGCTATCTACGTTTATATGGGTCTTTCTAATTGCCACTTCTCATCCACTGAGGTCCCAGCTAAATCTGCGCCTGCATCTTCCCTATTAAACTCAGAGCGGAACAACCCGCCACCATTCTCGGAAGCCCTCATATAATCCACTGTGGCGAGCTGTGCATATATTGACTTAAATTTTATTCCCTGGCGATATCATAGGTGCTACAAGAGGACTTGAAATTTCCAATGCGATGATCAATCTAGTGGAATTAGGTAAAACCCGGTAGCTTCTAACATGCTTGTTCAAGCCGAATAAAGATTCCAACCTCCCCAAACTTGTCCTCGTCACTCAAGAACTCGATCCTGTCATAAGATTTCATCATCTCTCTCAGTCGTGCGGAAAAGGGATCCCTCCTGTTTGTGGTCAACGCTTGGTACACGAAGCTGGCCAAGAAGATAATCTTACATAAACTGCTCACGACCGTTATGCATCCATCTCTCATCCTCGCATGTATTCCAAATCATCATCGCAGGGCGAGCGATGTCAGCAACGATTTGCCTCACAGGCACATCCGGTGCGAAGGTCACGACAATAGTAGAGTCATCGATCTCCACAAATGCATCTGGATCTTCCAGGATATTAATATCGTATTTCTTGAGAATTGACTTGTCAGTATCGGTGTAGGCAGGGTCCTGTGCGTAGCATTGTACGTTCCCAGATGTCCCTCCCTGACGTTTACCCACGAGGTCACGCAATGTCAAAGCCAAAGCATGCTGAAACTCAGACCTGTGGTCCCAATTGCCCATCGAACGAGGCTGCATAGAACCTAAAGCGAGGGCAACTATCTTCGTGATCGGAGGAAAGCTCTCGCGCGATTCGACCATCTTCTGCAGTTGCGCATAGGATTGGCTGGCTTCCCAGGTTTGGATACAGGCGGTGAAAGAATTCTTGATTGTCTCGGTCGAATCCACAGCGTAGCGGAATCCTGGCAGTAACTCTTTGGTAACTTCGTTGCGCAGCTCCATGTAGTGGAGCACCCTGAGACTGAGGTCACTATATCCATCCATCTGGTACGCTCTGTATGAGGTAAGGAATCCAAACGTGCGGTATTCAATAGCTGGTGCCTTGCTACAACAGTAATGGTCAGCCCAGTCTGAGTTGAACTCCTCATTCCGCAGAATCCATAGCAACCCACAGAACCCATTCTGTGCCGGGCTCAGAACCAGCCCTGGTAACGCCAGTCCTGACTTCAAAGGTTTCTTCGGTACCCTCCAATCCTTTGATAAATATCTCTGGTTTTTCACAAGTCTCTGCTTGCTTAAGCTGCCTACTAAGGTCCTGGAGCTGTTCATTTGTAAAAAACGGTACTCCAGCCTCGTAAAGCCGGCGGATCCCAGCTGTCTCCTGCCTGAACGTGTCATAGTCTCGCCCATGTGAAGAGTGAAGATCTTCACAGTCAGATCCGTCCACGTCATTCATATCTGCTATGAACAGAAAACGATTCAGATTTATTATAGAGGTTACCCTGCGTGATTGAGTGTTATGTTAGCTAGCTCGCGTAGAGGGGAGGCTTTTGTCGTTTGCACTGTAAACAGATTAGAGATCAACAGTGCGTGTAGGCGGGGTGATTGTGCAGAATTCATTTCAGGTCACCATGATTAGCGCCTGACAGATCTTGGCCCATTTCTAAATCTCTAGTGTAACAAGTCTTCTTTGCTGTATAGCAATATGCACATGCAAATGACTTCTAGTGTTGTTATAGGGTGGCTATATTGGATCCTTTGATGAAGAACAACTACGTGCTGCAATCGGCTTAGCCAGTGAGCATACTACAAGACGGTCTGGCTGTAGTTGTAGCGAGAACTGTGCTTGCATCTAGAGACGATTGCTATTCCTGGAGTAACAGAGGGCTATAAAAAGCAACCACGTGACAATTGAGATACTACGTGCCTCCTTGACTGTTAAACAGTCGCTCTGCGTTGTACCATACAGGTTGACGCTAATATCTCCGATTTTCTATGCAATCCTATTTTACTACGCTTCATCGCACAAGGGTACGCGTAGCATCCCGTTATTTCGAAACCCCCTTCGACACCTTCTCTCCCAACGCTTGCAGCTCTGGCGTCATATCGTCTGGCTGGATACAACACTCCAAGAACGCAAGCTTGTCGCTCTCTGTGGACACCCTCTCTATTGCCCGCAGAAGGTCGGCCTGAGTATGGATCTTCTCGGCAAATATAGGCATTTCATCATCATCACCTGGCTTCTCCGTTGCATACGGGTTAGGCGGCTGCGCATGTGGCTTGTCGAGGAACGAGGTGGCTAGCTTGGTATAGTTCCAATTAGCGATATAGTTATATGGGCCGTCGTGTACTGCAGTCTGTAAGTCCCAGTTAGTCGGGACTACATGAAGGAAGCAAGATGACTAACCTCGGTCTTGTATCCCAGATTATTGAACAACAAGATGATCGGATTCAGTTTCATCCGAATCATTGTGCTTATCTCTTGCGCAGTCATTTGAAAGGCACCATCACCTACCATCAGAAGAGCGCGACCATGAGGACGACCTACTTGAACGCCAAGGGTGGCTGGCACGCTCCATCCGATCGATGCATAGGGAAGTTGCATATAGAGATCCACCCCATCTGGCAGCTCAACATGGCTCGAAGCAAACCATGTGTCGCCTGAATCCGCAACCAATGTGGAACCCTCTTGCATCATACTCTGGATACCTGATAGCAAGCTTCGCATTCTTAATGCATCATCGGAAGATTTGATTTCGGTCTGGATGCCAGCGGGGTGGCTCGGCTTAGGACTAGGAAGATATTCCGTCCGGCGAATAATGTTGCTGTCGATCATGGCCAAGACCAACTCGCTAAGGGTTACCGGGTCAATCACCTTATCCCCTGGTAGCTCAACTCTGTCATATTGGAGGGTGATTAAACGGTGGGTCTCCTTTTTAGGGTCAATGGAGGGGGTATGTAAGTCCGACCAGGCGACTCCGATGGTTAGCCAAAGGTCAGAATCTAGAACAACCTTCTCCCCTTCGGGGTTGAGTAAACTAGGCCAGAAGGTGCCCCAATACTGTGGGTGGGATTCCGATATGGAACGTCCGTCCGGTTGACACAACACCGGGCAGCCGAGTTTCTCAGCAAGACGTTGGACAATATTTCGGGAGAGCCATACTTGTACCTGACTTCCGAGGAGTAGTACTGGTCTGTGAGACGAGTTCCACAGATCCGTTACGGCGGCTAATGCCTCGCTATTTTTGTTTGGCTGGGCCGCTTCCTCAACTTTCTGGTCTAAGGGTATCGGGAAAGGACATGGGGTGCCGGCAATGTCGTTTGGAACTTCGATGTATACCGGTAGTGATTGTTGAATACATTTAACTATGGCACTATCAATCACATCTACCGCGGATTCGGCAGAGGTGGTGCGAACTGATGCAGCTGTCACCCCTTGGAAGGCGTGCAGGGCTTGATCCTTATTCGACGGGGACGGTGTATGGTGTGTCGCTTTATCCCCAGTTAAAACGCTAGTAGGTGGACAACCCGATAAGACAATAACTTTGAGTCGCTCCGAACAAGCGCCCGCTATGGCGTTCAGGATAGATAGACCGCCGACTATGTATGGGATGACAACCACTGCCATTCTCCCCTCCGACGCACGTGCATACCCATCTGCAGCGTATCCCGTGTTCAGTTCGTTGCAGCATTCTACCATTCGAAGACCTGGGTTCTCCTGGAGGGCATCGAGGAGGGTCAAGTTGGTATCTCCTAATATGGGGTTAGTGATCGTGTTCAAGTCCACTCCTCCAAAGGGTGCATAGCTTTACCAGGGACGACAAAGTAGTCACGGACTCCCAGCTCCTCCATTCGATGTCCTACATATGTCCCCACCTTGTAATCCTCCGGCTTGGTAATCGTCATTAGGACCTTGCCACTCGGTATATTTCCTTATTGATGGGGAAAGTTTAGGTCTTTGCCATCTGGGTAGCAAAGACAGACTCGAGACATTTATTATATATATGGGACAGTGTGTCGCCTCTATAGCAGTCTACATAACTGCCACATATAAGACGCGAGTTTAGGCCGTTCTAGCTACGGAGCCTATCCAATTAACCGCGTCTACAGACCGGTTTTACACGTCAAGCTGGCCTCGTGATCGAGAACACCAGCCTGAGCAAGGAATCTCTCTGATTGTTCCTTGACTACCCTTCCATCTTCACTAGTGACGGTGTCTTTGAAAGTCAAATGCTGTCCAGTAGTAGCCTGAGATAGACACGAATTATGCAGTCAACCTAGTTTGAATAGAGTCACCAAAACAGGATTTCGAAAAGTGGCCTATGCAGGCTGAGTTTCATTGGATTTTGTTGGCGGATATATATATTTGCAGCTGACGTCATAATTCTGTTGTTAGCATGCCTGAAAACCTAAATCCAACAAAACCCTAGTAAGTCTTTAGACGTAGTTTCTTGCAAAAGTACCAATGAGTATTCCTGTTATACACAAGCCTTAATACCACTTACAGCAGAGTCATTGCTACAAGAGTAAAAATAATATTTCAGCCACTTCCGTAAGTCACAGAGCAAGACATGGTTACGTGCAAGAAGGTCTGCATTTCCCATCCGTACGCTATGGAAAATTGATCGCGGCCGTCTTTAGTAAAGGTTTCTCAGCCATGCCGCCAAGTTGCCTTTCTCGTAGGGGTTAATGGCAAGGAAGGGAACATACCATGTAGGATTTGAAGGGAGAGTGGGCACGAACCACGGAGGACACTTGGCCCTACATGTGGATTTCCCACCGACGAGACACATGCATTCAACAAAGATTGATTTGCCCTCAAGTCCAGGGTATAGGAAAATGATAGGTGTGATGAAATCATGGACCGGCTCCCAAATTGCCTCGCCAGGGACATGTGACCCTGGTCACGTTTCTCCTCTGTCCCTTGATTATTCTTGTTCAACGTTCAACATTGTTGTTTACCTCAAAATTGAGCTTTGAGCTGTAACAATCACAGTAACCCATAAGCTTATCGACCTCTACATTCAATTAACGTCACGGCTATCTACACATCGCCAGGTGGGCTGACTGTGCACTCGTATATGAGAACTTAAGATACCCATGAGCCCATGAGTATCAATACACAATGTTGATTATGCTAGACGATGTTATCTAACACCGCGAATTGCGTACACTCAAAGAGGATCGCTTAAGGCCGTGGTGGAGAGGACTATAAGACTTATCAGAAGGAACATAATATTGTGGCTCTGAGAAAAAGCGGCTTTAGTCGGCCAACCCGACTTGCGATAATGAGAATCAAGTAGGAAATTAATGATTCAATTTTATACCTTCTCCTGGATTTTTCTACCTGTAGGGTTTTAAACATATGCTCCTCACCACCTGAGGTCACGGGAAGACGCCAAGCGCAGATCAACACCAACACAATTCTTGTTCCTAACGCGACGATCTCCTTTTTTTTTTTTTTTTCTTTCGCCACTCCTTCTTCCCTCTTTCATATCCACAGATGTCTAGTTGAATATTATCGGAAATAATATACTTATTTATATACATATAGAATGACAAAAGATACACATTCTCCTCCTCCCGCTGCATTTGACAGCGCGACCGATCCGATGGAACGGCCACCGAGGAGTGACGTCACTGATAAGCAGTGGGCCGCGAGAGTGATTCAGGTACGGAAAGCGTGTCGGTCTTGAAATTCTCGCCCTAAACTGGTCGTTTCATAGAGAACATATCGCGGATATCGAACGCGACGAGAGTTACAAGGCTGTGGAATATCTGCGACCACGCGTTGGATAGAGGTAGGTCTTGTCAGCTACTGAAGAAGCTCGTTATCTCACCGTGATCTCCCGCCAGGCCGTCAAAGAAGCGGAATGGCGCCTCCTCCATCGCCCATCGGCTCCAGAAGCTACCGTCGAAACTGATAGTTCCGCCCATGCCCGGCGTAACTGGCAGCGGGCGGTCAGTGTCGCCAAACGGGCAGGTGGTGACGATGATCTTGACCAGGAATCCGCTTCGCCCTCCCGGAATGGGACGCGGCAGTCCTGCGGTAACCCAGCTTCGCAGTCTGCGTCTGCTCAGCTCGACTTGCCGCCCGGCACGACGGCGAAAATGATGGATTTGCAGTACTTCCTCGAGTTGGTGGATATGAAGCACCGTCATGGTAGCAACCTGCGCGTGTACCACTCGTATTGGAAGAACTCGACCACCGCTCAGAACTTCTTCTTTTGGCTGGACTACGGCGAAGGAAAAGATCTTGACCTCCCTCAGTGTCCGCGCGACAAACTCGAGCGGCAACAAGTGCGCTACCTCACACGTGAAGAACGGTTGAATTATCTGGTGATTGTGGACGAAGCTGGGTTATTCCGATGGGCGAAAAATAATGAGCGCGTATGGACGAATAACAGGCGGTTCAAGGACAGCTTGAAGGGGGTCGTGCATATCGACGAGGATGCACCGCAGTTCCAAGGGAATACGGAAGCAGGTGACCCGGACTCATTCTTGGCGAGTTCCTCATCGTCCATCTCATCACTTTCGTCATCAGATTACGACTCAGATAGCAACATGTGCGCCAGCAAAGCGGAAGAAAAGTATGTGAACGAAGATTATAAAGCGGTGAAGACGTTGAAAAAGGTTATACATGTTAGTCCGTCGACAGTTCTCAGCAGTATAAGGGGCAAGTCGTTGAAGAAGGAAAATATGTGGATATTCGTAAGTTCCTCGATCATTTGGATATATCCTGTATCCTAGCATTAATGTGTTCAGGTTGCCGATACCTCCTTTCGCTTGTATATTGGGATTAAGCAATCAGGTGCATTTCAGCATTCATCATTTCTCCGAGGTGCTCGCATTGCCGCTGCAGGTCTAATCAAGGTCCGGGATGGACAGCTTCGTAGTTTGGCACCATTGAGGTATATTCCTTCTCGTCTTCAACTTATGGAAACTACTAACCATGTAAAAGTGGCCATTACCGTCCTCCAGCAGCAAACTTTCGTGCCTTTATTCACTCCCTCCAAGATCGAGGGGTCGACATGTCTCACGTCTCCATTAGCAAGTCGTACGCCGTTCTCGCGGGCATCGAGGGATACACCCGAACTAAACACAAAGTACGGGCGCTGCATGAGAAAGTTGACGATGTGAAGCAAAAGATCTTGCCAGGCCATCACAATGAGGAAAAGAATCAAGATCCTGCCCACGCTCAGCATGAGGGTGACTCTCGGCTACCACTGCGCACAAAGCCTGAAAATGAGGTGGAGTGATGACCTACTCGAGAAATCTATTTTACGAGAGAAGCCTTGCGGATATCCCTGGTGAATTGATATCTGACTCTATGGCCTTGGGACAAAGGGCACACAGTGTGGAAGTGCTCCCTCTGATTAACGACCATGATTCCCAAAATTGGTGAGCTGCAACCGTGTGTAGCTTCTTGCAAATTGTGAACTCCCCACGCCAGTCCTTTCCCTACGTGATACTCCCGACGATAGTTGGTGGGCAGAATCTTGCGCAAACGTTCCCTTGTCCGGACCGGGTTTTGGGGGAACCCGTCTCTCCATACAAAGTGGGACACATGGCTGTTTCCCACTGGTCCGACCGCTGTCGTATGAGATTACGGCAAAGGGGAAATTCTATTAAACACGGACCGGAGTATGTCCCAGTTTGGGCACACACAAAGGTCTGTGACTGGGACACTGGCGTGCAATAGAACCAACAGTTGAGTAGCGGAACAGCCGTTATGGTATGCTCCTTAGCAATCTCCTGGCTGATATCAATACTGATAACAACATTAAGGGACCTGTAAAGATAATGGTTGGAGTTTCAGTCTCGTCGAATGTCTAGGTAAAGAGATAGTTGAAGTTCCGGTCATCTGTGATCGCGTTCTTGCAGGCAGGCCGGGACAAGCACCACTTGTCGTTGTCGAACCGACCGATCACGCCCACGAAATTCGCGCGAGCTGCAAGGCCTGTTGCTATATGCCCATACTAGCGAAGGAGCTCTCATGCCTAGACAGAATACCGTTAGCCAGCACTCGTATTGCGCTGCACGCATCCTGCGATGCTATCTCTAGAGTCTCCCTTATAACGAATGGTACGCCTATCGTTATCACCACTATGGTCTACTCTCCCGAAACAGCCGTAAATTTATGTACATCTAGTCGAATTTAGATGTACTCTTGAAGGCACCAAACAGATCGCAGTGTAGCTTGCAAACCACAGAGGCTGCGGAGCCCTAGCTATGGAGATGGTTGGCTACGCCCTTGTTCCATGAAGGTTCGCTGACACAAAAGGATGCAATCAGACCCTTGGCCAGGCAAGAGCAGGATGTCCTTTTTCCAAGCCTTGCATTGCTCTACTAGAGCCCGATACCAGGAGGCACCCCTTGCACAGTCGACTACTCGATGAGAGTGACAGATGACAGTATTCCGTGAACACAACGGCTATCTTCCAGACGATGATGGCATGGCCTTTCACCTCCGCCGAGATGACCACGGGATACGATGGGGTTGGAGGAACGAGACGAGAAAAGACAGACGTGAATTGGAACCATAGAAATAGGAAGAGAGCCGTGCCGAAGAACTTTTGATTAAAGGAATGCGGCAAGGAACTGCAGGGGTGGTCTGAACAGACATGTAATAGCTTGCAATCCTCAGAGATTTGCATGAGTAAAAGCTTCAATGCCTCTAATTAGGAAGACTACTGAGATCTCTAACTTGTGATAATCCTCAGGAACCATACTGCCCAAGTATTCTCCTTCGGAGGAGACGATCAACGCCTCTTCCATCCACTACAACCCGATCATTAGTAGACTGGCATAACCTAACCGTTGTAACCTAGCCATAACCTAACCTAACCGGGGCCGGTTAGGTTAAGGTATAAAAATGTTTAACCGACCTAGGTTAAGGTTAAAACTAGGTTAACCGCGGTTAACCTAGTTCTGCCTGATAAGGCCACAAGGCACTAAACTAGACCTATTTAGGTAGACGGTAGATTAGGGCTATTTTCTGCCAGTAGTATTTTAAGCAACCCTAGTTCACCGCCTGTCTAAATAGGTCTAGTTTAGTGCCTTGTGGCCTTATCAGGCAGAACTAGGTTAACCGCCGGTTAACCACGGACGGTACAATATATATATATAACCTAGCCATAACCTACCGGTTAGGTATAACTGACCCCATTAACCTAACCTAACCTGGCCAAACGCCAGTCTAATCATTAGTAGAAAGTAGTAACAGGTAGTCCTCATAACCTCTCCACATCCACCACGCATCTCCATTGGCCGGAAGTCAATAAAAGTGGGACCCACTCCAATCTCCAGTTTAATCTTATCAAACTCCCCAAAAACCAACAAAAATTCCCCTCACCATCAAACGACTCACCCCAATAACCAAAACAAAAAAACAAAGCAAGATGTCCCGAGAAGCCCTCAACTTCCCCCCCTCAAACCGCACATTTCTAGAACCCCATCTTCCACCTAAAAATGAAACTGGACCCCTCAAACCCAATCTCCCCTTCACAACCCTCACCTTCGCAACATCCCTAGACAGCTCTCTAGCCCTGGCCCCAGGAACCCGGACCACCCTCTCCGGCCCACAATCAAAAGCCATGACACACTATCTCCGCTCCCGACACGACGCCATTCTAATCGGCGTCGGCACAGCAGTAGCCGATAACCCGGGGCTAAACTGCCGCATCGAGGGTGTCGGGGGCTACGGCGGCGAAGGGTTAGTCGGTCAACCAAGACCCATTGTCATTGATCCCCATGCTCGATGGGAATTCACTCGGGAATCGAAGATCCTGGAGCTGGTCAGAGAGGGGAAAGGTCAGGCGCCCTTTATTATTACTTCTACTGGGACGGTCCCGTCTGCTGAGAAGAGGACGTTGTTGGAGTCTCATGGGGGGAAGTTTATTCCTCTTGATCTTCTTGCTGATGAAAATCGGGAGAGGAGGTTGGATTGGACTGCTGTGCTTGAGTGTCTCAGGAATGAAGGATTGAAGAGCGTCATGATCGAGGGAGGTGGGACGGTTATTAATTCGCTTCTTGAACCGGGGTGGGCGCATCTGGTTGATTCGGTTATTGTTACTATTGCGCCGACTTGGCTAGGGCAGGGGGGTGTTGTTGTTTCGCCTAGACGCAGGGTTGAGGGAGGTGAGGTAGTGCCGGCGGCGAGATTGAGGGATGTCAAGTGGTATCCTTTTGGGGAGGATGTGGTGCTTTGTGGGAGGGTTTAGGATGGACGTTTTGAATCACGGTAGCTTAGGGTTGTTGTCTGTGGAGAGTGAGGATATCGGTGCGAGGCACAATCAATCTGTCAGGGATTGGATAAACTATACCTGGCCAACTGTGCATGATCAATAGATGCTTTGTTACAAGCGTCTTCCTTTACGTTTATCATCTTGGTACCATGATTTTTATCCTCGATGTCAAGGTGATGCCACCTTCTATCATCGCATGATTAAATTCACCACGAGGTCTTCATTATCTTAGCAAAGCATGAGGTCCCAGTTTGACCTCACCATTAACTTTCGCCAACCCCCCCCCCCCACGGCACTGATCGCAAACACCGAGACCAACCTTCTCGCAGAAAAGCACTTATAAAATCCTTAATCCATTGTTGAATGTATGAGTGGATGATGGCGCTAGTGACGTTGGAGGCAAATTCGACTGGCCGAGTGTATCTTTCACATCGAACGGCAATAGCTTTGCTACACAAGTAACAAAAATACAAGGTGACTTCCTAGTACGGTCTCTAGAAGTAAGGAGATAACGATACCAAGAGAAAAGGTGTACCTGCGAAGAGGAAAAGAAATCAATTATTGATTGTGATATCCTTAGAGCGGTACAAGTTACCCATTGTACTGGCTATTGCGCTCTGATACCCACGGTGGGTCCAACCCAGGAACCCAGAGCCCAAGGCTAGACCGAAGACCTCAATCCAAACCCAACCCAAGTCTGGCTTTAACTTTTCTGGGTCATAGCAAAATCTATTCAGACAATGCATGTGGTTAAGAGTGTTGAAAGGATCGTTGGCGCAGACCAATGGCTTCAATGGAGTGACACATGTGGAGCTTGCCCTGATCGTGTTTTGTTTTATTTCCATAAGCACTCGATCGGAGAGCCTTCGTTGGACAGTAGCGTGTCCCACCCGAGAATCGGTCGACGGGATGGGCCGAGGCAGGGGCCTCGTTGGGTCGGTTAGCTCCCGAGGTGGTAATCGGCAGCTTACCGATGCTATCGGGTTTGCCGATAAAGCGGGGGTGCGCAGCCAGTGGAGCTTTACAGCTGATGATATACGCTATGCTCTGGTTCCCCATGGAGTACGGGCTGCGTATGGGGTAAAGAATCATAAGACCCAGTACTTAATTCGGGTGACCTGATGATCTACAAGAGGCTGTGTCTTCAACCAATAAACCACTATTATAGTGACTTTAGTCTCTGACTACTAGGTCTGGGCGGGTTGTGCGGTTAGTGGTGGTGGCAGGGCCCTTTACAGATCAGAAATACTCTAGTATGGCATATTGCTGATAGCCATGTTCTGTTATTTTCAGGTATATTTGAGTTTTAAAATACTTTAGCTATTTTTTCAGGTTTGTATGGAGGCTTTTCCTACGCCTTAAATTATCCAAAAGTGGCGCAGGGTCATTGTATTGCCACTGTAACGTCTTTTCTATGGATCTTAATTTCCAGTCTTCGACCTCATTGAAGCTTTCATACCTATCTACTGCCTGGCTTGTAGCCATCTCAGCATTCATTAGCCCATGTTGTTTTTCATAAAGAAGCATGATGGAGCTTGGCAGTGCCGATCCGTGATCCTCTATTTTAAGGGAGTGCATACGTACTCCACAGTATCATCTAGGGATCCTGTTACCATGCCACATGTGTAGGTATACGTAGCCCCCCTTGGGGGCCAAAATGCTGTCCTGGGCACTCCGCCATTTCACACCGTTGTATACCTTACATGTCATCTTTACGGCCTCAACTGCGGTCTGACAATCAACCGCATGTTGACAAGGGTTATTTCTCCATTTTCCTTCCCGTCTGTAGACATGATAATTCTAAAGCAATCTAGCCGCCCATAACAATAATTTACAGAATCATAATGTATAATTCATCTATAGCTCTCAGTGTATTCTCTTAGGCTGATGCGCACATTTTGGAGCTATACAGAACCCGCTACAGAGCAGTCTTCTGTATCTAAGTTTACCATCCGATCAACAGCCGATTTGGCAATCTGTCGGACTTCAGGAGCGAATCTATTATCGCCTGAGACACTTGCCAATCGAACTTTCCATTGCCTCCATCTTTCAAAGCTCCACATCGCTCTGGAATCCGACTCCGAAACCTTCTCCACCGCTTTGCACTGCCGATAAACGTATGCTCCAGTGTCTGGCTGGAGAATCCACTGCACCCCGCCAATCACATCTCCTGAAATCCTGCTATCGGCTAGCAATATCGACTGAGGCAGAATTCCTTCCAACGAACAGAGGAAGCTGCAGTCAACAAAGCCCAAGGCTGTAACACGTGCCAGAAATGATTGCCAGTTGCGCCATCCTATCTGCATGTCACTTCCGAGGGTTGCAAAGGTAGCATATGGATAGCCGCAGTCTATTTAGAGTGCGCAACAAGAAGACAAGCAGTTAGTTAGTCTCATCGGTTCAAAACATCGGTACCATTGAGTACAAAGGGGCCTGTAAAGGGAAATAATGTACCTTCTGCTTCCGTACGGAAGACCTCGGTCAAACCCAACCAGCTGTCCCCGAACGGCCACAACTCGAGCATGTAGTACCAGTCTTCTGGGGGGTCATTGGGAAGATAATTAGGGACTGCATGCATAGGCATAGCCCTCAGGGCCTCCAGGAATTGAATCAGTCTGTCCTGACCAACATGGCCCGGTGGGAATGCCGAACCTAACCGCGCGAAGGATTCGAAGAAACAAGTAATAAGGCCGCTGGGGTTCGGTGCTACACAAGACGGGTCTTCTGGCGAGGGTACGTTCCACGGGTCTGGGTATTTCTTCCGCTCTTCAAAACCCTTGTTGGCTTTCTCAACAATCCACTTATCTAGATCATTGGCGGCCTGATCAGGGGTGGTTTCTCCCCCTACAAGGGACAAGAGCAAGTTCTTGAAGAACAGGTCCTCTTCATCATCATGGGGCCCAAAGAGCTTGATATCCAGTGGCTGAAACACTTTGTTGTCGGACACCATGTTGTAGGACGAGAAGGTTACCTTTGGGCTGTTCACTAGCTCAGGAGTAATTGATTGATGTAAAAGTAGTAGAACCGCGGCAGCAATGATGGGTATATCTGATAGTGTCACGTGGTTAGAACGGAAGTTGATTTACGGCCGACTTTCTAAAGGTGAAACAACACGATCTGCGGACTCGCGCCACGCGGAAGTCCTGCTTTCAAGATCTTTCTGGGTCTTGAAGCTAATCCAACTCAGGAAGGTGGTATGGGTGGGGGCGTCTTTCACAATCCGATTTATTGTTCACTCCAAATAACAGAAGCTAGAACTAGATCGGCGCTGTAGACAGGGGTAACACATGGAGCCATGCCGATAATACTGAGTTATTATGCCCCTTGCAGCGGTTCACATTGAACCCCAGCCGTGCAGATCCCAGCGGGATTGCCGATAAGAAACAGCGTTGGTATTGTCATTACACAAACTTTCAGCATATCAATCCTGATGCAGAGGCAATGTAACATCCCATCCAAATATACGAGACTTTAATCTGAGCAACCTTCAAATCCTAAACCTCAGACCGTAAAAGTACCCCAGTAGAGCATAGCGCTTGTTTTTGGCCCCCATATATCTGATGATCAATGGAAGAATACTCAATACAGACCTACAATTGGCTCTATAGGGTCGTAAGAAGGATATTCCGTACATCCTGCAACTTGTGCTACAGGTGGTGAGTAACAATCTAAACCAAGATAGACCGATAGAGAATAGCATCTGAATGGCATATAAAGTCAGCTACACCCCGAGCTCAACCTCAATGCTAAAACCATCAACAGAGTACTTCTCGCTGGTTAGAATATTCCTTATTTGATCCCAAACGCATCAACCAAAATGCAGCTCACCAAAGCGATCCTGGCCCTGGCTCTCATTGTATCTCCCATCTTTGCAGCGCCTACAGATGTCGGCGAAGAAATCGTCAGCACGAAGCTGGAAGCGCGGAGTGTAAGTTCCTCCCTCCTATAGTCCATCTCGCACTCTCGCCACTACGGCGCCCAGGATGATGGCTGACTTTATGTTCAAATATATAGCCCAAGGTTGTGTGCAAGCCAGAAAAGAACGCAAGCAATGTAAAAGAATTCGAGGTGGATGTTACAGAGGCCGAAAAACTGGCTAAAAAGATTGGGTGGAAAACCGACCCTACTAAGAGCGACTACCCACATCCCTTTGGAGACAAGGAAAAGCTCTGGGCGAATATTCCTCTGGAGGCGAACAAGTGTAACAGCAAGACGCGTATGCTTGAGTACCCAGTCTATTGGACGACGTCAAAGACCAAGGAGTGGGACCCCAAGAAGAAGAAGAAGGAGCAAAACAAGACTCCTATCCGAATTGTCTACAGCAACTTGAATGGTGCTCTTCATTACTGTGGAGCCATGATCCATGAAACAGTGTCAAAGGATTTCTCTGGCTCTGGCGACTTCATACTATGCCACTAGATGCTTGCTGAGGGTGTCTGGAAATTGCAGCATGGTAAGATTCCCCGAGCTTGCTTTCACTGTGCACCCATTGCGCTGGGCATGCAATAATACAATTACTGACATTAGGAATATTATGTAGGCTTTTCTTTCATGCACAGTCCGTGTAAGATGCAGGGATGGTGACCATTGATTTGCAACTTTGTGCTATAAATGTCTGTTTAAGCTCTTCACCGCGATAGGCATACCCTGCCCTTGTATTCTGTGACTTGTACTATGTTCTTCGAGATCATTAAGTTCGCTTGTGGCTCTTTTAATTAAGCCATTCTTTTTTGGCTCTGCTTTTATCTATGTATTTCTTTGGCTAGAAGCACGTTCAGAATGTCATGAGACACTAGACAAGAGAGCAAATACATTATCTTTAGTCGACCCTCGGACCAGGCCTGCATCTTATTTGTGATCTGGTTGTAGCAGAATGCGAACTAAACTATGTGCTTACCGGATATTGGGCATTATTTATGCAAAGACAGAGGTCAGTTCCAAGAATTCTCCCTCCCAGGATGACCCTCACGCAACCTCGACCCTAGCCCATCCTGAAAGTAATTCTCTCTGGCCGATCCACCCTTCACCTCATAATCATCCCAAATAACCCCCCTCCTCCTCAGCTCCGGAAACAGATACTCAATCATATCCTCAAATGTCCCTGGCGAAACCGCATACGAGAAGTTAAACCCATCAACACCTGCAACATCAACCCACCGCTGCAGAATATCCGCCACCGTACTCGGCGACCCAATCGCCCGAGGATGGGCTCCACCCAGTGCTAATTCCTGCAGAACGCGACGTTTCGTCCACTTCAGCCCGTTGGAGTTTGGAACAGTTTTCGACCAGCTCGAGATCAGAGACTGGATTCCCCCAACGGCAGTGAAAGAGAAGTCCTCGTCGTCGTCGAACTTGGATAAGTCGTTGCTGGTCCAGCCGCCGAAGAGCGTTGCTACGCCTTCGAGATCGGATTGGGCTAGATACTCTTCGTATTTGGCTTGGGCTTTCTCGTCGGTCTCGTCGACAATGACGAGGATTCCGGCGATGAATTTGATGCTGTCTGCTGGGCGACCTACTTCGGCTAGTTGCTTTCTGTTGTTTGTCAGTGTCGTGTCTGGGGTAATGGGGTTTAATATCGTACCGCATGTCATCTACCACTGCCTTGGTTTTCTCCGGCTCCAGGCCAGGTAGGAACATCACTTCGGAATGTTTGGCAGCGAATCGCTTACCAGCGCTACCAGAATACCACATATGAGCCATCACTTTCGTAAGACAAAGAGAAAGGAGAAAAAGAAACTCACGAAGAAGCCCCCGCTTGAAAAAGCAACGGCGTCCTCTGCCTCGACGCAGGCAACTGACTCGCAGCCGTACTCTTGAAATACTTCCCATGATGCTCAATAGCACGCACCTGGCTAGGGTCACTATAAACACCTGTCCTCGGATCTTTGACGACAGCTCCATCACGCCACGTCCCTTCCCATAGCTTGTAAGTAAGCTCCATGTACTCGTCCGCACGCGCATATCGTTCGTCGTGAGGAATCTGCTCGTCCATTCCATATGCCTTCGCTGCACTATCCAAAAATGAGGTGACAATGTTCCATCCCACGCGACCGTGGGTAAGGTGGTCAAGGGTTGAGAACTTGCGAGCCAATGCGTATGGCGAGGTTTCGTATGTTGTGGATGCAGTTATGCCGAAAGAGAGAGATGTGGTTACGGAGGCCATTGCTGAGATTAGGAGGCTGTTGGGATTAGTGGTACATTCATGTTGCAGTCGTTTTTTCTTTTGCTTTTTTTCTTTCTTTCTTTCTTTTTTTCTTTTCTCTTTTTATTCTTCTTGGAAAGAGGGTAGAATGCTTACAAGGGATCCCCAATAGGGAATTGCGCCCCCGATAACAACGCAGGCTCTCTATTCCCCGGACCTTTATACACATCGTAGATCCCAAGATGATCTGCTAGAAACAATCCGTGGAATTTCCCTTTCTCCAAAACTTTCGCTAACTCAATCCAATACGACAGATCGAGGAAATCACCAGCGCGATCGTCCGGATGCTTCCATAGCCCTAATCGAGACAATTCGTCAGCGCGCAACAAGAAGATATCAGGAGTAGACGGGTGCGGGGTAGAAGAGATGTATTCAACATAGAATAAGCCCTTACCGGGCGATAAATGTCCAGGCGAAAACATCGCAAAGGCATTGAGGATCCATGATTTCTTTTCTGTGGTTTTGGTCATGTTGGCTTGGTTGTTGGGGTATAATGTGAGAAGTCAATTGAGGGCAAGGGTAAATTGATTTTATGAGGGGCTCTAGGGTACCTTCTTATACATTTATGGACCATATCGGACTTCTGTCCGTTGTGTGTTTTTGGAGTGGGTGGTGATTGTGTTATTGTGTTGCGTGCTCACGCCATCGGCAGCCCATCAAGTGTTTATTTGGCCTCGGGATGGTATCAGTGTTTTGGTGCGTGGAGGTGCCCCGCATGCTGAGAGGATCATTATGCAGAATTTAGTATACCGTTTGACGCCAGCGAAGATTAAAAAAGTATTTTGGAGTCGTAGGCTTTTACCCTGAAACGGCAGAAATGAAAAGAGCCATAAAGGACAATTCAGGCGAAACATGCATCGGGATGGATGGGGAGGTACTACTGCAGAGATGTTTCTCTAAGGACCTTCTTCTGGGAAAGCTCAATAGACCTCTACTATTTCAGTCAATTAGAAATACGTACATATAGATCAAACAAACAGTCGAACGGTACCCGAGTATATCTACCAAGCCGTCGTAGCACCAATTTCCTCCCCAGACTTGGGCAACAAAAAGTCGCTAGGATCAATCGTTCCATCTGCATTGCGCGCTCCCTGCACTAGGGTCGCATCAACAGACACAAAGCTACTGTTGCTCCAAGATTCGTTACCGTCCCATGAGTTCTCTGTGGACACCTGCTCCTCGCTCAAGGAAGTAGGAGACTCTCCATTCTCCGCCGCAATATTCTTGCTCAAGGTAGCCACAGCCGTGCCGAACTTGAAGCCCACCTTGGCATTGTTCCAGGCCGTGTTTCTGGTCAGGGTGAAATCACCTGGTTGAGAGTTATCGGTGAAACCGTCCTTGGAATTTCCGAACGCGATACAGTTGGTGATAACGTGGTTGGCAGGCCCGATGTCAGCATCATCACCGCCACCAAGCTTGTAACCGTTACCGTCACCTTCAAAGGGTGAGAAGCCCCATCTACAAATATTAGCGTAACTCCTGTCGGACAGAGATGGATAATCAGTACCTGTTGTATCCGTTGCCGTACGAGATGGTGTCCTCAATCGTCACGGCCGACTTGAATTCCCTGCGACGGTTAGCAAAAGCACTCCGCAAAACACCAATTACTGCATACCATAGGTCCAAGCCATCATCGACATTGTTCCACAATCTCGCGCCCCGAAGGATGTTGCCTTCACCAGAGCCCTCCTTGCAGGCAAACCCGTCAGCGCTCTCTCCGTTCTTGCGCGGGTCCCGATTGAGGTATGAGTCAAGGTAGTAGACACTGTTGTTAGACGATGCGCCTTCGAGTTGGAAACCTATGTAATATATTAGCATAGCTTTCAGACAACTATAGCATATATGCTACGTACCAGTTTCATAGTTCTCCCTCGTAATAATACGCTCGTAGTGGTTGTTAGAAGAATCACGCGCATAGACGCCATATGGCCCATTAATCAATTCAAGGTCATAGAACTCCCAGTACTCGGCATCTTGGATATGCAAGATTCCTCGATCGCCATTGGCAAGCGATCCATCCAGCTCCGCCGGGGTTCTATTTATCCCAGTAAGTCACAGAAAGCAACACCAAAATAGAGAATCATAACATACCCCGGAAGTTCCTCCCCATCAATGGTGACCTTTTCACCGTCATAAGCCCGAAGAATATACGGAGCAGATGCCGTTCCACTCTTGGTGATCTGAATGTTGGTCGTTGGTGAATAGGTCCCCTCACGAAGATAAATAGTAGAACCAGCTGTCGCTTTATCAACCGCCGATTGGATGGACAGAAGAGGCGCGTCGATCGTTCCCGCAGCGGTATCTGACCCAGATGGGGAGACGTAGATATCGGCCGCTGCGCAGAGCGGAAAGACAGCAGCAAGTGCGTATACTATATGGTATCTCATTTTGCCTGAGTCTCTAAGTTTGCGGCATACTAGACAGGAGAAACTACTCGGTACATAAAGGCGTGCCAAGGCTTCCCTCATTGCTGGAAAATCCAAGTGGCTCGGAGATTACATGTCTAGCCAAGCATGTCGATCGTTTCATTCCCGGGGCGGGACTTTTCACCGGCGTTTCACGGTAAGGACGGAACTGCTCGGCAGTGAGTTTGTCGTCGGTTAACGAAGATGATAAATTGCGCCAATGGGTTAGCCGGTCGGAAAATGACTCTTTTCGGGACCTGTCGCATGGTCTCGTGGAGGTCCGAGAAATTTACTTCACCCTTCTATTTCCCTCGATTTTCCTGATAGGCCTTGTCATGGGGCTTCGTTCGGTTTTGTGTCATTTCAGCTCTGCAGGCTTCAAAGGCATATGGAGAGGGTAGCAGATCGTTGTTAGCCTGCTCTTGTATCACAGTCCGGCAATATCCTCTAAGAGCAATACTCATCAAATCCGGAGATCCATCTCACAGCCTCATGTCTTTTGTTATATAAGTACCAATTCATCCCTTTCCGTTAGCTCGACTATGCTCTGTATAGACACTTCCAGTGTCACGTTTCCTCGATAGACAGGTGCTTCTTATCATATACCGCCGGGCATGTATGCCACGTGGTCCCACAAACCCTGATCCAATCGCTCCCCGTTTTCATGTTTTAAGATGAATGCTGCGTACAAGATATTCCTGGCATAGATACGTGAGCCTAAGGTATGGTGGTGGGTGCACATCGGCCTTGCAGGTAGCCTGTATCTCAAGCAACGCATTCTGCCATTGCTCAAGTGACGCATAGAATATGCAGCCTTGTCCAATATTACCTACTATTCTTGTCTCCTGACATAAAAGATATGATGACCAGTAGATGCCCTAAAAGTCAGCTTCTAGAGATTCCTAAGGTGTCCGGTCATTTCTGAGTAGTCGAATTGGATAATTTCCCATTCCACAAGATATGCGTGTGAGATGTGACAGCATGAGATGCATAGCTAGTGGAGGCTGTGCGTTGTCAGATAAGCTTTCGATGTAGACCTTTAGGTTTGAATTGTCTCGATCCTCTAGCTCAAGTTTCAACCGGGCACCGTATATAAGTGGGCTTACCAGCATTACCTCGATGCACTAGTTGAAGTTAAAGCTAGGATACCGTTAAAGATCACCCAAGTGTATAGACGCTTGTCCCTCGGAAGTTCACGTATGACCTGCTTGGGTTTCGGGTTGATCGGCCAACGGTTTTGTCTTGACCTCTGTGTGAAAGTATCGAGAGATTTCACAAGCTTGTAGTGGTAGCTTATGGTTTGGTCAAGATTAAAAGCCATCACTTACTGAAGCCTGATCCGAGGGATTCATAGGGAACTGGTAGCTAACTATTCTCTCGGCAGATGCCAAGCTGTCTATGCTTTTCCTGGCCTAGTGTAGACTGTCTTGCGGTAGCTTGTCATATGCTAGTCTGGGTTGGGTATAGCCCATGCGGCACAATAGCGACTTTGTATACACATGGTCACTACTGACACGCAGCAGTTGTCAGCAAATGTCCTTTCCTTTTTCCTTCCTTTCTTTTTCTTTTTTCTTTTATTTCTGTATATGTCTAGCTTTTATTTTACAATTATTTCTATACAAATAAGAAAGCAGAAGAAAAGTGAACATCGTTGTGGAAGCAATAAGCAACTTTATCAGGAGCTGTGAAGATAATATACATCATCAAACATATTCCAAATGCAACGTCTAGATAAACGTCATACATTGAGATTCACAAACGAGAAATGGCCGCTAAATTCAGCAGAAATATGTATGCATATCCAACGTAAATTCTGTAAGACGCAGGTCCCGAACGATGCATTTATGAACTCACAGCTGAGTCACCTCCAGCTGCTCTTTCCGCTCTATCTGCTCTGAGCAACTCCAAACACCGTGCCATTTTCGACTCTCCCTCAGTACCCAAGTGTTTCAAAGCAAGATTCACTAAGAATTCACCCCAGCCATCTAGCCACCACTCGTCCTTTAACAACTCCAACGCCACCCCATAGTGGCCGAGTATCACGAAGGACGTCGGTTCTCCTTGCAGCAGGAGGTCAAGATAATCTGCATGCACCATGACAGGCCACGCCATAAGGGCACCCGGATCTTCAAGAGTAGTGCACCGTCTGAGCACGTCACGTAAATGTTCGAAAGACGAGGAAAGTGCAGCGCCCACCTTTTGATCATGCGACGAAACGTTCGTATGTTGCTCTATGATCTCCTGTAATCGATTATACAGCTCGTGAGCATGCTTCTTTGCAGACGCCTGCCGTAAATTGCGACCCGCACCGAGCAACTGGCGCATTTCACCTTGTTCGATCCAGGGACGGGCTTGGCCCACTATCGATCCCGCTCCGCGGACCAACTTGAAGACTTTAACCACGTCACTTTCATCGAGCATATCCGAGGAAGATGCTGGATGTTCTGCGGCGTAAGCGAAGATGACAACAAGACACGAAAACGCGAACAGGGCATGACAGTTTTCCGATGTCACGTTACTGAGGAGCGGTGTGCATAGTGATAAAGAAAGATCGTTGTGTCTGATGGCCGCTTCTGTGTATTTGCGGCGGCGATCTGCCGGGCATTTGTGTCCAATATGCAAAGCCGAGACAGCCAGTAGGCTGTGCATCACGAACGGATACGATAGGGCCACATCCGGGACAGTAATGCGAAACAGGTCTTGGATTGAGTTATTGTGCGCTAAAGATGCGGCTGTGGTCGTGTGCCAATGGTGTAGGAGTTCGAGATCCAGCAGGGGAATTGTTGAAGCGGAATGCAACCCCGGACTAGGGCTACTTGACTGCGGCGGAAACTGTTGCGGTGGGTTTATGGGCAGTGGTGCCTGGCTAAGAAAGGCACAGACGATATGCCTTTTCCGACAGTAACCACAACTAGGGCGAGCTTCGTCACACTTGATTCGACGCTGTTTGCATTGAGTGCAACCATGGTGGGATTTGGTGTGAGACCGTCGCGAGGGCATGGCTTCGATCTGTTCTACACGCCTTCACTGCTAGGGTGACAGGCACCTCGCTTGAAGAAAGGGTCAACGTCAAATCTGCCTGGCATCGAACGACCAGCTTCCAACAATGTGGCTTATCAGGGTCGAGAAGTGGAGACGGGGGAGTATCAAGTCCATCGATACGTCGGAGATTCTTCGAAGGAGGCCAATTCTTGGCATCAGCCTCGTAAACTATGCCTCCTCGGGTATGGCTTTCGGTAGTGGGGATTTCTTCGCTTGCATTCCCATGAGGCAATTGGTCCGCCACAGCACAGATGGGTCCTAAAAAAGTCTAAGCCCTGCTCAGGAGAGATTGGCACATTTTATGCTTCATGTCCACAACGGGAACGAACGGCTGCTGCCTACCATGAAGGATCCTCTATTCATGATCCCTCTTGATCCGAGACAAAAGCATTGGCTAATCCGGCATGGCCCAACTTAAGGTTATTCCTCCATATGGCCGTTGTGAATCAATCCCCAGTAGAGTGTGCAACTACATTCTGCTGACCCACTGAGGCCCACAGTTCGGATACGCATACGCGATGAACCATAACCCCTTTAAGCACCTCTGGCGTTCTCTTTTCTACATCCGGTATAGTTTTCGAGATCGTGTTTATAGTATTCTATGAAATTTTCTTTTTTTAACGACCCCAAATATGTGGCAGGAACACTCCTCGACCTTTAAATATGGATCCAGTCAAGCTCAAAGAACTTCAGTCAATGAATCCATTAACAATAAAAATCGGTTCACTTGAGGCAATATGACAGCACTACAACCCCGAGACGGCTTCAAACTATTCTACTATGACCCATCCCTTGCAGCAGCAGTAATCTTCATCATCTGTTTTCTGGCAACCACAATATTACATACATACCAGCTTTTTCGAACAAGAACGTGGTTCTTCATACCGTTTCTGTTGGGTGGTTATTGTATGCGTTGATCTCAACTGAGTCTCTAGTACACCACGACAGATTTATGCTGACACTCAATTACAGTTGAATGGGTAGGATATGTTGCACGTGCCGTGGCCTGTAACCAAACGCCCAACTGGACACTTGGACCGTACATCGTACAAGCCGTTCTGACTCTGGTGGCGCCAGCCTTGTTCGCAGCCAGCATCTACATGGAACTGGGCAGAATGATCGTCGTCCTAGGCGCAGAAAAGCACAGTATGATCCGCGTCAAATGGATGACCAAGATCTTCGTGGCGGGAGATGTCTTGTCCTTCCTTATGCAATCCGCCGGTAAGGCGCATAATGGCAACATCTACTTTGATCACTCAGCTTACGCTCGATACTAGGAGCCGGAATGATGGGTGTAAAATCCAAGATTTCTGAGAATGGACCGAATATTATCGTCGGCGGTCTTGTCGTCCAAATCATTTTCTTCGGCTTCTTCATGATATCATCTGCAGTCTTTCATATGCGTATGAACCGTGATCCTGTAGCGGATGGCGGTGCTGGCTTCAACTGGCGACGCCTTCTTTATGCGCTCTATGGTGCTAGTGCTCTTATTCTCATCCGGTCCATCTTCCGTCTTATCGAATATGCGCAGGGAAATGGTGGGTACTTGGTGGCGCATGAGTGGTTCATGTATATTTTCGATGCATTATTGATGTTTGGAACGATGTTGATCTTCCATGTCGAGCATCCTAGTGAGCTGAATGCGTGGTTAAAAGGCAGTGGCGTTGTCTGTAGGGGCATAATTCGATTCGAGAGGATTGGGGGGAGTGGCATGATGATGTCCTAGTTTCCTTACACTTACTTTGCATTGAAGCGATAGATAATTAGACAATATTGCCGGATACGAACGGCATTCTTTCTCTAAAGAAATTGATACTCGGTAGGAGATTGGCATAAAACCCGTGCTTCCGTCTGCAAACTGCAGTACTTCTTTCTTAGTACATCGCAACTTGTCGTTTAGAAAGTGGCCAATTACCACTCATTGTAAATAATTCCTTCAATAATGCCTGACTAGGATCCTCAAAGGTGAGGCGATAAACAAAGTCCCGCCCTTTGGTGATCATTCTGCCTTGTTCGGATGTTTCAGGTCAAGGCTTGAACGACAATGGAGAAACGGTAGTCAGCAACGGATGGGCAGAGAGAACATACTGGAGAGTGCCAATCTACTATTTAATCCATTATGTTTCAGCCTAGTACTTTCATACGTCAGTAGCTGCAGACTCCGCAGTTATCACTCAACACAGAACACATAAAGACCACTAATTGCCCACCGCCTCTACCAGCCCTAACGCAACTAATGACCTCACCCTACCTGATTGAATTATCACAGCGACGGAGGCACAACTGAGTAACACATTGAAGAATGACCTCTACTACTACTAATCCTACTATATTAACGATCGAGATATGGGAAAGCCCGGACCCATCCACCACGACTACTCTTTCGTTCAAGCTGGCAGAAGTAGATGGCAATCTTCATCGCCAATACATACAGCTAGGCAATATGATCAAAACCGTCGACGACCTAGATAATCTTATCGTTAATCTACAGGCAGTAACTTCACAAGAAGGGCTCGGCATAGAGCCCATGAGTCTGCAACTACAGAACTACAGCATGGCATGGAAGAAGGGGGCTTGGAAGCATGACATCTTCGTCGGCTTGCCAGAGTGGGGCTTCGTTCGCATCAAACGATGTTATGACATCGACACCTTGAAAATACATAGCTTCGGGCCAACCTTTACCTCACCCAGCTCAAAGAGCAACCCCGCGTTGTCAACGCCATCAGGCGTAGCCGATCTCGCTGTGTCTATGTCATAACTGGTGTGGCGGAGGCATCTGGCACAAAGGTTACTGTGTGTGACTGTCGGTTCAGGAGATATGGTATAATCATTAGGACACGTCCGTTTAGCCTCTTTGCAGGTCGTTGCCTGAGCATTTCATGTCCAGATAGCTTGGTGGGCCTGATCTAATACCTATTGGGTATAGCTTACATCGTCTGACACTGAAGAAGGATAAGCTTTTTGCGGAACCAGTCACGGCTGCATCCTTTCCTAAGAAACTGCTTTCTTTTGATATCGACCTCCCTTTGAGTGTGAGTGACCAGAGCGCAAGTGATACGGATTTGTTAAATGAAACGGAATAGAAGACGTTGGGGGGATAATTTACAACGAGTGCCAAGAATATATCTCTGAATTTTGTTGAATAGTTTTCTTCTGAATAGATGGAAATTTAACATGAACATACCACGAGTATTGACGACTCTTTCTACAGCTGATACACGGTCAAGAGGGTGAACCACAACCCCCGAGCCGAGACATCAGCTTGATTTCTACCGAGTGGATTGTGCATAAGTAGCACTAGAACAAGCAATAAGGACCCACGCATGGGCCCTGTACGTCCCCTTTGATTGGTCAGTAGCCAGAGTAAGCTCAATCACTGCGCGTCCTTATCAGTCTAAGAAGAATCAATAGGTCGCCAACCTGTTACCCTCTTTCGCCCCCACGCTGGCCACATATATCAATTCTCTGGTTCGCACCTTCATCTGTCTATCGGACCATTTTCTTCCAACCTCTTGTCGTTGTTCCCAGCTTCTCACCTTCAACCTTTTGACCATGGAATCACCGAACAGCACGCCAGTGCCAACCTACCAAAAGAACGTGGAAAGCATCAATGCTGCAGCCCAAAGCCTTCTGGAAAGGTACAGCGGTCTTTCATCTGCAGAGGTCATTCCACATGTGCTGTCACTGGTATGTCCCCCTAGCCCATTCCCGTGCCTATGTAGTAACCCTTCTATCAGCGGGACAAAGCCTTCAAGGTCTACCACTACCCTTGCATCGGTCAGATGCGCTTTCTAGCCTTCAACTTCCCCCGTATGCCATTCTACCATCGAGTTTTGGAACGTTTACGAACAGATCCATCCACCAACTTCCTCGACGCCGGTTGCTGTTTCGGACAGGAGATTCGTCACCTCGTAGACCAGGGCATCCCTGGCAAGCAGCTCTTCGGGTGTGACCTCGAGCAGGTATTTATTGACCTCGGATACGAACTCTTCCGAGACAAAGACCATCTCGAAGCGACCTTTGCAACGGGTGATCTCACCGCAGACGATCCCGCGTTCGCAGGGAGCCCGTTATCCCAGAACCTGTCGGGAAAGATCGATATTATCTTCGCAAGCTCTTTGTTTCACTTATGGGACTATGACACGCAGGTCCGGGCTGCGATTCGTCTGGTTCAGCTGTGTCGGGACAAAACAGGCGTCATGATTACTGGGCGCCAGCTTGGGAGCCGGCTGGGTGGCCATTACCCCATACACGGCGTGGATGATAAAGCCCTGCACTATCGGCATAATGTTGAATCGTTGAAAGGGTTCTGGCGCGATGTTGAAGTTGCGACCCAGACGCGGTGGAAGCTGGAGGCGAGCTTCTTTGTGGACGATGCGGTGGAGCAAACGAAGAAAGTGGTTCCGGATTATGATAGTAATGCGATGATGATATGCTGGTGCGTGACTCGAGAGTGATTTTTATTTTGAACTAGACATGTTATGTTATGCTGTTGGGGACCATAGAATAAATATTCAGATCTATATAGCGCCAAGATTACCAGGAGTCAAAAAGATGTAGATAGTGGGTAATGTAAAGGAAATCTGTTAAACTGACACTGGACGTATATGTTGCCAGAGCACCAGGTCTTTCAGTCGGATTTGAACAGTGCATGCAGAGACATAACGGTAGGCCCAGTGTATAGTACCAAGCAATACCACGCAACTGACAAGTCGGTTTAAACCCGGAATTGCTCCAGCGTACCTCCCTGGTCGCACCAGTCCACAGCCCTAAGGGACTACAGTCCAAAGAAACGCGCTTGGCATTGGACACAATGTCCGAATCTTCTCTTTACAGCGCAGCTTAGTTAATTATAGGGTCCAGCATCGAGGAGACGATGTTGCTGGAGGGATATGTCCCCTTCTGAGCCTACCTGACTGATTCACACAGGCACATTGGAAGAAAAAAAGGGATCTGTCGGAGGTTGCGCCTCATAAATACTCCAGAACTGGAGATATAATGGGGCAGATCGTCTTTGGCAACGCTGTAGACCATATTTTGCGGCTAGTCCTATTTCCCCTTCGAAGTTGTATATCCATTGCTCAGTCATTTGGCTAAAAAGGCCTGCGGTTGAGTCACCTGACTGATAAGATAACGGAGTTTGATTCCCGATCATGAGACTGGCACGTGACTCGTGCTCATCTTCGACCTGAAACCCTTGAGGAACATATGACACCTAAAAATATAGAATTCGCAGGATATATTACATGTAAACTATACAAGTATAAGGGTAGTAGAAGTATACCTATGCTGATGTTTGTGGATGAATTAAGGTTAGGTCATGCGGAGCACATGGTTCAATTATATATATTCATTGTGTTCAGAAATTCAAGTACCATTGCCGAAGATAAAAGGGAAGGAGAAGATGAGAAAACGGAAAACCATTAAAAACAAGGATATATCCATGTTAAGCTTAAGGAGACATATCCTGCATCGTCTCCGTACACAACCAATCCAACTCCACCATCATATCAGGATCAATGGGAAACCCACTCCCGGCCGGGTCAAACGCGCGAACATCCTCTTCACCAACAAGTACGCCAGACTCATTTGAACCAGGATCAGGCTCGGTTGATATACGGGGTTTTTTGGAAGTCGGAAAAAAGGACTGCGATCGACTTTGTGACTGAGACACAGCCCGCTTCGCAGAATTATACGAACGGACCCGCGATTCCCATCGCCGCTGTAGGCTTATGAGAAAGTTCTGGGCTCTCTTGGCACTCTCCCATGATATCCCGAATTCCTCCAGTGCACGGAAGCAAACGCTAAGATAAGCTGATATCTCTTGATCTCCTTCACGTTTGAGGCTTGCGATTGTGGCAAATATCAGCATCAGTGCGGCGGAGCAGGTGATAGAGACGGCTTGAACGTTCATGCGACGGAATGTGTACTGCGCTTCGTAGAGATGGAGCAGTTGGGCGATGGCGATTGCGGATTCGATGCACATCTTTCGAGCATGGACGTGGCCTGGGCCTTGGGGTGGTTGGGGTTGGATGTAGCGTTTCGAGATCCAAGGGCGGTGGGCGTGGATAATGGTCTGGTGATATTGCATGCTGGTTTGTATGTCAGCATACGTAATTCAGATCTGGTGTTCCTTTGGCTTACTGGAGAAGTAAGATATGAGGCAGGACAGGGGCATCTGCGTTATCAAGATCGATTTGAAGAACCTCGGGAAGGTTGGCTTTCCATTTTAGGAGTCGGTCTGTGGTGTTCTCGTTCAAACCCTGAAGAATACGTTTTGAGACACGAGAGCATCCATAACTAGACTGGTTAGAATGAGACTGTTCAATATCTATTACTTTTAGTGTGGCTTACAGGATATGGCCTAGTGGAGTCATGATCTCACAAAGCTGGATCCGATGCTGGCTAAGAAGGTCGACTGGGTCTGGCACAGGAGCTGCAAGACAAGCAGGTGGTGGAGACGGAAGACCGTAAGGGACCCATTTTCGGTCATGCTCTTTCACTTGATGGCGACCAGGCTTGTTGACTGTGACATCCTCCATATTGATGCGGACTGGTCTACCGAGGAAGAAGCCCCACAGGCTTGTAGACAAAAAGCATCAGTAAGCATAACGAGGAATTGGACGAGAGGTCGTCTTACTGGTCCACAGTGTAAGTTCCCCAAAAAACGGTGCGACGTAGCTCTGCCTCAGCTGCGTTAATCGACCCTTGAGTCACATAGTGGGCCGTGTCAATGTGCAACCCCAAGTCAAAGGCCAATCGCATGGCCATCCCTATACCAGAATGTCAACCGTGGAACTCCATGGCTGGTGATTGGGTGCTTACCGCTATAGAGCCACCCTCTAGAGTTCCTCTTGCATCCAACGTCGTGTGCGCTTAATACGACCATCGCCTGAATAGTTGCCAGAGTGGGTGAGTCCAGCTCAATCTCTAGAAGTGCCTTCGCCCGGTCAGCGAAGAAGTCAGACACTGATCTAGGATAGGTGATGAAATCGGGATGGTATCGCGGCTCGAATGCCGCTCCAAGGCAGCACCTTAGAAAGTTAGCCAGAACCGTTCTCATCATGTCGGTGGATCTAAATATTAGGTACTTACATAGCGTTTGTCAGGGCCTCAGAGTAGTAAGGAGTTTCCTCCAGTTTCGTGCGCCACTGTTGCCGTGCTGGCTCGTACATCTCCCTATCGACCACCTGAAACAACGGGTTATGCCAAGTAAAATAGAGGTTTATCAGGTGCTCCTCAAACCCCGCGGGAATCTCTTTGTTAACGCCAAGGCGATCCAACACATCTGGTCCATCTTGTCGAACGGTGCGATGGATGGTGAGATTGTCCGGAGTAGGCATCCTTAGCAGATTAAAATGGGATGTTGGACCGTAGTAGCGAACATGACCGTCGGACCCTATTTGTAGGCTTCCCATCCTGTCAGATAATTGGGTGACTAGCTCCTCTACACCTTCACTATCACTAAGATTGTCGTCCTTGGTGGAAGTGTCATGTTGGCGTCTCGGCTCATTGCTCAGTAACTGTTGGATGGACAGCGGCAGTCGCGTCGCAGCAGGCCGCGGCTGTGCTATACTTTCTCGATCCCCATCTCCATTGCTCGAATCTTTATTCCGTGATGGAGAGTTGCTGATCCCGCATGGTGCTTCCTTTGGAGATTCTGTGTTGATCTCAACAAAGGTATCGTCACTACAGTCTTGGAACAATGAATCGTCTGACGCTGCTGGTAGAGAAGCGGCGATTTCGGAATGGGCTGGACCCTGTTGAACGTCTTTGACGACTTCTGGGAATGTCATCAAGAATAGGTTTGGGTCTATAACGTCAGGGTTCAAATCCTCGATGAAGCCATGTTCAACTTCATTGTCTGGTGGTTGGTCCCGATTAGCCTTAGGGTCCGGGACGTTCCTGGGATTGTCCTCAGTTCGCTTCAGCGCCGACTGCAGACCTTCCATTCCACGCGTCTGTAGTAAATGTTGTAAAGCGGAGTCGTCCTCGTCAGACATCTGCGGCGGTTGCAGCCCTTGGTCATTAATAAATTGACATAGTTGCCCCACTCGATTTACTAGTAGATCGACTGCAAGGCGGAGCGAAAGCCTAGATACATCAGATTCATGCATATTAGAGGTACAACCAATGGGAAACGTTTCGTGGGGACACTATGGATCGGGGATTAATGGGGCCAGTGTCCTCTCTAAAGTCACAACGGGGAAAGCGATGCTATTTTAGGTACGTACTTTCGCTTATCAACTCCTAGCTGATAGTGGCATGGTCTACCTTTAATCTTGCAATGTGAGCAAATGGGTTTGGTCCCATCACACTGTTATTGAGCCGCCGGATTAACATAATTGTCTGGATTTGAACCTGGAATCAGGTTTCCGGGTACACGAACCTTTATTTTACTCTCACGACAGGCCAAGCAGGCCGTCGTGACATTTTTACGTTTGTGTGATTGCTTTGTGGGTGTCATACTGACAGCTCCCTATGGTCTCAGTTCTTTCACTAAAGTGTATGGTGGTATGGCGCGAAGAAGTCAAAAGTCGAAGTTGTCTGTGCTCGGGATTCTGTCTCCGGAGCTCGGCATGTCCCCTTCGGCCCCGCTTCCGATCGGAAGCAAATGAGATCATATCAGATCGACTCCCCGGCATTTGTACTTGCAGATGCAACCCTCATATATGCCGTAGGTGTGATTGGTTTACGGTTGCAGTTTGCTCTCTGAATAAATTAGAATTATCTTTACATGATCACTTCCAAATATCCTCGAATATTCGGAAGGTGACCGTGGCCGTTAATTGAAACGGTGGAATTCGGCAACCCTCCTTCACTACTAGCACACTATACTGAAAGGCCAGCATAAAGATTTTATAAGGCCGAATAAAAGCGACCACGTGCGGTGACAGGTTACGGAGTTGAGGGATTCTTTTCTACCATGGGTTGACCGTTCTTTGTCATGCAGCTGAAAAGGGAGGACAAACATGAAAAGGAGGAAACCAAAGGAAGAATACACGCACGTCTGATGAATATTAGTAATCAATAATCCTGAGGTGAAACTCAATCTAGGGCTGGAAATGCCATAATCATACGGCGTACATGTATGCACAATGAGGTAGGGCTAACTATCTAGAGATTTGTCTGACCAACGCCAACAACGCATTTACTCCACTCTAACTATTCCACATTTGGTCGGATGCGCCGCTGAGATCCAACAAAGTGACCAACTAACTGTAAAGTTTGCCAAGTGCTTTAGGGCTGATCTCGTGGCGGAGCACTTTTTCATCTCGTATAGCTCGCTTGGCTAATCACACGATGGAAGGTTCACATTGGTTCGTCCTTTTGGCAAGGCTGAAAGGTACCTTGGGTCTACTGCACGTCTAGCCTTTTATGCCATTGTATTGGGAGCTTGAGGCTTGGCCCCAGAGTTGTGAGCTGGTTCTGCAGCCAGGTGGGAAGCCCTAGTAATGTCAGATTGCAAACATACCGTCGGGCTTCGATTTGAGAACTATAAAATCCCCCCTGTATATTTGGCTTGTTGTTCTTTTAAGTGTTCATTCATCTTCTACGCTTGAAATTATCCCACAACTACTCAACATGATCTTCCTGCTATTTTTCGGCTTCGCCATCATAACTACGAGCTTAGCCTCGCCAGTATCCCAACCTCTTCCCACGGCCATCATTGATTCCGGTGCAATTGTCGGCACAACCACATCCCTCCCCTCCTCTACCGCCGTCGTCAGACAATACCTTGGAGTTCCATTTGGTGCACCACCTGTCCGCTTCAGCCCTCCAGAACCAGTTGCAAGCTGGTCGACGGTCTATAATGCGACACGATGGGGACCAGCCTGCATCCAACAAATCGGTCAAGGCACCAAAGAGTTCTTTGGCATGTTAGACCTACCCCCTCCGGCAAACGGAGAGAGCGAAGACTGCCTGAATCTCAATGTCTTCACCCCAGAATCTGCCTCGGCAGGATCCAAGGCTGTTCTTGTTTGGTTCTACGGAGGGTCTTACATGAATGGTGCTACGTCTGTCAATCTATATGACGGCACCAGCTTCGCTGCCAACCAAGATGTCGTGGTAGTCACCGTCAATTATCGCACCAACTTCTTTGGATTCCCTGGTGGCAACGTTCCTGCCACGGAGCGAAACCTTGGGTAAGCACTTATTATTCTGCATTGAAGCTCAGGATATGAATTTAACTGAATACCGTTAGCTTCCTGGATCAACGACTTGCCCTAGATTGGGTGCAGCGCAACATCGCCGGACTCGGCGGTGATCCGTCAAAGATAACCATCTTTGGTGAGAGCGCCGGGGGTGGCAGTGTCGATGCTCTGATCACGGCTCCCCCAGACCCAGTTCCATTCCGTGCAGCAATTATGCAGTCCGGCCAGAGCTCGATCAGCATGACTTTGGATGGCGGCTCTGAGAAATACACAGAGTCGTGGAAGAAGCTGGCGGGATTTGCCAACTGTCCTTTGGATAATGCTCTCGAATGTCTCCGGAAGGCGCCAGCTCTCGAGCTCAAACAGTTCGCTGAGAACGCTAGTCTTTCTTTTGGCCCCGTGCCAGATGGCGGCATTACATTGTCCGCAACACCTCGCCTAGATCGCCTCCACTCATCAGAGGGAAATTCTTCCATCGCTCGCGTCCCTATTCTCATCGGGAACAATGCCGACGAACCAAAACCTTATATCCGGGGGGTTAACGACACGAAGGCTTACCTCGAGACACTAGATCTAGGTGAATATGCTGAGATGATTTTGCAAGCGTATCCGTTGGGCGAACCAGGAGCGCAAACTGAGAACGACCGACTCTCTCTCATTGGTACCGATCTGTTTATGCATTGTCCAGCTAAAGTCTTTGCCGAAGACAGCGCCAAAGCGGGTATTCTATCCTATAGGTACCTTTTCAATGCTAGCTTCCCAAACAATGAAGCTTTCCCAGGAAGTGGTGCGTTTCATGCTGCTGAAATTGCTTTCGTGTTCGGTACGTATCCGCAGGAAAATGCCACTCAGTTTGAGCATGACGTAAGCCAGGCCATGCAGAAGGCCTGGGCGGACTTTGCGAAGGATCCAAGCCAAGGCCCAGGATGGGAGGAGGGGCCCATGATTGGCGTCTTTGGCGATGGAGTGAAAGCTGGGATGAGTGACGAAGGAAAGAAAGCGTTGACCGCAGTGGGCTCCGCGGCCATGGACAGAAGGTGCGAGCTTTATAAACCTTTATATGATCAGCTGGCACTTTCTGGTTCTTCATAGCACGATTAGAAACGCCAGGATAGATATCTAGCCAGGGGGGGGGGGGGGGGGGGGCGGCTTACCTGTATGTACTGTGACTTAGTTTATACCTCATAATAACATAACGTCTCGGGGCATTAGCAAGCGACTGGAGAATTGGCATTAGTTCTAATGTATTGGAGCACTCTTTATTTCAAGATGGCTGCGAATGCACCTTTATCTATGTGGAAGCTGGATATGTCAGCGATCGACGGTGCTGCGCTATCGAGATTCTAGCCGTGGAAGTCTGTGATGACTGCTCGGTGTGTTAAGGGGCGGAGAGGGTATAACGCGCACGTGGGAAGTTATATTCTGTTTCAATAGATTATCAAATACAGGATAGTAGGATAAAATACATATATATTCCAGGGGCAATTAGAAGACCTTACAGGAGGGACGAAACCGGTGTTGAAGGATAGAAGTTCCGGCCGAGAAATGGTATCGGCTGTCCCTGGGCCGCCCTTGGGCTCACTTCAAGGGTCGAGGCACCCAAACCAGTATACTCCAGACGGATATCCTTATTATTACAATAGATAGAAGCTGGTAGAGACACACTGACATTCCAATAATATTAGGCAAGAGCAATTAGTCTTCTTCTTTGAGTTGCAAAATGTGAGCCAACGCCCAGTCCTGGTCATTTGCGTACGGGTCTAGATAGTGAGCTTTACGTCCGTCGACAGTAGCAGGATAGAGGAAAGCACAGTATCCACGTCCATCCTCTGTGAAGAGAGCGAGGTTTGCTCGCAGAATATTCTCAGCACGGGTCTGATACGTCTTGTCTCCAGTAGCATTTGCATAGTGATACATTGCGATACCGGTCAGAGTACTCCAGTAGTGAGGAAACGTGTCACCCCACATCCGATCCTTTCCGAACCAATATCCATCCCAGTGACGAATTGCAATATCCTGAAGATATAATCCGGTTGTTGGCCTCCGAATGCTTCGAGACGATCAAAGTGACTATGAGCGGCCGCAAGCCAAGACTTGACCCCAGTGGATCGGTACAACTCCAGTAAGATAATCACTGCAGGAGCAATGATCGATTGCTCATAGTTCACTTCGGACGAGGGATAGTTCTGTCCAACCTTGGCGATCTGCTTTCCATGGCCCGTGAATAGTTCTAGCGCGCGCTGATATGCGTCTCTATTGCCGTACCCCTTTAGAAAAGTAAGACTTTCCAAGATAGGCAAACCGATGGGGTAATAGCCCGCCCCTCCTTCCGAATGAAAGCGTTCGATAGTAGACAATAAACGCTCCACAGGTGTTGCGGTATAATTCCCATGGCTTATCACAGCCTTATTTCCCAGCTTCGCCATAGCAAGATGAAGTTGCATCACCCAGGGCCAGTCATACAGGCGGAGAGATGCTGTTTTGGACCCAATTGGCCAGTCGTAAACGTAGCCCGATAGGTCTTGGAGTTTGTTGTTGACATAGTCATAATAGATTCGGAGAGACTCCTCAACAGCCACGTCAGAATGCTTTAGGAGCCATCGAGCTACTAATACACCCATCCCGACGCGTTCTCGACCTGTATTCCTGTCGGACGCAGTATCAAATGTGACTATACCCTCTATCTGGTTATCATAGACCGCATATGCGCCTGCCCTTGGCTTGTCGGGGAAAGATGAATTTAACTGCTGCTTCATGGTAATAAACCTAACACGATTCGCAATAATGTCATCAATGTCATGCACGGTATTGAGGACAACGGTAGCATTATCCCGACGATCGCTCCTCCTCAGGGTAAACGTTAATTTCCGCTCGCCTGCAGTGTGCGCCTGGATCGAGGTGTAATATAAGCCGGTTTTCCCCTGAGGCAGAAGATCAACTTCATTAAAAGAGATATTGTCTCCAGGTCGCCCAAACACTGTCAAATTGACAGATTCGCCTGCAACACCTGTCCAGGGTGATGCGTCGATATGGATAAACTGGTCTGATCGTTCGATACTCTGTTTAAAAAAGTCTTGCCAATCATCATGCCAGAACATAGTCCAACAGATCTGACTTGTCTCCTTGCTCCCCAGAATAGGCACCTTAGGATGCATAAGAAAGAAACCACGGGTGTTAGACGATGTCACTGTATTCCGCGACTCCACACTATAACCTGACAATGCCCCCTCCGTGAGAACCAGCCCAAGGTGAGGTCCTCGTAGGCCCATTCGTGTCAACTTAACCCATGACGAGCTCTCACCAGACGCCCAGATGTGAGCGTGAGCCCGGTGCTCCAGAACTTCTTCCGTGGAGGTATAATGGTCATTGAAAGGGAGGTAAATCCCCAGCGACACAGATCCGGCATTGTTAAGACTCAGCGAATCGTTACCGGTGTTAATAAACGAATAACATTCCTGGAAACTTTTGGAAGGTGTGTCTATCCATCTGGTAACGCTCACATTGAGCTGATCCATTGCATAGGATGCAGTCATGTGATCATCTCCAATCCTCATATCAGGAGTGTTCCAGAATGCGCGGTTGAGACCTCCTATATCTGCATAGCCTAGTCCCCATCTGCTACCGACAGGCTGCCAGGCTGTGTTGTCTGGCCCACTGATCCAATTCATGGAGGCATTATCGTTTGGGTTCGTGATGGAAAGCACAGCCCCGGTGTCAAGATCGACACCGACTCGAAAGCCTTGCGATTGTATATACTGTACGCCAGTACCCGCGAGAGTGGCAGTGGTGAATAGAAGAAATGACATAAAACTCATTTTCCCTATTTGACAGCTGTTGTAAGTTGGGCAATTGACCAAGTGTAGATGGGATTGAAGATCAACCCAGGGTAATAAAGTAGCTTGGCACCCCTCCAATGGGCGCAGTCCACAGAGTACCGTAGCCTAATAACCCGAATGCCTGGGGTCGTATCTCAAGTATTTACTAGAGCAATCATCTAATAATATTGAATATCACTGAATATTCAGTCAAGGGTAGATATTGAGGGAGACCTTAATTGGGAGGGTTCGGTTTGATATAGTCCGAGAAAAGAGGGGCAGACTAAAACAGGAGATTGATCGACATATAACCCAACAGGATACTGGTTTCTGGCGACCAAGGCGTTAACTAGTAGAATCCTTTCCCAGGCATACGGACTAGTGGAGGTATTAACAATATAGAACCGATCGCTACTCTCTCCACGGACAGTGGCTAGGCAAAGGTCTCTTCGAGCCGGTCACACTCCTATACGTCTATCCGATCCAGTCAGTCAAACGATCTTTAAAGAATTTAGGCACGGCATTGAGAAGCCAATCAAATTTGTCTACTGATTAATACATACAGACAATCAGAGACAATATTTGCTACAATCGTCCATGGTGATGGCGCTTCATGAAGCTGGTCATGTGGCGTGAACTTGGCTATATCTGCTACTTCACTACATCATCTATATCTGTACTAGGAAGCCTGTACACACTTCTGAGATGTAAGAAATATTAGGCAGTCGAATGGCAAGTCTTGCATAACCTGCAGCCCTTACAAGATGCCTACCCTGTCTGTTTAGCCTTTGTATATTAGGACAGAACATCTTTCTTACCTACTGTATATATTCATTCTACTATCTAGGCATTACCAGATAATCCATAAGGACAGTACGCGACTAGGCCCAAATTAGAACCAGTGGTACCGTAGCGGTCCAGCTGCCAATCGGTATCGTGATTAAATCAGTCACTGCCAAGCTGTGTCAACCACGATATTCTATAGTAGCTCAGCGTTTAGAATTCCACACCGTATACCAAAAGCTGTGGTACAATAAGCTAACTCTTATTATTAGATCAACTCTAAACGGGAGTAAAGGATCAAGAGATGGTCTACTTGGACGAGGAGACTAGACAATTATAACAATCAAACATTCGGAGAACAAACATTCAATCGCAGATATCGGCCCGCACCACGACTCCCCCGGCCTGAGCGATGTAAATAACTACAATAGCGTTGGTAAAAATAATAAAACACCTAAAACAACAAGAAAAAACATACAACAGGAGGGATTCGCTGGTGGTCACCCACCCAACTACTAACCTCCCGGCGTGTGGCTTAAGTACGGCTGAGCGGACGGGAAGCCCTGTTCTCCACACCCTATGGTCGTATGTACCGATTTATTGTGGACCAAGAGCTATATAGTAAGACTAACACATTGTTGCTACAATAATAGACATTATGCTCTACCACTACGATGCGAAATTAATTGAACTTCACTCCGGCCTTTAATGCATCAGAAGGCTATCCAGGGTGCATCGTTGTAGACAAAACAGCCGCTCAACAAGTGAAGCTAGAGGAACCTACAGAATAAGATAGCCCCAGCATGTAAGTTGCAACCTAATCCTTCTGAGATTGACGTACTAAGACCCATGAAATTGAGTTATCTTAGAAGGACGGTAGCCTCCCAGCGCTCTATAACCCTTATCTCAATAGCTAACCGTATGACGCTATGTGACAATCCCTGAAGCGGGGCGTGGAAATTAACGCCACCAACTTGAATACCTCGGTTCCTGATAACTTCCTACTCAATCGCTTTTGGGGAGAAATAACCCTCATGGAACCATGCACGGATTTCACTAACCAATAAGGCAATTCCATAAACGAACTTATCTAGCGTAAACTATTCCATGGCCAGACGGGATATATATGCCAGGCAATACTCCACAAGATGTATTTTAGTGTCAATCAATCAATCAATCCTTGATTAGCTCTGGGGCACTGACCATCTGCTTAGGTCAACTGGAATGCATTAGTTACACATTTCCCCGCATCGCGTCCTCAGAAGGACTCTTGGACCATTGCTATCTGAATATCAAACTCTAGTCTTTCTACGTGCCTTATCATTCGTACCCTATCGGAATAATCAGCGAACCATAGTGCAACCGACCTTTTGATTCGTCATTACAGTGTCTTATCTACAAGTCACGTAGCTGTTTGGGTAACTCCTCACTGGCGTATGCATAAGCTGCTGTCCATTTAACCCGTTCGATTCTGGAAGCTAAACCAGTATTTTCCATCATTTGAAATCATTTTCTGTCCCTCATTTTTATTCTGTAAACGTCCGAGAGAAGGCACCTGATCCGTACTCACACTGTCCCACAAGCAGATTTGCTTTCCTGGTGAATAATGTCGCTTTTATTCAAATATCTTCTAGACAAAATCAGGCTTCCGGCAGTGGAAGGACATCTAGAGCAGTCGCAGTGGGTTAATGAAGGTGGGCTGGAGAAGTCACATTGATACAATATGGATGACTGACCGCTCCCTTTAAGATCTACTGCCTACACCACCAGAAAAACAGAGTCAGTTCGACATGACCCGTCTCACAATTCTACTCGCTAACCGTTGTAGCCTGGCGTTGGTGGAATTATGTCACCCTCTCTTGGTCCATCAATTTCACCAACTGGACCCTGGGATCCGTAGGTCTTGGTTCCATTTCACCTGAGATTCTGCGTTTTACTAACTTGAGTAGTCAATGATCGGAATAGGACTAAGTTGGTGGCAGTCTATTGTCGTCATATTCGTCTCGCAACTCATTTGCTCCATCGCTATGGCCTTCAACTCGCGTGCGGCAAGTGTATACCACATTGGTTATCCTTGCGTCGCACGCAGCGTCTTTGGTATGTGGGGGAGCTATTACTTTGTCGGGGTCAGAGCTGTGATGGCTGTTATTTGGTATGGAGTGCAAGGTAAGCCAGCATACAAATCCTCTATGGAAGCACCATTTTGATCCGAGAAGTGTATTACGGTGCGGAGTATATGTACAACATCTTGCGCGCCATCTTCGGGCATCATTTTACAGATATTCCAAATCGCCTTCCCGTGAGCGCCGGCATCACCTCCTCACTCATGCTGGCCTTCTTCCTTTGTTGGCTAATTCAGCTTCCATTTTGTCACTTCCGGCCGTATCAGCTTCGCAAATTCTTCTGGTTCAAAAGCATCGTCTCGCTTCCATCTATGTTTGGCTTGTTCATATGGGCCATGGTTGATACAAAAGGCAGAATAGGGAGCCTTTCTACGTCTACCTCACGATCATCTAGCGCAACAGCGTGGTTGATTCTAGCTGGCATCAATAGTGGAATCGGGTATGCGGCATCTCTCATTTGGACGCTTTTATATTGATGGCAGGATAGCAACTTGGCAAACTTAATCACCAATCAACCGGACTATAGTCGCTGGTCTAACACTCCCAATGCGTCTGTTTGGACCCAGCTGGTAATCTATGGACTATTCCACCCGATAATTCGAAATATAGAGGCTTGTTGACACCAGGCGTAGGTCGTTACTCCTATATCGGTAGCATTGTCCGCCAGCTTCGGAATTATCGCGACCACTGCTGTTAACTCAAAATATGGCACCAACATATGGTTCTGCTTCCCTTCCCGCTGGCGCTGTTGATTTATCCCTGCTTACCTCGTTTAGGAACCAATGGGACTTGATGAACCTAATCTTAGACCATTATTGGTCTTCTGGAGCCCGATTTGCAGTGTTCCTTTGTGCTTTTGCGTGGTTAGTACAAATTGTGGGCACCAATATCGCCGCCAATATGATATCTTTTGGCGCAGATTCGTCTATGCTCCTGCCTGCATACATTGATATGCGTCGGGGTCAGTATATTGTCGAGTTTCTTGCTTGGGCGGTTTGTCCATGGAAGATCCTCGCATCGGCTACCAAATTCCAGGATTTTCTTAGTGGATACGCTCTGTTCATGGTATGTGCTCTTACCTTTGGAGGAGGATTACCTTATTTTGCTAACAGCCCTGCAGTCCAGTGTTGTTGCTATCATGTTATGCGATTGTAAGTATCTGTATCTGTTGCTACTCTCGACCCTTTCTAGCTTCCTGACGTATGTAGACTTCTTGTTGACAAAAGGTACTGTGGTGATTCCTTCCTTGTATAATCCCACAAACACCAATGAGAACTACTACTACCACGGTGGATGGAATTTACAAGCCCTCGCAGCCTATATCGTTGGCATTGCACTCCCTTTCCCAGGGTTTTGCGGTGTCCTAGGTGCTAGCGTCTCCACAGCAGCCTCGCATATTATGGATATCGCCTGGGTTACCTCATTTGTGACATCGTTTATCGTTTACTTCGCAATCTGTTGGATCTGGCCAACTCAGAATATGAAATTCGTAAGAGAGAGAGGGTATACCTTTGAGCAGATTGCCCCGACCAGTGGTTACTGTGATTCTGGGCCTTCAAAGGACGAGGAGACTATCCCCGATAATGCCATTAGCAGCAAGGGCCTCAAAGCAAAGGTTGAAATTTGATTCACAGACGGGGATTCCTTTTCCACTCTCAGTGTACCAACCATTATCTTTCTCCACACATAGCATGAATAACAGCATTTATCCTAATTTGGGCTTAAACGTTAATTGCTCGGTATAATCGATATCGTACGAAGCGGAAATAAAGCATTAAGAATATGGCCTACTTCAGCAAGGAAGCTATACGATTAATGTAATGTAATCAAACAACCGGAGGGTAAACACTCAATCGCAGATATACAATTACAGTTGCCTGCTACCATTGTACTATTTGGTGAGGCTGCAAGGACCTCATTTATCAGGCACAATCCAACCATCGACAAGCTTGCCCATTTTTTCCAACCGCTTTGGTCCAAAATTAACAGCCTCAATACGTGCAGCAGACTTATCAGGCATTGTCACACTAATATCTATTAATCAGCATGTTCATTAAGATCGCCAGCTGGGATATAATTACTGGTAAATAACACTGTTCGTACCGGCAGTAGCCTGTGGGGTGTTGAGCCGAGCCACCCGACCTCCCAATTTGGCAATCTCAGAAATATACCTACGAATATGAAGCATTAGCACCACCAACAGAGCTATATTAACGCTAGTGAATACCTCTTCTCCCATTGAGTGACCACCTGCTTCAATTCGTTCTTCTGGAACAGCAGGCGCATAGCCTATAACGATTAGTAATGTCCCTGCATAGATAGGTCGGATGAACCTACGTAGGTCTTCGGCATGTTGGAAATATTCGAAAGTTTGCTGCAAATTGACTCTCAATGACCAGAATCCGGGGTATCCGAAGATTCAAATGGAAATTTCCCTCAAGCTCAACGAATTTTATCACTCAACCAATTGTGGGGCGGACACGTCAGTCGATCACCTTCTATTGTGACGTGTCCAAAAGGAAAAAGCAACGAGCAACGGAGTGCTATTCCGGGCTCAGCATGTACATGGCTCAGAGCTATTACTCGCCGGTAAACTGCCAGTGCCTAATCAGTATTGTTAGATGATCCTTACAAATCCAGGCCTTCATATTATCTTAACAATGTAGAATTCTTGCCATGTTATTGTTTCTCCCCATTGAGGAGTGTAAAGCTATACTGAGACAAGATCAAGTGTGGCCATGGGAGTCAATGCATGTTCTCAACTGTTTAACATATTGAAAAAGGACGTGATGTTAGGAATTGAGGTCGCAAATCCTAAAGCCGCTTAAATCCGTCTCTCATGCGCTTAATACCACCGCTTTAGCGGTGTAGATCAGTTCTATGACTGGTTGTGTCGAAAGACAAGCCGCTAAAACCGATGGAGCTTAGAGGGGCTTAAAATGAAGTAATTGATGAGGCTCTACACTCAGGTGGAGCTATAGGGTGAACATCATTTCTTTTCTGTCATTTTTGTGCGCAAAGCAAGAACGCTACTACTGCGTGTTATAAGTCATATCCATACATGTCCGTCATCGCAGTCTAACACCGGATGCAGGTAACTAATGAGGGGAGACCGAAAACTCCAGTAACAGCACAACATAAAACTACCACCAATAACATGAATTGCGCGCTCACTGTAAACTAAGAGGGATTCCGCAAACGTCCATTGTAGAGTTTTCTCTCACGGCCATCTCGGATGTTACTTGTATAAGTCTCAGCTGGCAAACTAACAACCCCTATCTTAATGTGAACGTTACCCCGGTTTTGATTACTCTGCCTCCAACTCCAAACATTAGCTGGGATCAAAGAGAAAAGAGTCAAAAGTGTGTGCCACACTGTGGTACATCAATTTGTGGCCTTGACGTGCAGGCTCCGAAGCATACTTTAGCCCTAGGATAAATGTGGAAAACTTTAATTATTATACTGCGAGATATAGTCATCGCCCGGGTACATGTACCCGGATACGGTACACCCATTGCAGCATGGTCACGCAAAGTCAACTTTTTTCCCCTTTCCATGTCTTCCGATTTACTATTTTCCGACCTAGTACCAGTAAACTGGGTCACCCCCTGATGGAAAGTCGGGTCGGCAATTCCTAGCTAGCTATACAAAGTTGCCACCCGACGAGATACGTGCTTTACATGGACGACGACAGCACTTGCACGAGAGCATAATGCACTGAGAAGCTTATCTACCGGCTAAAGAACATAAAAGAGCAGCATATATTCAATCCACTTATTACTCAATTTATTCCCCACGTGGAATAGTTATTCCTTCGCACTTAACACGTCTTTCCCCTAGCCACGTATTTCCCATGTGAAGACACCTCGCCCTATACCCATGGTCTGTATACCGTATACCTACGATTAAACCTTATTACACTTCAGAAAAAGTGGGATCGATCAGCCTTTGGTGGACTCTGCCGGAAATCTGGACATACAGACCGTCGGATAGGGCGTATGTACTACATAGCCGACTCGGGAGCATGTACCCGAGTGTGGAGATCTGAGCTTCCAAATTACTGAGAATGAATAATTGCTGTCTCTTAGCCGAGAAGGAAAAAAAAAGAAGAAGATGGGGAAATAAAAGGGCCAGGAGTGACAGGTGCCAAATCAAAAGGCCGCCTGGAGGTTCACATTCTCCCTTGCTAGAGTGAGATATACGTTGTTCGCCCGATCTTTTCCTGTCCTGGAACTATTAGAACGATTAGTTAAAACATGTCGCCCACCTCCCGCAGCTGTCCATTGTGGAACAGATGTTCAGCGCCCAATATACTGATTGAATTTGGTAACCCCAGGCCAAGATATATGACAGGTGAACGGATTGACGGAAAAGTGACAATTACTGTGGATGCTGAAACCAAGTTCAGTGAGGTCAATATCAGCCTAGAAGGTCCACCGTCCTGTTCACTATTAGATTCCATTGCCAGACTATACTGACGTTGAGTGTTTTTAGGCTCATCGCGGGTGAACTTGTTGCAACCCATAACCACTCAGCGGGAAACCGGTGCCTCTCATACATTTCTAACCCTCGATCAACCTATTGACGAAGTAAACTACCCGGCTTCGCGTGTTTTCAGACCAGGAAAAGCCTACCAATTTCCGTATACATTCGTTGTTCCAAATCGGTTACCTTTGAAATCGTGCAGCCATAGAACAGCCGACACGATTATTACACAGGCACACACAGAAGTCCCTCCCACTCTGCATCTGAGGAACTTGTCCCAAAACCTATGCGAGATTTGCTACCTCATCCGTGTTACCGTGTGTGGACAAATTACAAACAACAATGAAAAGCGGGAGATACTAGCTGATTGTGCGAAACCCTTTCATCTTGTTCCTGTCCATGAGGGAGGGCTTTTCTTCAGCAGTCCTGAGAAGCCCAACATGGATAGGTCTAGTATTGTGCGGGAAGTCAAAAGCCAATGGAAAAGACAGGCGCTGGGTCAACTTAAAGCCGTGGCATCTACATTACAGCCAATCCAGGTTCCCTCACCAGGTCTACCAACCAATACAGTGGACATCCATGTCGCGTTGCAGCTTCGCTTCGATCCTGTCAGAGACACCCCGCCCCCAAGACTTGCGAAAATACACCCTACTCTCAAACAGTCGACTCTTTTCAGTACAAAGCCGCAGAATGACTATCCATGTTTCAATAATATGATTGCTGACCAAATGTCGCGAGGGGCACACGTTCATATCAGCTCCCTTCCTTCACAGACCATCTCATCCATCAGGTGGGCCAAGCATATGTTACCGCATTATTCGGGTTCTTCCGGCTTGGACAAGTCTTCTCAAGCCAGCTCTATTACGGAACCTGGACACTCTTCCACCTCCGGTGCTGGCTATTATTACACAGCATCGGTTATGATCCCAGTCAGCCTACCCAGCAACAGCGATCTTGCGCCCACATTTCATTCCTGCCTTATCTCGCGTACCTACGCTCTCGAGCTCCGTCTTTCGTACCGCATGCTTAATGCACCCGTCTTGCAACAAATGCCCACGTTAGAGGTACCTGTTAAGGTTATTACATGGGGGGTCCAAAAGTCTGACTACACTAGCGCGTTCCGCCGACGCGTAGACTTGGCTTGGTTCCCCGAAAAGCCCACCCCGAACCCGCCCGGAACCCAGCAATTCCGGGTGAGAGTTTTAGATTTGGTGCCTGAACCCAGCCCGATGCCAACTCTAATAGTACCTAGATTCAGGGGCCAGGGTATTTAAAATTAATTGTAGATCTACGTCTAGCAATACAGCCCATTACACGTATAATATAGAGCCATTTTCTAGTAATTCTTATTGCTAAAAGGGAGATTTATTGAAATATAGAAAATACATAAACTTTCTAATATTTGTACTAGTTTCTTAGATATAAGCAGAGAAATGACTACGGAATACTTAGGGTTATCATGGGAATTCGGCTGGCAGAAATCGATAAGAACCCGTTGTCGCGGGGTGGCCGTTATAGGCCTCCGTACCCGAGTGGAACCAAGTCTTCAATATACAAAAGGAGTACAGATAGTAATAGTTTCCAATTATTGCCCGATCTGCTTGATAGGGGCGGAGCAGTGTCCGCATAGCCATAGAGTATGATAGATAGGCTGGGACAGTGAATGGATATATCAGAATCATAGTTAGGGCGAACGAAATACTGCATACGGCGTAATCTAGTGCAGCCACGCTTCCCAGGAAGCAAAATAATAGGCGGTAGAGGGTGGTTTTCCAAACTTTCGCAATGATGCTGGAAGTTGAACCAGTTTGTACTCCTATGTGCGACAGTATATGTACTCAAGCCACCCCCGTACTTGATAAAATGTGCACTTAATCTTTCATAACATTTGCAAATTGTCTACACATCCTAGGAATCGCGTACCTCTAATGTTATACTTACGTCACGTAGCCAGAATTGTTCTCTAGGTGACCGATGAACCCTGCGAACTCCAATGTTGCAAGGGATTTCTGGCAAAAGAGCAACTGGATGCTTGCCAGAAATCAGACGTTTCTTGCTCAACCGAGCCAATAGCTCTCCTCAGATGTTTTGTTGAAGAATCAACCTCGTCCCGCGGGTGATCACGCCTGTTAATACTATAGTGACCTCGTACATCTGGGTATTGTCCTGGAACTGGCCCGCAGCGTGGTTGTAGTACAGTTAGTTATTCTGTCAAGAGGGATATGTACTCTTCCACGCTCGGGTTATCTCTCATCCCTAATTTCCAATTTTACACTATTACTGGCTGACCTTAAGAACAAGCTCCCTGTAACACCCGGTGCTGAAGTTCAAGAAATTCAAGCCACTTGGATTTCCTCTCTTCGATTATTCATTGCCCTTGAGCTAATAAATCTGAGAAATCCGACTGGGGCTATGGACGAAGGAAGAATAGCCGATGCTGCGGTGTGTGGCGGGGCTGAAGATGGCTATATTCCCCAACTTGGATAATTTATCCCTCATCTTTTTTGTAGCCAGCGGAACGTTATAACGAGAGCAGAATTATTTGATGTGCAGCAGCGGCTTCCATGTATGGCGTTTAGTCCGCATTGACCCAACAATCGGCTTCTGAGAAGAGTTGGGAAGTCCATTGCGTTCCGATTGGGCTGCGCTACTCCTATATATCTGGCAGTGTCTGCGCACAAAACCCCACAAGCCGCGTGGGACGTGGTCGATTGGCGCAAGGCGCTGTACTGTGGCTGTGGCCCAAAAGCACATGCACCTTGCGGCTCCTTGCTGTCGTCCTACCTTGAAATTGTTAAGCGAAGCAGGATCTGGCTATGTCGGAGAACTTACTGTTAGAGCTGATCGACACAACTTCATCCTAATGGTGGGTTTAAGCAACCTACCGCCTGAGATACTCGCGCTTATTGTTCAGACTCTGCCTTCTACAGCATTCTATCCACCTCTATCTTGCTCTAAACATTCTCCCGGCATCCCCTCCTTTCTCTACGTTTCATCCAAACGGAATTGCAATCAAGCAGATTTTGGAAAATATTCAGTCGGCCGTGAATATGATTGACCGAGATCGTACCATTGAGCTGTGTGTCAAAGTTGTACTTATTGATAATTTCGACAATGATAACAATAATCCAATCCTACGACACCGTTGGTTCTTCGGTTACTCTTTCAAGCGCCAAACGTACAACAAATAGCAATGCCTGGACTGCCAAATGTTCTGCTTAGCAGAAGAGATCCATCTTCATCAGGCGATCTTCTTCTCCGACACCCACTCGAATTTTGCTGCCTGAATCGCCGGTCTGAGATATGGAACATCTATCTATCTGACGCGGGAGCCCACCAAGGCTGCTAACCGATGTCCTCAACGCCGCCTTGTGAAAAGGGAGCGGCGGTATGCGCGGATAGCTGTCAGTAAAAGGCTAACAAGGACAGGACAAGCTCAGAATGGATGAAGAATATCATGACGAGAGGTCGCCTTTGTGGGGGTAACCCGTAAGCTCCATCTACCTTTCGGTTTCCGCCGAAGTGGCAATTTCTTCGAAGACATTCACGTCTACGTAGACCTTAATGGATTCTGTCTTTCTGCGGCTCGTATCCACAAGATTCGACGTCATTGCAGGCTTAGTTCCATGATTCGGCTCGTCCGATATTCCAAGCCCTGGGTTGGTCGTGTCGCGGTGCGCAGTCGCCGCCACATGTTCCGCAAGCTTCTGACGGAGATAGACTTGCTGGTTTGTAGCCTGCTCTAACTTGCTGGCCCAACCTTTCATGGACACGTCAAGATCTGCTATAGCTTTCGTTCGGATCAACACGTTTTTCCTGCACTCAGCACCGTCCGTGCTTTCGGACCCGAGGAACCGAGTTGTACGTTCCTGCAGACCACGAAGCTCGAATTCGAGCGAATCGTAAATACGGCGGATATGTCTGCAGCGCTCCTCAAGTACCTGAAGTTCCTTCATGACGTTAGCTGGTGGGGATTAACATACAACACCGCGGGTCCTAGCCTCATACCAGAGAAAGTGCCCTGCCTTCACCGCAGTTCGGTACTTTGAATTCTTCAGCCGGATTCTTAGAGTAGGGATGCAAACATTCTATCTCCCTTGGCAGAAAAGGTGATCTAGCACCTGATGGAGCAACTGCGAAAGGGAGCATGAAGGATGCTCGGCGTTCTGCTGATGAATATCCCTGGTTTGGATTCTTACTAGTTGTGCCATTCGTCCCTGCTGATCTGCCCCGTTGTATGACGGCTGTGTCCGATTGATATCTTACATGTATGCCACGGATTGGTTGCAGTGTCCCAGACATTGTACACGCAGATCTTACCTCCGCTGATGCATCTTCAGCTGTGGTATGGCGTTGCCCTACGCAATTGCTTGGTGAGTTGTGTACAATTGGGGATCGTCGGCCCAGCAGAGTTCCTCCACTGTGGGCCGTATATGGGCCTTTGTATTGATATACAGCTTGGCTCCTGTATGGAGGCTTTGTACCGAGCGGGTCGGATGCGAAGTACCTTCCGTGATTCGAAGTTGGGGGATCTCTCCATGGTGAGACGAACGTACATTGTTCTTGATGGAGCTTTAGAGAGCGATTCATCGTTCGTGGTGACTTTGGGGGCACTGGAGGAGGACTTGTTGTTTCAGGCTGCGCGCTGACGGCAAATAATTCAGCTGGGTGCATTGCGCCCTCTGTATCTGTCTTTGTAGCTTTGGGAAGTGCGTCTTGACATTTGCTAGTCGGGGGTGAACGCTGCAGCGACGCAACTCCTGTCTGTGAGGGAGGAATAAGGGGCCCAGAAACTGGGTGAAGTATGGCATGGTTGACAGGGTTGGTTGGCGATTTAGCGGTCGAAGTAATTTTTAATCTTTCAGTATGGGGAGAGGTCGCTGGAACTTTCGATGTAAAATATGAGCTTCGGCTTTCGACCACAAGACGAAGGCTCATGCACTTACGCGAGTCCATAGGATTTGGTGTGACGGTGTTGATGAACCTGGATTTGCCATCTGGGATACTAACGTTGCATCGCGATGTACCCAGGCGATCATCGTGTTCAGAAACAATCGTGGCTCTGTCGGAATGTTTGGTACTAATCTCTGACAGGCAAGGGCTTGCTTGACTGGCTGCCAGTTCGCGGGCACGGAGTTTTCCTGTGGTGCCAAAAGGGGCGTATTGCTTGACTCTTGGCCACAATTGAAATCTCAATCGTCTAGCAGGACTTTGCCGATCCGTGCCCTCATTACCATCCGTAATCTTGGACGAGGTTTGCTGGGACGTGTTATTGCGGAGCAGTTCCCTAGTAATATATTGGATGCTTGGTGCTTGTAACTCACCACAACGTCAGGCTGTGTGCGGAGGGTATCATTCCCGCCGGTTGGGACACTGTTGTAATGCGAATTCTGCATGATGCGTACTATCAGGGAAATAAGTAACGCCTCAGTTCCAACCCAGCGCTGATGGCCACAGTTTGCCGCTAATGCTTCGTGAGGTTGTGGACGCCTGTCCAACTACCTATATAGTGCCCTCAGCACTACCCCTGGAATGCGCTGGCAGTGACAAAGTACTCTTAAATATGTTCTACAAACCCTCAAGACCTTAGTTCAGCCTAACAGTAAATCTATGCTAGCTCAAGTCATGACCGAGTGTTCAGGGCGCTTGGTTACTACGACAAACTAGTACGGTACGACACCTATTCATGCAAATAGAGTTCGTTCGGTCTGTACTAAAATCGAGCTTTCGTCACCTTCGACAGAATATCTGTTCTATGAATCTAAAGAGTAAATCAAGTGGTAGGTTAATTCCACACAGAGCATGTCCGGGACGTGCGCCTCAGTAGAGAACTAGAGTTCATGCCTGGCAACCGAAGCCAAAACAGAGCCAATGACTAACTACCATTGTTAAGCGAGGTACAAGTATGTCTCAGTTCGGTGGAGTCTCCTACGGTGTTCGGGTTATCAGAGGATGCGGATGACACGAGATATCTTTCTATTATGGCAAGATCTTCTGTCAATCAAGGTTTCCCTACAACCAGAGTGGGCCTGTCTCTTTCTTGTCTATGGTTGTTTGCTTCTGTCAACCTCGTAACTAGTCTTTGTATACTTAGCCCCTCTGGACGTCGCGCAACTGAGCGTCTGGGAGATACTTAATATACCGCTTTAGAAGTTCTTTACAGCGTGGCTGCTAGAGGACCGGAAGGAGAGAGGCTGGGAATCTCCGTACAGTCTTATATTCTGTGCGTGGGTCTACTGTGTGCCCGACGTTTTGAACCCCCGTTCCGTCGGCAGTAATGTCCACTCTAACTTGGTGTACTGTACGATTAGGCTGTAATTGACTGACCAATGTAAAATAAACAATGCAGCTCTTAACTCATGCTGTGTACTAGTCTGATGCTCTGAAAGCATATGGAACGATGAAGTGGATTATTTAAGCGCATTCGGGAAAAGAACATCTATCCGTCTCAATAATCCTAGGGAAGTGGAGGGCGTTGACACACTGTAAGAGCCCATAATCGGCTCACAAGGGAAATAGAGAAGACGAAAAAGATTACAAATGCTCTCTAGGGACACGCCATTTCTATGATCTGGACTTGCTATGTATGGGTCAACATTTGCAAGTGGACTTTAGAGGGAATATTGTGGTGACCAGAGAGCTCCAGCCTTGTAATCTGCTGTTACACCAAAGACTTTGTCTAGCACTAATTACACGAAGCTTACTCCGTAAGCAATGACAGAGAACTGACCAGCAGTTCAAGCAAACCCCTATAAACCTCATGGGCAGTGCTAGGCTACAGACTCGGTCCAAGCGGGATGGACTCTCTCTGGGCCCACGATAACAAAAGCTTGCTAGTCCATCTTAAGCCGAGCGGGAAGGCAATTGTAGATCGGCTATTGCGGCGCATTGAAGCTAACAATCATAGCCCACGCAAGTGCAGTACAGAACCATATTCTAAAGTTCTTGGTAATCATTGACTCTGGATTCAGAGTTCCACGAACACGATATCCTTGAAAGGCTTCTGTAGATTGCATGTTTGTAGGCGAATATGTCAGTCTGAAACAAGATGCCTCTAGCCTGCGTAGTCCGGAGGACTTTCTGGATGTGGCGACTCAACCTCACCTAACAAGCGTTGTGCCAGTGTGCTTTGTAGCACAGCAGGAGCAGATCTTTCCACCCTAGTCAATAGATAGTGGACGTCAGGGTCCTACTTTCCCCACCAATGATCCCCAGCTTGAAACGGCCATGGTTTTAGATTAAGCCTACATGTCAGAGTGGATCTAAGGTATGGAGATCCATTGTGTTAGCTAATGGTGAGTATGTTGGGATTGTATCCCAACGAAAGATTGGACAGAGTCATGTTCCATATTTCGGACACCGTAGCCAACTGGACACCCTTCGTCGTCTACATAAAATAGCACTCTTCGAGGCTTTGATATCTCAAAAGCCAAGCATCTACAAGGGTGCAAGTGTAAGTATCAGCTACAGTATTGTTCCATGGAGTTATATCTATATGCTACGGCCTCGTAGCATGTGTGTATACACCGGTAACATAAACTACATCTGTATTTTTGGCCGTCTAGACATTAAGAGGTGTAGTAGTTTTAAACAATACGAAAGAGCAGAGCGGACCGCTGATCGGGAGAGTTCAGAGCAATGGTGCTCGGCATACAGAGAGACGAATCATATAACTTACTGTCAGCAATATTACCTAAATACTTTACCCACATTATAGCTTATAGGCGTCTCTGACTCGTTGGAAATAAGGTTCAGTTCCACAGCCCGCTAGACCAGGTACGGATTCTTTATTTTAGTCTAGTTAGCTAAACCAAATTCGCTGACGCGTTAGAGTAACTTAACAGCCACAAGCACTGCCCATTACGTACATAATGGCCATGATTCCACAATAACCGGCCGTTTGACTTCCAGAAGCCGCTCTTCGTCCGCTTAAAGTTCCAAGTTCTTGTGAAGATCGACTGTTTCGGTGCTAGGGCCCCAACCCTATCCGCTGGAAAGGCTCACATATGCATGGGAAGCAACTGTTACTTACTGGATAGCGATTTGTTCGTTCCTGCCGTTGGTCCCAAGGGACCTAGTGCAAAAGGATCTGTGTAATTAGTGCCAACTGTAGTGGAGCCATCCCCTTAGAACCGGGCCGATTGCCTCGGACGATGTTACCTTCCAGCCGCGGCTCCTTCTATCGAAGGGGTTCAAGATTAAAGCCCAACACGAACGGCTAGTGGAGAGAGAATGTCAAGTTCGCCTCCCTAATTCAGGGGCTTGGACGATTTTGATGGGGCAATACAACACGAGCCTGAGGGGAAAACACGAGGGATCCCAGTGGAATTGGACCGCTATCCTAATGCGACTGCATTACTGGTGCTCGTGTCGCCTTCGGTAGTTTAATTTATGGATCAGCAAACCCATCCATGGGTAGACGGGTAGACCTCACTCAAGAAAAATTCACGGCCTTGCTTCGATGGTACTCAACTCCACAGCCCAATCGCAGATTTCGAAGTTCCCCCTCTTGACCTTATCCTCTCAAAGCTTTGTTCTTTGTGGGAGACTTGCTCCTCTCCATCGTTCTGTCTTGAAGAATTGGGAAGATGAGACCTTGACAGCACCCGAAATAGCAACCAGCGAGTCAGGAAGTGCTCGCAGCACTTTTTTTGATATATTGGGTTGCGGCGCGAACAGAAGTACAAAACCAGGGCAACGACTCATCTTCAAATGAGTTCTTCAATGCCTCTCGTAGGCACCAGTTTGGCTATCTTCGTCGTGTCTGCTGTGATGATGACTCTCTCCACTGTGACCGTCCTGCTGAGGACCTTCGTGCGACTGTATGTCCTCAGGGCCTTTGGCTGGGATGACGTTCTTATCCTGGCCGCTCTAGTGGGTTATCCATGGGATAATTTAGCAAAGATCTTCTACTCATGATTCTGTAGGCTTTATTTGTGATATTGAGCGTCTGCTGTTTCATCGGGACAATGAATGGGGTCGGCCGCTCAAGGGCAGATTTCACCAACATGGAAGTCTATAGAAAGGCCTTGCTAGTAAGTGCTGATTCTTTGAAAGAGAATCTCCAGTTTACCTCACCTCTCGGATATCGCGGTCGCTAAGCAGGATTGTGGCTTCGCAGTACTGGTGGCTCAGTCAGATCTTCTACGTATGGGCGTCTGCCCTGACCAAGGTATCTATTGCTATCTCCCTCCTTCGATTAACAGTTTCAAAGATTCATTGTGTGGTTCTTTGGAGCAATATCGGTCTTACCGTTGCTATCGGTCTCATGTTTTGGCTTGTCTTGCTCCTGGGCTGCGATCCAATATCCTACTTCTGGGATTTTGCGGATCCCATGAAATCAGGGACCTGCATGTCTGAGAAGATGCTAGTAAAAATCGCATATGTTTACAGTTGTCTGACAATCGTGTGTGATTTGACGCTTGGAATTCTGCCTTACTTCCTCGTCTGGAAGCTTCAGATGAATAACAGGACAAAGTTTGCAGTTGGAGGAATTCTCAGCATGGGCGCCATGTAAGCGATCTTGTCCATACTTCTTGGTTGTCAAAGTGGATGCGGCTAATGGTTTCGTGCTAGTGCAAGCGTCGCCGTCATAATTCGACTTCCATTCCTTCATTTCTATGCCGACGCTAATTTCCTACGTAAGTCTCTGGAAGCAAACAGCCGGGCGCGCCTATGGTGGCCACCTTCAAATATAAATTGTAATTAACATGGCTCAAGGTTCCACCTACCAGATCGCCATCTGGTCCGTCGTGGAAACTGGCCTCGGAATCACAGCAAGCAGCCTCATAACTCTTCGTCCCCTCTTCCGCTGGCTTCTGGATGAAAGCCTATCGCACGTTCGGCATGAGCGGAGCTCCGGACGAGGCTCTGGCCAATACCCACTCTCCAGCCTGAGAAGTCATGGCTTGAAGAACTCGCACGATCCGAACTTCTGGCTCCCCGATTGTAGGTCCGAACATGACAGCAATGTGACCAATACCGTATTGTCTTCCCTGCCTCAGGACTCTATCGATTACAGCAGCAGCCAGGAGGCTTTGAATCGTCAAATGTGCCCTGCCACTTCAAAAAGTCATATCACTATTCAAAGGACTCTAGTACAAACTGTATCAGAGCGACAGAAATAGGCCGAATTTGACGCATAGAGCTATCAGGCCCGCATTCGCTGTTCACCGAATATCCCCCTTTGATACTACGTCTGTAGAGTATGTATGCTGCGCCGCTCGGCCAATCCGAAGTCAAGTCGGGTTCTCTGAGGGACAAGAGCGTAGATATATATCTCCGGAGAGTTGATGGAGAGGCCCCTGCAACGCCTGCTGAAGCATCCACAGTTACTATGGGAGGCGCCCGGTCTTGGCGCCCGGTCTTGCGTTAACAATGTTCGAGTCAGCTTTCT